CTGGAGTCTCGGCGTGTCCTGGGGCCTTGCTCCTTCTCAGGGCTAGTTCATTTCAGTAGTTCGGAACGTTGCCGTTTCTGGACTGTAAGTGATGCTCAGCGCACACGTGTACTTCCAGGTATTTGGAAGTGGAACACATAAAACAGGAGGGAACCCCAAGTCTGCTGGGCTCACTCTGGCCATGAGGGCGCCCCCACCCTCCCCGCCGTCACTGAGACAGCCTCTCGCCAGTGGTCTTGGGCCCTCGATTTTCCTCAGCTGTGGAAGATGGTGAACGCCTGTGTCCTTCCACTCCTGGCTTGTAAAGGAAAACGGGGTCGTGTGTGGGAATGTGGGGAGGCCCCAGGAAGAGCGCTCTTGGTCTTGGTTTCAGTGACCGTCCACCCATTTATTGTCCAGGTCGCCTGGATGCCCGTAAGAGCAGAGAGGACGTGAACCACCTGGGCTTGAGTGCCCCTGGACGGGCGACGGGGGAGAGGGCGGGCATGACTTTGTTGTAGCCGGAGTGTTTGAACATGGCCCCTCTGAGGCCTGAGGCCGTGCAGTCCTGGACTGTGCTGGGGCTGCTAGGCTGAAATAGGGACCTCGAGTCCTCTGGCCCTCCAGAAGGATCTTCTGACCCGGAACGCCTTCGCATGCGGGTCATTGTGTGTGAACAGCCACCCTTTGTGACCAGTGATGACACCACTGACCGCCCTGCCCTGTGCTGCCTGCGGGAGGGGAGGCGCCCAGTGTGCGGTTGAGACACACTGTGGGCTCCACCATCGCCAGCCGGGTGACCCCTGAGCTCAGTTTCCTACGTGGAGAGTGTGGGGGCAGGATATGTCCCCCCTTGATGGGCTCCATGGGGAAACTGGGCCAGGGCACCCACGGGAGGCGGGGGAGGAAGAGCCGGGGGTTGGAGGGTTGGTTTCGGTTCTCTTTTCATCTTCCTGTCTTCCTTTTTACTTTTCCCCCTCAGTCGCCTTTTCTTTCTTTCTTCCCTCCCTTTTCATACCTCTGCCTGCTCTTCTTGGTCCTAAAGTGTGCACGCACACACAGATGCACACATGTATACACAACACATACATATGCCATACACATGTACACACGTTTGTGTGCGCACACATACAGACACACCTGTATACACATACACAATCGTGTGTACACATACACATATCTGCATACACATACACACGTGCGTGTGCACACCTGCACACCTGTATACACACATATGCATACATGCACATATGCACAATACACCTCTACACATGCACACACACCTGGGAGCCGCTGCCAGTTCCCTCTCATGCGCACATTCCTGCTTTCAAAGTTCCTTTTTAAAAAGGTGAGCATTTAGACGGCTGGCCCCATGGCCGAGTGGTTAAGTTCACGTGTTCCGCTTCGGCGGCCCAGGGTTTCGCCAGTTCGGATCTTGGGCGTCGATGTGGCACTGCTCGTCAGGTTATGTTGAGGTGGCGTCCCACATGCCACAACTAGAAGGACCCACAACTGAAACACACAACTGTGTACTGAGGGATTTGGGGTGAAGAAGAAGAAGAAGAAGAAAGGATTGGCAACAGATGTTAGCTCAGGGCCAATATTTAAAAAAAAAAGTGGGCATTTAAAAACCACGTAGGAAAGTGCAGAGAGTGATTTAGCCACTGCCCTTCCTTCAGAGTCCACGGTTCACTTGGTTCATATTGTTGTGTCTTCAGACGGCACCTCCCCCACACGTCGCCTCCCGCCGGGTCTGGCCCTGCGCTTCCCTCCCATGCTTGTCCCGTCGGCCCGGGGCTGCCTTGCGCTCTGTCTTCACAGTCATGTGTCTGTTCCGTGGTGCTGTGCAGAGACCTCGCTCAGACTTTTCCCTGGGGTGTGGGCCCAGCTTGTGTGTGCCACCGTCTGTTTGTCCACGTCCTTATCGAGGAATGTGGGAGGCGGTCCAGCTTCTTAGCTTGAAGGGCTTTAGTGATCACCGTACTGTCTGTCTCTGCAGCCAAACTGTGTACATAAACTGAAATAGGATTGTAAAAGGGTTTTGAGTTTGAGTGGCCGTCACATATACCCACTTGGTCAAAACAGCACCAATATTACAGTTTTTATAAATAACAATCATAAATACTAAAAAACAGTGAACGTGTATCTCTTAAGTAGATGGGCTGCTTTTTTCCACTAGTTAGTTCACGTGGTCACAGCTGCATGTACCCGTTGCTGGAATGAGACAGGTCAGCGTCAATTCTAGTTCTCTTTTTCGTTTTCAGTTGAGAATGGTCGTTCATAAGTAAGCAGATGGGAATTAACAGGGGTCTGATACAGCAGTAGCATCTAGTTCCAAGTTATTTGCCAAAAAAAGATAAAGATCTCATAAAGACCTAAGACCAAAAAAATATTGTTGCTGGTTTACCAGGTGAGAACTGAAGTTCCTCCAGTTTGTAGTAACAGCTTTATTGAGATATAATGCACGTACTGTGACGTTCACCCTTTTCAAGCGTACGATTCAGTGGTTCTCCAGAACACAGTTCTAGGTGTACGGTAATACAGCCACTGCTGCAGCACACATCCTTGTCCCATGTCTCCAATCTTTTTAGAATAATTGTTTTGTTTTAAAATAATACACATTAAAAATAAGTAAAATAATATGCGTTAATTATAGAAAGCATGCAAAATACAGTCAAAGCCAAAAAAAAGTAATGCTCATCCATTGCCTCTTAATCCACAGGTTTTGGTTTGTAGCATTTATGCCTGTGAGGTTATTAAAGCTTAAAACTGCACTGAGACATGGTGGCCTCCTGTGCACATACAGCGTCAGGTTGTGAAGAGTGCGGTGGGGGAGAAAAAGCAGAGAAGGGGAGTGGGCAAGCAGGCTGGAAGGTGGAGGTTGCAAATTTAAAAAGGAATGATCAGAAACGGCCTTGCTGAGAAGGAAACATGAGGTGAAGGATCAAGGTAGAGTTCTGGGGGAAGATCTTCCCAAGCATTGGAAACAGCAAGTGCAAAGGCCCTGGGGTATGAATGCGATGGACAGGGTCTGCATTGAATAGGGCCTTGCAGACCATGAGGAGGAGTTTGGGACTTATTCTAGCATGATTAGGAAGCCATCAGAAGTTTGTGAGCAATGGAATGTGGGAAACAGACTTTGGGACTAGGTGAGAGTGGGGAGACTGGTAGAGCAGTAATCCAGACCGGAGATGCTGGTGGCTTTGACCAGGGTGGTGGCCACAGGAACATGTTAGAGAAGGAGGAGAGAAGGAGTCACCCAGACTGGATTTCGGAAGCCCATTGTATTAGTTATCTCTTGTTGAGTAATTAAGAATTTAGCTGTTTATAACAATAAATCCTATTACCTCACAGTTTCTGAGAGTCAGGAATTTGGGAGTGGCTTAGCTTAGTAGCTTTGGCTCAGAGTCTCCCAAATTCCTTGAGGTTGCAGCTAGGCTGTCAGCTGGGCTGCAGGATCTGGCCGCCAGGGGGCTCCCTCACAGGGTGGGAGGCCTCAGTTCCTTGCCCCATGGACCTCTCTGGAGGGCTGGTTGAGTGTCCTCACAGTGTGGCTGCCGGCCTTCCCCAGAGCCTTGGAAGTCCCGCTCCATCATTTCCACAGTCTCTTACTGGTTACACGGGTCAGCCCTCCTCGGTGTGGGAAGAGTCTGCCCAGAGATTGATACCTGGAGGTGAGCACTGTGGGCTGCCTTGGAGGAGAGCTCCCTCCCCCATTCCTGCCTGTGGAGCAGAGAGCTGGAGACCTGTTGGGTAGAAAGTGGTTGGGCCTGGAAGGTCCCCCAGGGGAGGTTGGAGCAGGAGGCTCCACGCCAGGGACCCTTCTCCTGCCTGGAAGGCCTTGGGACGGCCCGGTCCCCATGCCCAATTCTCTCCTGAGCTTTCCTGAGCCTTCCCTCCAGACCGGTTACGGCCTCCGTCCTCCCGGGCGGGTCAGAGATGAATGAAATGATACCGCAGATCCAGAATTTCAACTGTGGTCAGTGCTGACGTGAGAAGGTACTCGGGGCTCGGATTTGGGTGGGGGAGCTGACTGGGTCTGGGGGTCAGGGAAGGTGTATTCGTCTGCTAGGGCTGTCGAGACAAAGCACAGTTGTCCCTCCGTGTCCGTGGGGGATTGGTTCCAGGACCCCCCATGGCTGCTCAGTCCCTTACTAGAAAGGCATAGTATTTGCATATAACCCATGTGCATCCTCCCGGATCCTTTGTCATCTCTGGATGACTTACAGTACCTAACACAACATGAATGCTATGTGAATAGTTGTTATACTGTATTGTTTAGGGAATAATGACAAGAGCAAAAAAGCTGTGCGTGTTCAGTGTGGACGCAACCAGTGTGGCCTTTCTGTGCGAGGGTGGTCAGACCCACAGGTGTGGAGTCACGGATGTGGAGGGCCGATGGTACCACAGACCAGGTGGCTTAAAACACCAAGTTCAGACTCTCCTAGTAATGGAGGCCGGAAGGCCGAAGTCAAGGTATGGACGGGGCCGTGCTCCCTCCGAAGGCTGAGGGTGGTGTCCTCCTGCCGCTTCCGGCCTCTGCGGCTCCAGGCGTGCCTCGCCTCACAGCTGCGTCACCCCAGTCTCTGCCTCCGTCGTCACACTGCCTTCCTCCCTCTGCGTGTCTCTGTGCCCAGAGCTCCCTCTCCTTTCTCTCATGGAGACACTGGTCACTGGGTTTAGGGTCCCTTAGGTCACTCTGACCTTCTCTTATCTTGATTACATCTGCAAAGACCCTGGTCCCAGACAAGGCCACACACACAGGTGGGGGGGTGAGGACTGGGACGAGTCCGTGTGGGGGACACAGCTCCCCCGCTGTGGAGGCAGTTGTGTTAGCCTGGAGGGCTGGATGGGTCTGTGAGCGGGGAGGCGGGTCTGGGGGAGGGCAGAGTGTGGGGGCTGAGGCTGCAGCGGGAGCGTTCTCGAGCCTTCTCTGGGTGGAGCATTTCTCGGGGCTGACCGGGAGATGCCCCCATGGGGCTGTGTTAGCTCATCTACAACTGCCTTCCTTTTCTACACAGGAAACTACTTTGCCTCGCACTTTTTCATGGGAGGTGAGAAGTTCGACACCCCCCACCCCGAAGGTTACCTGTTCGGAGAGAACATGGATCTGAACTTCCTGGGCAACCGCCCGGTCCAGGTGGGTCTCAGGGCTGAGCAGGTGGGCGGCGCGGGCGAGGCCCCTGCCCTCAGCCATCTGTGTCTCAGTTGTGAGGACGAGCAGGCACCAAGTCACCCCAAACGGGGCAGAGCTGCCGGACAGACCCGTACATGTGACATGGACTGGGGTGTGTCCTGGCACTGCCCCTCCAGAGGCCAGACAGCCAAGAGAGGGTCATTGGGAGCAAGGCAGCTGCTACTGAATCTGGTGGATCCAGGCTGTGGGGCTCCGGAGGGTTATACATCTGATCCTGGGCCTCTTGGGTGACTGTCCTTAAAAAGAAGAAAGAGCACTCATGTTCCACAGATCAGTGGGCGAAAAATGTGATCCAGAGGAGAGGTGCACACGGCCAGGGATGTTATCAAAAGTTCGCCTTCACCAGTCACCAGAGGAGTGTCTGCTGTCATTCAGCACACGATTGGCACCTGCTGTGTGCCTGGGACTCTTCCAGGGGCAGGGGACAGAGGACAGATCCTACCCCGTTCCCTGGCGGGTTGCAGACAATAGAGAGCATTTGATGAATGGGGACTGAAAAGAGGGAAACGAGTGAGGGCCTGTGCAGGGGACACTGAGTGAGGATTGGGTTTTATGCTTTGAAGTGCTGGTCCCCAGCCTGGGCAAGGGGTCAGGTGGGAGGCTGTCTCTCTCAGGAGGCACTGGACTCTGTCCCCTAAGGCTGCTGAGTCCTGGTGGGTCCTGGAGCCTGGCGGGGTGGGGGGTCCTCTGGACCAGGGGGCTCTAGGCTGTTTTAGCCACGGAGCAGCTGGTTGACACAAATCTTGATCCTTTAATGGACGGAAGGCGAGGGGCTGGGGCCTAGAGTGCGCTCTCCCCCATGGAGCTTCCACATCGAGCTGAGCCTGCGCTACCCTCCCAGGTCCATGAGAGCCAGAACAGAACGTCACCTCCAACCCAGGGTCTGGCTCACACAGGCCTCCCGGAACTCTTTCTCTCTCTTTAACTTTTACCTCGAAACCATTGTAGATTCACCTGCAGTTGTAAGAAAAGATGTGGAGAGATCCCGCCCCGCCTGCCCTTCACCCCGTTTCCCCAGTGACTGCATCCTGTAGAACTGCTGTGCTGTCACAGGCAGGAGGCTGACACTGACGCCCCCACGTTCTCCTGAGGCCGCCAGTTTACGGCGCTCATCTGTGCACGCGTGTCCCTTCCAGACCCTTTGTGGGCCATCATCCTTGTGTGGAAAGCCCACCTTGTTCAGGGCAGCAGTGGGGTGTCAGGTCCCACCTCCGGGAACACGGCCTGAGAGCCCCAGCCGCTGCCCCTGGCTCCCTTGGGCCAGGTTGTGCTCACCGGGGGTCCTTCCTGGAGTTGGGGGCCCTGGCCACGTGGCCAGGTCCTTCTGGTGATTCTGGTCCCGGCCGCCCCGTCCGGACGTGTTGGCTGTGCTTTCCCTTGTGTGGATGCGGATAATGCCGTCCAGCGGTTGGCGTGAGGGCCCCAAGGACGGGTGTGTTGTGACACTTGCTCCCGTTACTCCTGTCTTCCGTCCCCTGCCGCGCCCTGGAGTCACCTGGCGTTGCTTTGGGTTTTTCCCTCCTAGTTTCCGTACGTCACCCCCGCCCCCCACGAGCCAGTGAAGACGCTGAGGAGCCTGGTGAACATCCGGAAAGACTCGCTGCGGCTCGTGAGGTACCTGTGACCCCTCGGGGGTGCTGTGGCCCACGTGGGTCCCCCAGCGCCTGGGGCCTCTGCTCCCTCGGGGGTGGCATCAGAAGGCCGTGGGCAGGGCTCACCCAGGGTTGCCCCTGGGCTGAGGGTGGAAAGTGTGGGGGCCAGCAGGGCTCCATGTGGACCCTGAGCTTCTAGACCAGGGTTCTCAGCCGGGCCCTGTGCCCCAGGGACCCCGGGCTGTGTCTGGAGGCATTTTTGGTGGTCACAGCTGTGGGGGTAGGTGCTACTGACATCTGGTAGGCAGAGACCAGGGATGCTGCTCAGCACCCTGCAGTGCACGGGGTGGCCCCCACGGCCCAGATGATCCAGCCCTGAACGTGAGGGCGAAAAACTGCTTTAATCCTGTGAGACCTGGGGTGCTGGGGCCGGCTCCCCTTCTGTGGGCTGAGGCAGGAGGACGGCACCCTGTATTGCTGAGCCTTATTCTCCAAATGGAAAGTGGCCTCCGCGTTTCTAGAAAGATGAGACGTGGCCAGGCAGCCGACTCCAGGGGCCCCTCAGAGTGGTATACACTGTGTGGGGTGGTGTGCACTGTGGGGTGGGGATGCTCTTGCAGGTCTGGCCCCTGACCTGCCGCCTGTCCCTCTGTCTCCCTGGCAGGTACAAAGATGGTGCCGACAGCCCCACTGAGGATGGCGAGAAGCCCCGCGTCCTCTACAGCCTGGAGTTCACCTTTGATGCTGACGCCCGGGTGGCCATCACCATCTACTGTCAGGCGGTGGAGGAGTTCCTGAACGGGACAGCTACGTGAGTTCCTGTGGTGCCTGGCGGGCCAGGGGGGCGGGGCTGGTCCCAGCAGCTCTGCTTCTTGTCTGTATTAGATATCTGAGCTTTTGGAGGTTTTATTTGAAGTAAGGGGCCTGCTCACCCAAAAAGTTTGAAATGTGCACCTTCACGACCCTGACAGGGCTGCCTCCAGTCTGCAAGGCCAGACACGGACGGGATGGGATGGGCAGAAATGCGCCCGCTTCTGTCCTGTCAGAGAAAACCCGTTGGAGGCCAGGTCTGATGTGGGGATGGAGCGGGGGTTGAACTCAGGCTTCAAGTCTGTCCATACACGAGCAGCCCCCCCCGCCCAGGGCCTGTCTCTCAGGCCAGACGTGCCCAGGCCCTCAAGACTGTCCTTTGTCCTGGAGACCAAGAGAGGCCCCAGGGACAGCAGGTGTGGGCCCGGGCAGAGGGTGGTGTGTTGGATTCCTGAATGGGGACCGGCCCGAGTTTATCAGAGTTGGAAATGCGTGCACTCTTTGACCCAGCCGTTCCTTTTCTGGGAATTGATCTGGGGGATGTGCTCGCCTGGGTGTCTATCGTGTGCAGAAGAGGGTCCAGGAAGCACTGTTGGGAATAGCAAGGCGTTGGAGACCACCTGGTGTCCTCCAGTGGGGACCCGATGCGTCAGCTGGGGTGAAACCGCAGTGGGGCCCATGCGGTGCTCAGAGAGCATGACCCCTCTGTGTGGATGATTCTGGGACAGCTCCAGGGCACACGTGTAGTGAAGGAGCAGAGTGAGTAGCCGTGGGCTGCTGTTTGAGAATTAAAGACAACACAGCGTGCACACGGGCGTGAATGTGCCTTGACTCCCCGGGAGTGACATGTGGGTGCGAATGGGCAGAGAAACAGGTGGCTGGAACAAGCACGGGGGTGGCACTTTGGACTGGGTACTTTTTTGAACTGTGTTTGTTCACAAACAGTCAGCAAACCGTAAAAACCAAATGGAAAGGTGCAGCCGCATCTGGAAAGGTAGCAGAGTTGTCTGGCAGGTGTGCGCTTGGGTAGACTCATAACCAGGCCCTACCTGGGCAGAGCTGGTAGCGAGTAGAATGAGGCCATGTTCCACGTAGGCTGGCTTCCTGCCCCGCCAGAGAAAGGCTAGGACCTGCAAGTCAGGTTTCTCCTAGGTCCCCAAAGACCAAGGGCTGCTGGCCAGTGAGGATGGCCCCCAGGATGGGCCGCAGCAGAGCGCTGGCGCGGGGCAGAGGCTCACGTCTTTTCTCCTGGCTGCCCCTTCAGGTACAGCCCCAAGAGCCCTGCGCTGCAGTCCGAGACCGTTCACTACAAGAGAGGGGTGAGCCAGCAGTTCTCCCTGGCCTCCTTCAAGATTGACTTCTCGGAGTGGAAGGACGATGAGGTAACCTCCTGGCTGGGCACCCCTCTCCCTGGCCCCTTGCCTCAATTTCCTCCCCTTTGTGGAGGTGGCAAGCACCATGGGGCCGATTCGCTCAGATTCCTTGCATGGTTGATAAACATCAAGAGTGGCTGCTGACCAAGGTGTGTGCTCAGTTGGGTGTGTGCTGGACCGTGGAGTGTGGTGCGGTCCATGTGTCGGCTGGACTGGAGACCGAACCCCAAGGGAGCAACTGCAGTTAGAGGCTCCGGTACTGGGCTTTGGTGCGGTTGTCGGGGCCACAGGACTGCAGCATGGCAGGATCCCTTCCACCTGGTGTCCCACAGCTGGGGACGGTCATTTACATGACACGAAGGGTATTCATTGCAGCTCTGTCTAATCGTAGAAATTGGAGGCAACCTGCATGTTCATCATGAGGGGATTGCTTAGCTCCCCGATGTTATGGGAACCACTTATATATATACGATATGGGCACCGTAGTTCACTTCTCTTGTGGGATGCCATGCAGCCCTAAAGCAGGTGCAAGAGACCCGTGGGTACCATACATACCGATGTGGAAGGCCCCTTCTGGGCTCAGAGAAGAGTAAATGCAGACAGATACAGGATAATCTCGTGTGTGTGACAACCACAAAAATGCACAGACCCATTTCTGCAGGGATGTGTCTGTGTATATAATCCTGGAGGGAAAACCGGAGAAGATCCACATCAAACCAAAGACAGTGGTTACTTCTGCAGAGGGTCTTGGTATAAGGAAGAGAGGTAAATAACACACAGACTACACACAGACAGTGTGAGTGTTGATGCTGTATACGTTTCTGGTTATTTTTTCCTTTTCTTCTTCTTCTTTTTTTTTTTTTTACCAGTTAATGTATAATGTACATACCATAAAACTCACACATTTTAAATGTTTGGCGATTTTTAGTAAATCTACCATCACAACCATCACCACAATCCAGTTTTAGAACATTTCTGTCTTCCCAGTGGGATCCCTTGTGTCCATTTACAGTTAGTCCTTTTTCATACTCCCCACCCCTGGTAACCGCTCATCTGCCTTCTGTCTCTATGGATTTGCCTGTTCTGGATGTTTCGTATAGATAGAATCATGTAACATGTAGCGTTTTGTGTCTGGCTTCTTTCACTGAGCTGAGTTCTCTAGCTTTTTTAATAGAAGGTAGCCTGTATTATGTTACTAAAATACGTAAAAGGGGAGGGAATGGAGGTAGCAACGCATGGTGTGTTATAGGAATTGGCCAGGAAGGTTCTGGGTTACTGGGTATGTCAGACAGTTCGATCTTGGCCGTGTATGCTTGCTAGTCAGGGTGCTTTGATGGCCAGCGACAGAAGCTGCCTCTGCATCACTTACGTGAGAAAGATGGATCTTCTGAAAGAAGGATGGGGCGGTGGAAGCCAAAGGAAGAGCTGAACAGCTGGTCCCTGGGGACTCTCCAGCCCCATCCCATCAGCTGGTTCCGTCTCTCTATGTACATACTCTCAGTTGGGATACCCAGCAGGTGCATCTGGTCCTGCCCACCCTCCTTTGGATGGGGGAAGGTGGCTGCCAAGAAGAGAGTGGGGCTGGGAGGGGCAGAAAGGGGCTGGACTGACACGCGGGTGCTTCCACCCCTGGTGACTTGTCGGCGGGCTGGGCTGAGGCTTTGCCTCTGGTGACCTCTGTCAGAGTCCACTCCCTCGGAATTTTGGCCCCGAAACAGATCCCCTGTGTGTTTGCAGATGTGCTGAGTTCGGCCAACAATTTGGGTTCTAGACACCCAGTGAGGTCAGTTGTTCTGGGGGTACACCTGGCTGGTGGGCCAGTCTTGAGTACCACATCAAAGCACCCCCTTTCCTCCCTGAGAGCATCAGGGAGCCTGCATCCCCGACTTGTGGGTGTGTGGCATGGTGGGCGCGGCGGGCAGGTGCATCAGGCCTGTCCAGTGTTGAGTTATCTAGCGCCCCGTCCTGGTCTTTGCCTTCTCTGTCACCTCAGCTGATCTGTCCTTCTCGAAATCAACTCTTTTTCTTATATATGTATTTTTATTGCAATAGAATATGCAAACCTAGAATTTACTATCATGAGGTCCATTCATAATGTGGTGCACCACTCTGCAGTTCCAGAACATTTTTATCACCCCAGAAGGAAAGCCTGCACCCATTAAGCAGCCACTCCCATTCCCCCTCTGTTACGTGTATTTTTAGATGGAAACTACATCAGTCCTTACTGTAGCTGGGAACCTGATAAGCCTTGACATAAATAGGAGGTTCTGGAAGTTAAACTGTACGGAGAACAAAATGGTGTTATTATGTCTTACATCCTGACATGATGACATTGCCTGCTGAAGACGTTGAAGCGGGTATTGGCTGGTGTTAGAGGTGTGACAGACCCTCTGGCACCAAACTCAGATTCCTCCTTCGTCCCAGGGTTCTCAGCCTCGGTGCTGTGGACGTTTGGGGCCCGGGGCATTCTCTGTGGTGGGCTGTCCTGTGCTCTGTGGAATGTTGAGCAGCGTCTCTGGCCTCCACCTGCCAGGTGTCAGGAATGCTCTTGCCGCACTTTTGACAACCGAAGATGTCTCCGGACATGGCCAGGTGTCCCCTCAGCCACAAGCATCATGCTTTCGGAGGCTTGGCCATCCTTTTTTTAGCCGTTTTCCCCAGATTTGCCTATTTAAAGATTACAGCAGTAATATATGCTTATTGTAAAATTTGCAAATTATACAGAATTTGTAAAGCAGAATGTCCCACCCCCTACCCTGCTAGTTGAGTCTTTCTCCAGGGGTGACCACTTCTGACCATTTGGGGCATGTATTCCAGACTTTTTTCATGTATGCGTTAGTTTGTTTTTTGTAAAAATGCAGCCATATTGTTACTATTCTGTAGCTTGTTTTTCTAAATAGCTTACTGAGATAGAATTCACATACTAAACAATTCAACCTTCTAAGGTGTACAATTTGGTAGTATTTACTGTATTCACAGAGTTGTGCAACCATCACCACTATCTAATTCCAGAACATTTTCATCACCCTGAAGAGGATCTCTGTACCCATTAGCAGTCTCTCCCATTGCCCCTGCCCCCGCCCCCAGCCCCTGGCACCCACTCATCGACTTTCTGTCTCCATGGATTTGCCTGTGTGGACAATTCATATAAACAGAATCCTGCAGTATGTGGCCTTTTGTGACTGCTTTCCTCCACTGAGCATCCTGTCTTCAAGGTTCATCCACGTTGTAGCACGTGTCAGTGCTTCATTCCTGTTTATGGCTGAAGAATATTCTGCTGTGTGGATGGACCACGTCTTCTTTATCCATTCATTAGTTGATGGACATTTGGGGTGTTTCCACCTTTTGGCTAATGTGAATAATGCTGCTGTGAATGTGTACAAGTTTTTGTATGGTTTATGTTTTCATTTCTTTTGGCTGCAGTTTGGTTTTTAAATTAATTTTATTTTTTAAGACTATTTTTGTAGAGTAGTTTTAGGCTCACAGCAACATTAAGAGGAAGGTCTGGAGATCTCCCGTGCGCCCCCTGCCCTGCATGTGCACAACTGTATTCAGGACTGGATCGTGTTGTGCACATGTTTCCTGGTCAGCGCGTGCAGGTCCCCTCGTGGTGGGAGTGGTTTGCTGGTTTTCCCTACCAGCTCCCTCACAGGCTTCCATTTATTTTCCAAGACCACATCCCCCTCCTCCGTCTTTTGCCTTTTCCCTATTTCCCAGTGTCTGTCTGGCAGGGGCTTGCAAAGACCCTTGTTGGGTGGGCTCCTTTATCATGGGAGAGCCTGAGGGTGCCACATGTGGGGCTCCCACCGAAGCCATGTCGGGGAGGAGCGAGGTGGGAGCCGAGGGGCCTGCCAGTGACTCGTGCTGGCGTCAGCTGCCTGGTTCTCTCCTGACCTGGGCGGCCCTTTTCCCTAAGAAAGCCCCTCTTCCTGCATTAAAGATCAGCATCTCCCTCGGACTCTGGGGCGGGCGGCAGTCTCTGTGCTCTCCCCACGGGCTTCACTCTCGTTCGTGACTTGTGTGCCAAGCTCTGCGGAGCAGGAGTTTTGGGGGAGATGGTCCTTGCTCCTGGGTCCTCACGCTCTGTGGGCCTCTGGGGAGCCTCGCCCTCCCATGTGATGTCACCAGGATGGGGTGCCAGCTACAGATGCACAGGAGCTCCGTGTGTGGAGGCTCGTTGTGGCAGGCATCCAAGGGTGGCACAGCGTCCTGGCCCTGGTGCCTGGTGAGAGTCGGGGTCATGGTGCCCCCATCATCCCCATCCCTGTGCCCTGGCCCAGCCCTGGCTGGTGTGAGTCAGAGCTTGCGAGCCAGGTGAGTGCCATGTGTGGCGGGCTGCCCTGGGCTCTGCCGACAACACGCCATCTCTGAGCTGCGCTAGCAGCGGCACCTGGTGGGCTGCTGCGGCAGAGCCTTCCAAGCAGTGTCTGTGTCTGGACTTCTTTGGTTGCAAGTGACAGAAACACACCTCAGTCTGGCTGAGGAAAAGAAAACTAGGAATTTATTGGCATAGATTTGGAAAAAGCTGGATGGCTTGCGGTTTCCTCCAGGGGCCTGTGTCATCAGGACAGGGTCTGCTCCCTTGAGCCAGCCTCGCTCTCGGGCTGGCGCTCTGCAGACCAGCAGAGTGACACTGTCCCGACCTGGTCCCAGAGTACTCAGATGCACCGTCCTAGGCCATGTGCCTTCCCTCTGTCGCTCCCAATTGAAGCAGGCACAACCCATCCTCTGGCCAGACCACACAGGCCCAGGGTAGGAGAGAGGTCGTTTGCGGATTTTCCCAAGGACATCTGTGTGTGGGGTGCTCACTTAGCACAGGCTGTCCATTATGAGCCCTGTCTGCCTGGGGACAGGAGGAGAGAAGAGCCCGGGTCACCGCCTGCTGGTGCCACCACCACACACACCTCCCCAGACTGGTGGCTGTTATTCCAGCGCCAGTGAAACACGACTGTCAGCTGGTGCTGAGGCAGCATTAGCGTGGGAGGGAGAAAGAAGATGCAAATCACCTGCAGCCTCTCAGCACCGAGCCGCCCATGTCAGCGCCCCGGCTGATGCTTCAGCCCCCAGCCGGAAGCATAGGGGCGGTGTGGGCGCGCTGCACGAGCTCTGCTCCCATCCGCTCTGTCACCTGAACTCCCCCTCCTGGGCTTAATCACAGTCTTCGGAAGGGCAGCTCCTGCACGTCACTCCCAGCGTCATCTGCGTCACCAGGGTGACTTTGGGATGGTCGTAGGCAGGATCACTCCCTGGGCCCTGCGTCAGGGTGGAGAGGGCAGAAACAGGCTTGCAGAGGGGCCCCCAGATGGCTGTGGGTGGCATGTAACTCCTGTTTTAGGTGGTCACCTCTGCCGCTCCAGGGGTCACGTCAGAGCAGAGCAGGAGCATGGAAAGGGTATCCCGCACTCTTGGAGGTCCAGATTCCCCTCTGAGGCCACAGGGAGTGTGAGGCCTGGCTGGGTCCTGGGCAGGCCTGGACACATCTCCCATGTCCCTGCGTGCAGATGGTGTGTCCCCAGTGAGTCCTGTGTTCCCTGGAGTCCCTGCCCTGCGTTGTCTTGTGAGGCCCTCCTCAGCGCCCGCCACTTGAACATGCAGAGCTTCAAGTGGCTGTTGGTCATGCCTGCTCTCTTGGGCACCACGCTCAGAGCCTTTGCATCAGGCATAGCTTTTATCCCTTTTTTACAAATGGGGAAACTGAGGCTCGGGTCATGGAGCCAGACTCGAACCCGGCAGTCCTGAGTCTGACCCTGTCCTAGTACCTGGCCCCCTGTGGGCTCTTGTCCTATCTCCCACTGACAGCCTGGGACCCACATGTGCCTTCCAGGCCCCCCCCGATGCAGCCCCCGCTGCGAGTGTCCTCAGCTGGTTGCTTCTGTCCCGTGGGCTCTGTGTGACCTGACTGCAGGCCCCCACTGGTGAGTGGATGTGGAGACTGCGCCCGAGTGGACATGTCGGGGGAGAGTGGCCTTCAGCTGGAGCACGGCAGGGAGCCACGGAGGGGTTTAAGCTGGAGGAAAATGAAAGGTGAAAGGAGTTTCTCTGAGTCCAGCTGTGCCACGTGGTCCCCTTCACTTTCCTCCTATCCCTGGTTGGGGCCACTCTGGGCACCTTTGTCACAAGGTTAGTCACAGTTACCCTGGGACCCAGCACTTCCGTGCCTTGGTGTCTACTCAGGAGGACTAAAAACGGGTCCAGACAGCTGCTTGTCCAGCTGTGTTCATGGCAGCATCCGTCGCAACAGCCAAAGAGGGGAACAGCCCAGTGTCCACTGACAGGTGAATGATAAACAGTGTGGTCTGGCCATACAGTGGAATATTATTTGGCTGTGAAAAGGAATGAAGCACTGATATGTGCTACAAAGTAGGTCAACCTCGAAAACAGGATGCTGGGTGAAAGCAGCCAGACACAAAAGACATGTTGTGTGATTCCATTTCTCTGAAACGTCCAGAACAGGCAGGTCCACGGACAGAAAGTAGGATGGAGGTTACCAGGGGCTGAGGGAAGGGGTAGGAGTGATGGCTTAGTGGGCACAAAGTTCCTGTTTGGGACGATGAAAATGTCCTGGAAATGGGGATGGGTGCGTGACCTTACGAAGGTAGGTAATGCCCCTGAATTACACACTTGGAACACAAATTTGCCGTTTTAATCGTTTTTGTCTATTTTGCCACGCTGGCCAGGCACCTGCCTTCCCTCGCCATTGTGTCTGTCCTCTGAGCTCTGCCACCACGACACCTGCTCGCCAGGCCTCCCTCTCCAGCTCTGACTGGTCTCGCCTCCTTTTCTCCTCAGCTGAACTTTGACCTGGACCGAGGCGTGTTTCCAGTGGTCATCCAGGCTGTGGTGGACGAAGGAGATGGTGAGCGGCCTCACCTCTTCCTCTCTCTCTTGCGGGCGTGTGACCCTGTGGGGCAGAAGCTGCATCTTGAGGCCCTTCTCACTTCAGCCAGCAGGGCAGTTTATTCCAGAAGGTTGGAGGATGTTGGCTGAGCCCACTCAGCAGGTTTAGGGCTGTGGGCTCAAGCACCGAGCTCTCTGTCCCCTCTCCGGGGCGATGCTGCTCCTGGGCTCCCACCTGGGGCTGCGCGCTCCCTGCCAGCCTGGCAGGCCCATCGGCCTCCTAACCAACCCTTCCTCCTCCTGCCAGTCCTGCGGGTCTGTCCCTTGCTGCTGCTGTGGGCTGAGGGCCCCCCAGCCCAAGGTGCCGATGCTGGAGCCCTGCCAGGGCTGGGCTTGTCCCCAGGCTTACGGGCTAAGTCCTGGCTTCTCAGCCCTGCCAAGACGTTCCTCCAAGTCGTGTACAGAGTGAGACAGCAGGGGAAGAGCCAGCCTTGGGCAGTTCAGAGTGGCAGCTTGGAAGGAGATGTGGGCCTGAGGGAGTGGCAGGCCCCCTGGCAGAGGAGGGCAAGATGAGGACGAGTCCTCCAATGGGTTCTGGGCTCTGGAAAGGTGCCAAAAGGAGGAAGAGAAGCTGGGGCAGGGGCAGAGGAGGGGCTGAGGCCGGCTCTGACCCCTCCCTCCTCTCTCTCCTGGGCAGTTGTGGAAGTGGCCGGCCACGCTCACGTGCTCTTGGCCGCCTTTGAAAAGGTAAGTGGCATCCTACCCCACTGTCCCCGTGACGTGGGAGCTGTGGGCAGAGGGGTGATGTTTTGAGACCAGAAATCTGAACTTGGGGCTCATCCTTGGCCAAGCGGGCTTAGTGCCAGAGGCCCAGGGCAGGTGGCAGATTCCCCAGTGGTTCTCGGCTCCAGGGAGATGGCGCCTCGCAGGGGTGGCACCTCGGGTCCCCATCAGGAGGCTTTTCCAAGGGCGTCTGATGTGTGGGGAGGGGAGTGTTCTGGGAGGCCAGCCCTTTAGGACTCCCCATGACCTGCCAGCACAGGGATGGGACACAGATCAGCTTTCCTCTGGATGTGGAGGAATTCTCCGGGGTGGGCTTTCCCACCAGGCCCAGGGTCCTGGGTGTCACTGGAACCTCTCAGTCCCATCCGGTCCTCAAACACGTCCTCTGCCCCACCTCCATCTGGCTGTGTCACACTGGTCCCGAGGGGCTGGGTGGACGTCATCCTGACCTCTGGGACAGACATGTCCGTGAGGGTGCAACTGGGCCCCTCGTTCCCTGTCGTTTCCTCAGCGCTCGCTCGGCACACAGGAGGCACCTGGTGGAGGCTAGCGGGGTGAAGGAGGGCCTGCTGCCTGTCTAGCGCAGCCCTAGACCCTCTGTTGGTGGCAGAGGGAAAGGACACCCAGGCTGTCCTGGGGTCCCCAAGCTGACAGCCCACTTATAAAGAGGCCGTTTACGTGGAAGGAGTCGCTAATACCTTTAGTGTTACGTATATTTGACCTAGGGAGGTGTTGGCCATTTTTTCCATGCAGACCCGAGTCCTCAGGCCCCCAGCTGTTTGTGTCTTGTGGTCGTGTATACGGGGTGTCTTGGGGTGTTGGCTTTGGCGATGGGGTGGTCAGCCTCACTGCTGACTCCGCGTTAGGACGTGGCAGGTCCCAGGGACAGTCCTGCTCACAGGTCACTGATGTTCCCGGGGACTAGGGAGTTTTATGTGTCCGTCTATGCAGCGAGCGAGTGCTTGCCTGTGCTGGCACAGCGTCTCTCTCGCTGAGAGCCCTGCCGGTGGTCGTGGGCTGCGCCTGTGTCTGAAGATGCCACGCTGACACCCCTGTAGGGCTCTGGGATGCTGGGTGAGCAGTCAGGTGTCTTCGGCCCCCACCTGTGGCCCATGCGGATGAGGATCAAGGACCCCACGAGGAAACCAGGCTCAGACTGCTTGTTCTAGACTTGCCATCATGCCTGCGTGTCCTGCCGACGCCGGCTTCCTGAGCCCGCTGTGCGTCTGAGGCCCCGAGCCTTAAGTGCAGAACCCAGCTCCTTCCTGTGATCTGGGTCTTTCCAGGCACCCCAGGGAGTCAGTCCGGCTGGACCTGAGGCCCCTCTGGCCCGTTTGTCCTGTGCTCTCCCTGGCCCCTGGGGCCGTGGTGACACTGGAGGCCCCGGGCGGAGATTGGGCCTTTCCCACTCCAGCTCTGGGCTCGCAGGCTGTGCTCCCCACGCTGGCCTTGTGGGACAGGTGGTGACTGTTTACCCATCTCCTTCTAGCTGAGATGGATGGGCCATCGCCGGCAAATATTCCTTTCCGTGCTTCTAGTTCAGGGCCCAGTGAGCAACTGCTTTATTTTTGGAGTGCACGGTACTAGAAACTTCCGTAGGAAGCCATCAGCTGTACCAGAAAATGCCAAGCTCTGGTCTCGGTTGGCTCAGGAGGATAATTGGTGTTGTCGCAACATCTCAGATCTCTTGCCTTTGTTAACCTTGTCGCCTCTGAGCAGTCTCTCCCCAGACACCACTGAATGTGTTTGCTCTGTCTTGTTCTTATGGTTTTACACCTTCGGGCTTTCCCGGGTCTGCGTGCACCTGTGTGTCCTTGTTTCTTCCCAGCTAAACCAAGCCCTTTGAGGGCTAGAACTGGCTTGTGCTGGTTCTTGCTGGTCAGGCGCTGCTGCTTGCTGTTGGGAGGCCCATGTCCATCAGCTAACTTAGCTGATGGGCGTAAACATGAGTGTGCTTGAGCACCACCCGGGCAGGGTTGGGTGTTAGAGGTCAGAGCAGAACCCAGGAGGTGGTATTTTTAGAAGGTTCTCCAGGTAACTTCTTGGCCAGGTCAGAGGGCCACGTTTGAGAAGCCCTGGCTCTTCCATCTTCCCGTGGTCGCTCCTTTTTCAGTCATGGATGTGGAATGACTGAGACAGATCCTTCAGCTGGCTGAGCGGGGTTGCTGAGTGCTGCCAGTGGGGCCACGTTAAGTCTGTTTCCTTCTCTCCTGCAGCATGTCGATGGCAGCTTCTCCGTGAAGCCTCTAAAGCAGAAGCAAATTGTAAGTCTGTCCGTGGAATAACATGACCCCTTTTGATTTAAAAGACACGTGGACACACATGATCCAGTGGTCTCGTGGTTTGTTCTTCCTGGCCGCTATGGCTGCTGTCGAGGTAGCTGCTGCCGGCCTGTTGACTTGTCTGTCATCACTGTGGGCTCTGGGCTCCTGGACATCAGGGTCATCGGATGCGTGCTGTGTCCACCCACCACGTCCCATTGTTGGCTGCTGTGGGTTGTAGCTCTGAGTCTTGTCCAGCTTGAACATTCAGGAAGTGTTTGCTGAGTGAATGAATGATTGGACAGAGAGAAGAAGGAAACAGGAGACAGAAGGACTGCAGCCTCCCCTCCTCCTTAAAATTTGCTGAAAATACCTCAGTCTTGGGCAAAGACTGGGATTGACTTAATCAGTATTTGAGAGGAAACATAGACTGTCCTGGAACAGATGGCAGCTGTAGACCCGTATAGCTTTTCTTTGGGGTCAGTAATACACCAGGAAAAATCATTCCAGGTAGCCTCCCACTTACGTATGTGCTGTGAGAATTCAGAGGATGGTGGCCCCTGAGTATGCCACGTTAGATGTTGATATCGAGATGGATGTTAACAGTGGCCATGGTGGGTCCGTTTTCCAAAGCTGTGGTTAGGTTATCCTTGTGTGTATCTGCTCAGGTGCATAGGCCACAGCCCAAGAATGGCGTTGGTTAATTTTTTAAAAGAAGGTTAGAGAAAACACTGTCAGGTTCAGCCTCGGAAGGTGGCAGGAGGGCAGGAGACCCCAGGGACAGTCAGAGCACTTGTCTCAGGAAAGCTGGCCAGCAGGCGTTGTGGTCTATGGAGCTGTGGGAAACGCAGCAGCTCAGACCACTTTTGAACATGGTCAATGTGAGGCCTGACCCTGGTCACTCTTGTGTGGCTGGTGACCAGTGGGTCCAAACTGCTTTTTCTCTGGATTGGGGATGGTAAGGTGGCAGAGGGTGTGGTTGCTGGGTCCGTGCGGAGCTTGGCTCCAGGCCCTCTGTGTGGGCAGAACCACTGGGCTCCAGGCCTGTGTCCATGCTACTAGCTGGGCTGGGCAGGTAGCCGGTTCTCCCTGCCTGTGTCCTGGCATTGGGCCCACCCCCCGGGGGTGGGGCTGGACGGAATTCCCAACATACCTGCCCCCAGGACCCGAACCTGGCACCTGGGAGGCAGTGTAGGGCCAGGTGGGTGCAAAGGAACCCTTGGGGGTGCTGACAAGTGCCGAGACGCCTCTCTGCTCTCCAGGTGGACCGGGTCAGCTACCTGCTGCAGGAGATCTATGGCATCGAGAACAAGAACAACCAGGAGACGAAGGTGTGTCCTTGTGGTGAGCGCCTGCGGGGCTCGGGCTGGCCTCACCCCACAGCTCTCCTTCCTCTTGCACAGAAGCAGCTCATGGGAGTGACTTGCCGGGGGTCCCCGCTCTGCCCTGCCCAGAGCCCCACGGGTTGATGGGAGATGAGCCAGTCGCCTTCCACGCCTTCCCCTGGAGGCCCCAGGACACCAGATGCCATCATTTTTCCTTAATTTTTTGAGAGTTAACAGTCTGTGGGACATTTTGCCCTTTTTCCAGCAAATGTACTGGCCTGTTATCAGCTTGGGGCTGCTGGCTGTCAGGGCAGCCTGGGGACATGGTGCCCCTCCTGCCTGCTTGGGCTTGGCTGGTGCTGCCTTGGCCTGTCAGTGCTACCCCAGCCGACCGGCTCCTCTCCCCGGCCGAGCCCCACGGTGCTGTGGAGGGGTGCACCTCCTGGGGAGTGGCAGGGCTGTGGCCTCGCTCAGCCAGGGGAGGGTAGCAGAGAATCAAGCCCGTACCTTTGTCATTGTTTAAAGGCACACTGGCCCCTTCTCTTTAAAAATCTCCTGAGTCTCACATGCTGGCTTCCGTGAAACCTGCCAGAAGCAGGAGGACAGGGGCAGTAGGCCAGCCAGATGAGCGCGCTCTGTGCGTTTCACGTGTTTGACACCAGAGGCCTGCTGACTTTATCCGTAAAGGGCCAGGGAGTAAACTTTCCGACTTTATCAGCCACACGGTGTCTGCCGCATCTGTTCTGACGCTGCCATTACAGTGTGGACACAGCCTTGCACGATAGGGAAACAAGTGGCGAGAATGTGGTCCAATAAAATGTCTCTTACAGAAGCAGGCAGCGGGCCATGGTTTGCTGATCCCTGCTTTAGAATGTTTATGTCTCTTGATCCAGGCACTAATTTTGTTTTCCAGAAGCTGCCATTAATAATTGAAAATATTTCAAACAAGTTAGACTTGTCTGATTTTTTTTGTTTTAACTGAATGAAGACGTGGTCTGTAGGGTCATGTCTTTTCCATGTTTTCTCTTTGGTCTCTGAGTTCTCTTGATTTGGGGGTCTGTGTGGGGCCGCGGCACAGATTCTCGTCTCTGCCGTGGGGCAGGTGCGGCTGGATCTGAGCCTGCTGCCCAGCGAGCGCCACTCTGGGCTGCGTCTGAGTCCTGCTCCATGGTGACCTTCCTCCGCCCTCTTAGGCTTCCTTTTGCCACAGCAGCCCTCAGGGGACGTGAGGGATGGCCGGTGGGCAGCCAGGAACAGGAAGGCCTCCCCTGCACTCCTGCCTGCCCAGGCCCCTGCCTCTGGCCCTCAGGAGCCCCCCGACACTTGGACCCTCGGTATCTCTGCAGCCGTCGGACGAGGAGAACAGCGACAACAGCAACGAGTGCGTGGTGTGCCTGTCGGACCTCCGGGACACGCTGATCCTGCCCTGCCGCCACCTGTGCCTGTGCAACTCCTGTGCCGACACGCTGCGCTACCAGGCCAGCAACTGCCCCATCTGCCGGCTGCGTGAGTGGGGACGGCGGCGCCAGGGTGGCCCAGGGGCTAGGAAATGACAGAGGCTGTCGGCCTCCTGCCCAGTGCATGGCCACTCGGAACGTGGTGGTTACACCCACAGTGACTACACTGGCCCGTGTCGCACTCAAATTGTCCACATCTGCCTCCAGGAAAGCCAGACTTTTAGAGTGAACTGCCAGGAGGGGGCTCTGCAGTTGAAACTGGGCAGATACTGATCAACGAATCATAGGTTTATTTTAAAGATTTTGGAAAATACTTTGACAAAAAATTACAGTGAAATGAAAAGTGTGCTGGGTGTAAATGACTGAGGAATTCAATTTGGTTTCCTGGAGCCGTCTAGACATTTTCTCAGTCAAAAGTCATCACATTGGGCATAATTTTGAATAAAATATGTGTCAAGCTGGTGGGTCAGCAGTCCTGGACCCATTTCCTCATGGGTCCCAGCAATGCGGAAGGGTATGGAGTGGGGAGAGTATCCACCTGTGGGAGCTGTGTGCTATTTTCTTCTAGTAGCTAAGTAGCTTTTTAGAAAATGCCTTTCTGCTGTTCATACCTGTTGTGCAGGCCGGCCTCCCCGGAGCCAGCTGAGGATACTGATGCTTCACCCCCAAGCTCCTGAGCCAGGTTGTGGCCATGTGGCCTGACCTGTCACTGTCTTGGGTCACAGCTAGTAAGGGGCAGAGGTGGGCTTTGAACTGGAGTCTGGCCCCAGAGCCCACGCCTTTCACCCGGCTGACCAGAACCAGCCGCACCAGCACATCACCGGTTGTCCGCCCGGGGTAGCCAGGCGGGCCGTGGAAAGGGCGTGTGCTGGGCCTGCAGGGACCCCGCCCAGCTTCCCTGGAGTTTCAGCATGCAGGGCCTGTTGCCCCTCCTGTCTGAGGGGTAGTCTGGGAGCAGGAATTTGTGGTGGGGGGTGCTGTGGTGGCCGACAGGAGCCTGAGCTGAGACTAAACGCCAGCCTCCCCTGCTCACCCCCACCTCCTGGGGCTTTCTCAGGGGCGCAGCATGGTCCAGAGGACTGGCACTTGGGCTGGGCAAGTTGGGCCAGGGTCCTTGTCCCTGAGGCCTGCAGCCTGGGGCGACCGCCATCAACACTGGGGACACGACATGGTTCTCCCCCTTGGGGGCCTGGCTGGTCCTGTTTGTGACTGCGGACCATGTGTGACCTGCACCGTCACCTAATGGTGTCTGACAAACATCTCACTTCTGTTAGTGGAGCTGATGCTCAGGATGACGCGTGGCCCATGTCCTGATTTATTTTCCCAGCTCCCTGGTGGTTGGCATCTGCAGCTTCTAGTTTTCCCGGTATCAAGGTCGTCCTGTCAGACTTCCTGTACGCGTGTGCCTGCCTGCAGGTCACTTCCGTGGTGTAACTTCCAGGAAGAGCCTGGCTGGTGTCCAGGGCGCACCGCTGCTTTTAGCTCGGCGACGGGTGTGTCTTGCAGCCGCGTGTGCTGTCTAGTGTGCAGTTTGGAGTTCGCAGGGGGCAGGCTGGCTGCCCCCTGCCTGGGGCCCCTAGACCCTCCGTCTGAGCTGGGTGGTACTGTCCTGGCCTTGTCTGTCTCCCTGCTGGGGCCGTTTTGTCACAACTCTGGCCTCTGATTGGACTGCTGCGGGCTGGGGGTGGTCAGTGTCCCAGAGCTCGGAGGGTCTCCGTGCTGCTGGAACCGGCTGCCTTGCCTGACATCAGCCCCTCCCTCTGCCACAGCCTTCCGGGCCCTTCTGCAGATCCGGGCGGTGAGGAAGAAGCCTGGAGCCCTGTCCCCTGTCTCCTTCAGCCCTGTTCTGGCCCAGAGCATGGACCACGACGAGCATTCTGTAAGTGCCTCTTCCTGCCCGCCTAGGGGGGGTGTGGGGGCGGAGAGACGAGGAGTCGTGGAGGAAGCCCCCACCCACTGCACTGGGCCCGCCTTCATGTTAGGACAGCGTCCGGCTCCCTGGGGGGCCAGGTGTTGTGGCCGGAAGGAGACCCTCCCAGGCCCTGCTCTTGGGGACGTGGACCCAGACTGTCCGGCCACGACATGTGCCTGCCGGCTCTCTGGGCCTCTTTCCTCACCTGCCTGGTGGCCACCGTGGCCCCCATGGTGGCTCTGAGGTTGAGGACGTGCCCTAGGCTGGGCCTGGTGAGCTCTGGCTGCCAGGGTGGTCGATGCTCCTACTGACAGCAAGAGCCTGGCGATGGCAGCTGACCCTTCATGAGTTTGAGCTTGTCAGCATCGCTCCACCAAGCCAGACAGCTGGGGCATTTTGTGGGCCTTAGGAAACGAAGTCCTCTCCAAAGGGTGGCTGTGACAAGTCTTCTGAGAGTTCCTGCCCACCTCTCCCCAGCCTGGGTGCACGGTGGGCACTTCAGCAACTGTCCATTGCTCTTGCTCCCGAAAAGCTGTGAGGTGGACCTCACTGCCAGGCAAGTGAGGGAAGTCAGGCTCTGGCTTCAGGGGCCTTGAGAGAGATGGACAGAGACACAGAGATCTAGAGGCTCGGAGAGACAGAGAGAGCCATAGACACACAGAGAGATGGGCAGAGATGGGGAGAGACACAGAGACAGGGCAGGAGACAGATATGGAGAGAGACACACAGAGATGGGGAGGCAGGTAGAAAGGAAAGGCTCAGGTGCTCAGATGGGAGCGAAAGGACCAGGGCTCGAGCTCCCTGGTCTCAGCTGGCCGTGAACAGTGTCAGCAGGAAGGTGTGTTTGCTTGGCTCTCGACTGAGGTTGTTTGGACCCAGGGATTCTTAGAGGCCCTGCTGACTCTCTAAATAGGACAAAGGACCAAAACCCTCCGGATGGGCTTCTGCGCTGGGCCAGCGGTGTGATGTTCTGTCCACACAGTGTTTCTGAAAATTGGGCCAACATTTAAAAGTCTGGAAATTTCCCGGAAAGCTGAGATTTTTGGCTTCTCTTTCAAAATCTGAAGGTGTGGTCTCGCAGCTGGAGCAGACCCGCTTCTCCTGGGCCAACCACAACCTCCTGCGCCCCGTCAGCACCGGGGCTCCCGAACTGAAGCCCTCCAGCCTATTGAGTATTGGGCTCGATTCAGGAACTTGGCGTACTTCCTCCAACCAGAGAGGGAACAGCACTTAGTGTCGCTTGCCCCTAGAAAGCGGATTCTTACTATTCTTACAGAGGGATGGATGCCCAGGTGGTGGGTTTGTATTATCACTCGTGTGTGCCCTTCCCTGGTGGCCGAGGGTCAGGCCGGACCCTCCCGTGTTTGTCGCCATCCTGAGAGAGCTGAGACACTGCCCACCACTCAGGGGGCACTGGGGCTCGCACTGCAACTGTTGCTTGCTCCAGAGGGCCGACGCCCTCGCCTCTGCAGGGTTACAGTAGCCCCATAAATGAGTCCTTGTTCTCTGCCATGTTCCCTATACAGGCAGGTTCCACATAGTACCAAGGAGAGCCAAATGAGGTCTTTTCTCTGAGACTCCATTAGGATCATTGTGGAGGGGGCTGATTTGAGGCTGGTTTTTCTCCCCAGCCGCCTTTAGGAGTTCCATGTGGGTGATAAGTTTACGAGGCAGTGCCCAGCCTGGGGACCTCAGGTCCCGCCCCCATGCCCAGCTGGGCCCACTTGTCGGGAGTGCCGAGCCATTGTCAAACCCGCCCTGGCCAGGACCTGCTGCTCGGGGTGACCCAGACTGTGGCTGGACATTGGGGACAGTGACGGACCCCATGCCCTCACTGCTCCCCGTGGCCACAGAACAGAGCTGCGCAGATGTGTGGGCCCAGACCCCCGAGGCAGAGCCTGCCCTTGGCGAGGCCCCCGCGATCCGCGTGCACCTTAAATTTGCGAAGGGCTGGCTCACGGCGCACCTAGTGGCCAGCAGTCCAGAGACCCCAGCCAGCCAGCTCCGGCGCCGCATGGGGGTGGCAGTTGTAAAATGTATGATTTTTATTTTGACAGTGTCCCTTTAAAAAATCAAAGTCGCACCCCGCCTCCCTGGCCAGCAAGAAACCTAAAAGGGAAACAGTAAGTGTGTTTGGCCCCATGGCCATGTCTTTGCCCCACACCCTGATGTTAAACCAGTGACAAATATGGGAAGTCCTTTCCGCCCAGGCTGACGTGTTTGGTTAATTTAACCTGTCACATCCACTCTCCCCAGTCCCGGCGTCCCTGCCCAGGAAGGGAGTTGTGTGGAGCGAGCAAAGCTCAAGGTCTGTCAGCAACAAGCCAGTCTCACGGGTCGCCCTGCCGGGGCCGCCCCCTCTCGCCAGCTCTGCTTCCGCCCTGGCCCCTGAATGCCCTCGTTTCCCTTTTTTTTCTTGCTGGCAGTGGAATGACGTTGGAGGTGGAACTAACGTTGCTGCTAGGTTTCGCAAACAGCATTCCTTGCGCGTGCTTGTCGTCTGCATCCCTGCTCTCTGCCCCTCGGACTTGAGCTCTTTGGGCCGAGGACTTGGTTTCCCTGCATCTCAGGGAGGAGGCTGGGGAGCCAGGCAATGTGTGGTAGCCGGGCTGGGTAGATGCCGAGGTGGAAGTCACTGGAGAGTCAGCCTAGAGAGAGTTTTTCCTTTTTGCAGGAGTGAGGGGATTCAGGGTAATTATTTACCTTTAAATTAAGGCAGATGGGAGTAAATGCAGGGCATCATGGGCCCAGGGACCCTGGGGACCTGGGAGGGGCTCACTGAGAGCAGGAAGCCCCACTTTGGCTCCTCTGCCTCCCCTGTGGTCCCCAGGGTTACTCTGTTGCCTCCCTGCAAGGCAGCCCCCCTTCCAGGATCAGGCGGGGGGGGTCTCATACGGGGCATTCGGAGCACTTCTCATCACTTTAACAAGAGTGGGGGCAGCTGGCTGCCCCGCCCCACAGTGCCTAATGGCCTGACTAACATCCTGCACACCAGCATCTCCCTGCTCCCTTCACCGTTAACTCTAAAGCGAGACCCAGCCTGCTGATTTGATCCACTCTTAGGAGGGGGGAGAACTGGTTCTGAGGTGGGGGTGTCCACTAGAATCCCCCACAGCATATGTCACCCCCACGGACGCCCGTCCCAGGCTGCAGGAGGATCTCAGGTTGGGCCGGGTGCCTGTGCTGGGCAAAGCTCCTGGGGGGCCAGGGCCTCCCTGGTCTGCTCGTGCGTGGTCCCCGGGCCTCCCGCCTCTGGCATGGCTTTGCTCTCCACCTGCTCCTGAGTTCTCCGCTCTCCCACTAACCCCTTTCTCACTCTCCGCTCCCTGCCAGGCAGGAACAGAAAGCCAGATCGGGGCCGGCCGAGGCTGGGTGGGAGTGGCTCTTCCGGGGGCCCTCTCTGCCTTCGTCCTGGGCGTCCAAGGCTGCGTGCTGCAGCTGATGGCCAAGGGAGCCCTGGGCAGGGATGGCTGATGCTCCAGAGCTCTCGGCGGCCCTCTGGGGAGGGGAATTTATGTTCCTGGAAGGTGAAGCTGGCAGATGGTCAGAAAGCAGGTTCTGGGGAGGAGAATATCCTGGGCCACAAGCCCAGCGTCTGGGGCTCTGTGGCCGTGGGCAGTGGGCAGGGAGCCCAGCCAGCCCGGCCCTCACCTGCTCCTGTCCCTGCAGAGCTCTGACAGCATCCCGCCTGGCTACGAGCCCATCTCCCTGCTCGAGGCACTCAACGGCCTTCGGGCCACCTCCCCCGCCATTCCTTCGGCGCCCCTTTATGAAGAGATCACCTACTCGGGTGTCTCAGATGGCCTGTCTCAGGCCAGTTGTCCACTTGCTGGGATTGATCGGATCATGGACAGCAGCCACCAGAAGGGCAAGCCACGGAGCAAATCCCCCGACAGGTGAGGCTGGCACCCGGGCGCCCTCTGGGGAAGGATGTGGGGGGACCCAGCCTGCCTGCTCTGTGCGCTGGGCAGGGTGAGGCGTGTGGCCGCGGATCAGAAGCACAAAGCAGGTTTATTTGCAGCTTTATATCATTTCATAATGTCTTTCCTTCGGTGATTGGCCAGAAGGACCACAAGACCAGCCGCGGGTTAGGCTCATGGCTAAGGTCGGTGACACCAGAGGCAGCAGGAAGGCGATGCATCGTGGAGGCCAGAGGCCTCTGATGTCCTCCCCGTCCTGGGCATGCAGGGGCTGCAAGCTGCAGGGCGGGTGTGCTGTCCCTGCCCACGAGAGCCATTTGAGTCCCAGGCTCTCGGGACTTTCTTGGGGCTGGTCAAGTGGGCACATCCTGCTGTGCACCCAGCCGTGGCAACCAAAGCCCGGCCCGCAGCGAAACCAGGCGCACTCATCGCCTTGTTTATCCCGCGAGCTGGAGCACAGGGCCCTGCCTCCCGGCGATTGGCAGCTCATCATCACTGACATAAGGAACCTTCCAGGGCCACAGCCCAAGGGGTGGCCAGGGGTCATCGTGGTTCCCTTGGCCATCTACGAGGAGCAGGCGGCCAGCCCTAACGTGTTAGGTCTCTCCTCACCCACAGGCTGCTGTTTCTAGATAAGTCTCAGGAACGCACAGGCTCCATGAAACCCGCCACAGCCCCGCCGCTGCACACGTGGCAGAACCTCCCCAAAGATCCAGAAGGAGACGGGAGGGGTCTCTCCTGCTGCTTCCCTTCCCCAGCCCTCCCACCCTAGTGTATCGTCGCGGTTTGCTTCTCCTTCTAGAAGTAGATAGCCATGTTCAGGCAGTACTGGCACCCAGGCAGGTGGCCTCGTGTCTGGTCGGCTGCTTTTCTCTCTGGGCATCGTGCTGGTGCAGTCGCCTTCCCAGGGCAGCTGCTCCATGGACCTGGCGCGTGTTTGCAAGTCGCCCCTAGGTGGCGTTGGCGTTGGTGGGGCTGGTGTTTCTCATCCCCTTTTTCTCTGTCCGCCGTGTCTCTGTCCCCAGCACCCTGCGGTCCCCGTCGTCCCCCATCCATGAAGAGGATGAGGAGAAGCTCTCCCAGGCCTCGGATGCTCCTCCTCCGCCCAGTGGGACAGGGCTGGCCCTAAGCAGCTCCCCGGAGGTGAGGGCCCTCCTGGCCTGCCCTCCCCGATCCTGCCCGCCCTCCTGGATCCTGCCCGGCGCCTGAGAGCTGAGTCCTGTCTGTCGTCCCCGTGCCCACCTGTGGGCCTCGCAGACTTGTGGCGTGGTGTACCCAGGCCCACTCCACCACTCCCTCCCTCGGAGGCCTTGGCCCAGCTGTGACTTCCCCAGCCTCAGTTTCCTGGTCTGTGGGTGGGCGCTGTCTGGTGGAGTCACTGTGAAGGCCGTAGGAGGGGCTGTGTGGGAAGCACTCAGCAGACGCTGGTGTGTCCTGGGCTGGTGGCTGCGGCTCGCCCTGCGCGACGCCCCCCACCAGCCACCTGCAGCTGGGCCCAGGCTGGTGGCGCCAGTCCTGGGTCGGCATCAGCGCCCCCGACATGTTCGCTCTTTCTCGTAGAGCTTCCTGACGGAGGAGGTGGATGAGATGTCACTAAAGCAAGGTGAGCCCTCCGTCCTGAGGGGCGGGGTCTCCAGCCCGGCCCTTTTAGCGGTTTCTCAGAGCGCTGCTGGCTGCTCTCCTGGGAATCACGCACAGTGGTCACTGCACAATTTCCCAGAGGATGATCCTCAGCCGCTGCCGCTTCTCCCTGCCTCCCCATCTGGCATCGGTAACAGCAATCGGTTTATTTCCTGCCCGGACCCCTCTGCATGCGCGCAGTCAGCTCTCCGCACGTCCTGTGTGGGCTGCCCCACCTGGCTGCAGGCTGTGCCCAGCTCTCCAGAGTGGGGTCCCTCCTGGGGTCTCTCTTGGGCCCCTGGGCCTGGCGTAGCCAGCTAGCCAGTGCACAGGTACGGCTCAGCCAGGCCCCTCCTCTCGTGTCCGAGTCTCCCGCAGAGGAGGGCCCTGGGCAGGTCCCAGCCTCCGCTTCGCTGCACTGGGCTCTGAGTAGGAAGGTGACCACGCCCGACCTCACGGTGGTTGTGAGATATGATGGGTGCCTCTGCCTGCTGGGAGATGCTGTCCTTCTGCTGTCCTGGGTGTTACTTCGCAGTGTGAGACAGATGAGGAAACTGAGGCTCAGGGTTGGTGTCGGGGGAAGGCCCAAGGTCACTTAAATTAGAGGTGGTAGAGCTGGGAGGTGGCCCTGGCTTGCTGGCTCCCGGGCTCACAGTGTGGTCAAAGCCCCCCAGATAACCTGCAGCCGTTCTGTTGCCATGACCCCCTCCTGGCTGGGTGGTCCCCTGGCCAGCATTGCCCTGTGGTGATCCACGTCCCTCCCAGGAGCAGTCCCCCACCACACATGTAGGGCCCACCTGCAGGCTGCTGGGCCAGGGGCCTTGGGCTTGGGCCTGTGGGTGCCCAGGGCAGGCTGCTGGGTTATGGGGGTGTCTGTCTCCTGGGAGCACCGGGCCGTCACTTCCTGCCCGGCGTAGTGCCGAGCGAGTCCCTCTGCCTGTCAGACCTCGGCTTCCCCACCTCAGACAAGCCCCACCCTCCCGAGGTGTCGGCTCTTTCTTGCCTGTGCCGGGCCCAGGTGGCCCTTTGATGTGTCCGTCACAGGGTCCAGGCCTCTCTTCTGCCGGAGGGGACCTCCCCCACGAGGAGGCTGAGAAGTGATGTGTGAGAGGGAGGATGGCCACACGTGTAGGGCCTGCCCGCACGTGGTCCACGCAGGACCTCACCAGCTCCCGCCGTGGGGCATGTGGGCCAGGGGGCTGTGCGCTGGCCTGCTTGTCCAGAAAGATAAATGGGAGACAGATTTATTACTATTTCATGTTTTTGAATGTGGGTATGTAATGTTTCTATAGTAAGAACAAAACCAGAGCTCCATGCTGGGGGGGGGTAGGAGAGAAGAGAAGACGAGGAAGAGAAAACCTCTACCTCTGGGGTCCCCTGGAGAGCAGTGGAGGCGTCAGAGTGAGGTCTGGGCCTGAAGCCGCTGCTACCAGTGGCTTCATAGCCCTCGGGGAGAAAGACGGGGCTCCCGACCAGAGGGATGGCTGGACCCACCTCCCACCTTGGGGTCCCTGACCTGTCCCCTCCTCTGCAGGGAGCCGAGTGCCATCCATCGAGAACGTCCTGCAGGATGGCAGCCCCGAGCCCTGTGGCCGCGGCCAGCCCGGCCCACCTGCCGACATCTACCTGCCAGGTAACAGCACTTGATGCCCTGATTTGGTGCCATCACTGTCCCCTGTTGGCGCGGGAGGCCTGCTGGGCCTGATTGCAGTGCCGTGACTGACTCCATGGAGCTGGGGGCCTGCTCTGACTACTCAGGTAGGCGCTGGCCCGTGGGGAGCCCGCCTCCCTCTCCCTGGCCCCCAGCCCCCAAAGCTCAGCCAGGCCTGGGTTCCACGGTTAGCCTTCCTGCAGCCCCTGGCTCTTTGGAGCAGAGCCTGTGCCTGTGGTCCCTTCCCACCCGGAGCCTGCTCAGCCTCAGGAAGGCGGGAGAGGCTGCAGGTTTAAGGACACAGTCCTCCCTATCTGTCTCCTGCTCGGGGCCTGGGGAGCAGATCTGGTCCCGCTGCCATTGCCTTGTCTTCCTTCTTCATCCGTGGGCCTGGTGGTGCCACAGCCACACGGCCTCTGCCCCAGGCCTCACTCGGGCCCCGGTCCTCACCACCTGCCCAAGGGGCTGACCAGCACGCATGGTGAAGCAGCACGTCCCAGGCCGCAGCGCAGGAGGTCAGGCTGGGGTGTAAGGCCCAACAGCATCGGGGAAGGGCTTTGCTTCTCTTTTCCCCGGGCCCCCGCACAGGGCCTCACGGCCTCAGCTCCTCTGCTTTCTGTTCCTCTGGGTCTAGATCCTCAGCTTCTAGTCCTGGGCTCCGAAGAGCAGGGACGGGCGGGGAAGCGCTCAGACGCTTGTCCTTGGCACCTGCTTAGGCGCCACCTGGGGTTCTGGAATCAAGATAAATAGCCATGTTGCCTTCCGAGAGTCTGGCTCCTGACATGTGGCTGGGAAGCCCCTTTGCCCCCCCCAGAGCCACTGTTGCCTGGTCCCCGGGAACCTGGCCTGGGTGTCAGGGGCCGTGACGTGCTTTGGTTTGAAAGAGCCTCCTGTCGCTTTCCTGGCTTCTGGACGAGCAGCAGCCTGTGCAGACAGAGTGTCCAGTTAGAGGACAGGGTCCCAGGGGTGGAAAGCAGGGCAGGAGTGGGTTCGCTGGCGCACACGGGCCTACCCAGAGGGAAACCTGTGGGCAGAAGCTGTGTTTAGCAGCAGCACCCCTTAGAGTAACACGGAATCCGGTCAGTTCTCTCAGAGCACTGCACGTATTTCATTCTGATTAAAGCCGGTGTGGGGGTGGGAGTAAGGAGAGGGCCCGGCGTCCCGGAGCCACGACGGTGAGTCTTGGCCGTGCAGGACGGCCCCCGCTCAGGCCCCCTGGGTGTGGGTGAGGGGACACCTTGACCCCACGCAGCCTCTGCAGTGTCACCCCTTGCGTGGCCCAGAGTGTTGGGGTGTCTGCAGGGTCAGAGAGGCCATACCCGTGGGCTCGGCCCACAGTGACACCAGGACCTTGGGCGCTTGGCCCCTGTTAGCTCCACAGGGCCGGGAGGCAGTCGGCTGTGGAGGTGGCAGAGGAGAGGCTGGAATCTGCATTGGGGCCACAGAGGCCAAAACTCAGTCCCAGGGCCTGGCCGGGCAGCAGGGGGGCTGGGGGAGGTGGCGATGTCGCGGCTCCTGGGCCTGGGCCCCAGCCTGGCTCTGGGTCGGGTAGTTCTCGATGCCGGAGCTCGGAGAGGAGGCTGCCATCAGCATCTGCCCTGCACAGGCCCTGCTGACGGCACCTGGGGTGGGCAGGGGTCCTCAGGCTGCGCTCCTGTCTGTGCGCGCGTCTGTGTCGTCTTACTCACTCATGGGCACTGTCTTGTCTGCCGCGGGCTGTTTTTGCTTAGCAGAGATTCAGAACATCTTTCTCGTCTGTGTGTGTTCAAGAATGTGAACACGTGTCTTCATTGTCTCTAACCACTGCGCAGCCGTCCCTCCCTGGATAGGGCGTCATTTAGTGCAACTTAGTGTCCCCCGATGATGGGAAAAAAGGAGGTTGGCGGAAAATCCATGAAATGCTGAAAACCTAGCTGCCCATGTCTTGGCTGCCCTGTGGGGTGGGGGCCTTCCCGGGCCCCCATGGCCCCGCCACAGCAGCCTTCCCCAGGCTGAGTTCCTCTGCGTTAGAATTTGGCCCAGTTCTCAGGAAACATATTCCTGCACATTCCTCCTTTGTGTGAGCAGCTCAGTTTGTGGGGGCATTTTCTTTCTGTCCCCCCCCACCACCCCCATCTTGTCCTAAAGCCAGTGCGTTCGCTGTAGGATGTGCTGGTCTGTCTGGGCGCTTCGCTAACCGAGCTTCGTCTCTCTCCTCCTCTGCGCAGCCCTGGGGCCCGACTCCTGCTCTGTTGGGATAGAGGAGTAAGCTGGTACGTGACTGCCTTCCTATGCTCGCGGGATGGCCCCAAGGGCATTCCTGGCAGGGTGCTGGAGAGAGGACCCCTGAGCTGCCCTCCCTCTACTCCCTCCGTGGGGCTCCCTCCCATGTCCTGGGCTCCTTCCTCGTCCCTGTCTTCCCTGGTCCTGGATGCTGAGTGCAGAGCTCTGCGGACACTGCACACCTGCCCCCTGAGCCATGGTCCTGGGGTCTGATGCTGGCGCTGGGAGCCAGGGCTGTTCCTGTCTGGACTAGGCAACTCTTCCAGCCTTTAGGGTCCCAGGAACGGAGACTCAGCCCTAGCTGAGACCTGACCATTGCTGACTGGCCTGTCCTCCATGCCCACTTTGGAACCTTCCGGAACACCAGCCCACTCTGATGTCAGTCTGTGAGGAGGCCCCTGTGAGGTTGACTCCACACCTGACAGGGAATGACCCAACGGGTGTTTTATGGAAGGCAGTTACAAGAGTGCCACCAAAACACAGGCACAGCACTGGGGACCCCTTCCCGTCCTTTATGTGACATTAGCAGCTCTGGGAAGCCTGGTGACAGCCTGGCGCCTTCGGTGGCCCAGGGTTTCCCAGACTTGTGTGGCGTGGAGCGCTCTGGCAGCCCCGGCCTGGAGATGCGCTCCCTGCTGGTGTCCAGCCTTCGTCCCTGTCAGCCATCCCGAGCCCGGGCCGCGGTGTCCATCCACTCGTTCTGACGGTTGCTCTCGGTTCCCACACCAACCTTGTCCTCCTCCACGTTTCTTTTGACAGAACTTACTCTCTGATCAAATAGGGCCCAACACTTTGTAAGACCAGCCCCAGCCTCCGCCTTGTGGAAGATGTTGACTGTTGCAATTTAGATAAAACTTCCAGAAGTAGGAACACAGGTCAGACGTGGCTGTAGAGGATGTATTCTGCCTGTGGGCTGCACAGCAAAGCTGACCTCCTGCACAAAGCCCCAGCTCCTAAGGAAATAGTCCCTTCCCCCGAGGGTCTGTGTCGCAGGCGCCCCGTGGCAGAAGCCCCCCCCTCGTTTACTATCTGAAGATGCCCGTGGAGCCCGCATTTGGGTGGGCAGGCAGCTGTGCATTCATTCTGCAGCCCTGAGGGGTGTGCTGGTCCTTCCGCTGCTGCGGGGCTGGGCAGAGCAGCTCACAGCATCATTAAGGTGACAGTGTGCAAACAGCAGGAAAGGCCTCTGAGGAAGGTGGGCTGGGGCTCCTGGGGCTGCTCTGAGCAAAGGCTGTGCGCCCGCTGCGGAGCCATCACCTCTGCCGGGGGTCACCCGACTCCCAGCCTCCGGCATCACAAAGCTCTGCAGGACAGTGGCTGGTCAGGTCCCAGGAGGTGCGGACAGGGGAGGGCAGGAGACCTGGGGACCAGCAGCCTGTGGCGTCAGGGCTGTGGCTCTGTTGCTGGCACCCGGGGGTGATCTCCGAGAGGGACAAGCCTGGTTCATGGCTAAGGCTAGAGTCCCTGGGCCCGGCCCTCTGTGGTCGCCAGACACGTGGTGGCTGGTGCTGGGTGGCCTTGCCCTCTGGGGGCTCAGGGTTGGTGGGAACTCAGAGCCTGGAGGGTGAAGGGAGCAGGTGACGAGGGCCGACTCAGCTGAGCATGACCCTCCTTCCTCTGCAGGATGGTCCACCTCCATGGAGATGCCTTGCGGCCTCCGCACTGCCAGCCCTCCCTGGCCTCCGCTTGGTGGCCTCAGTCCTGAGCCCGGGACCACTGAGCTGACCCCACTCTGAGAGCCTGGCGAAGCTGGCAGCATGGAGCCCTCAGCTCCCCAGTCTGCTGAGGGGCTGCCCGGACTCCAGCGTGACCCCGGCCTCTCCTGTCTGCACGCCCTGCGTCACCGCTGGCTCCAAGGGGCCAGGTGACCCCTGATTGAAGAGCACAGTGACTGTTCCCTCTGACAAGCCCCTTTCTCTCCGGTCGAAGTATTTGTACATGGTACACGGTGAAGGACAGCAGCTTCCCGTCCCTGGCGCCAAGGTCCAGGTTTCCCTCAAATGCCCTGCGGCCAAGCGGCTGGGTGCGCTGACCGCCTGCATGCCGCCTGGATTGGCTCGCCCTGTCCCCCCGCCAGGGCTGACACCCCAAGGTCTCAGCAGTCTGCTTAAGAGAATTCAGTGAAGTGCCGTCTCCACAGAGATGCTGTGGGGGCTTGTTGGGGGGAGGTAAGGACGTAGGCTCCGAGTCACGGACAGTGAAGGAAGCAGTGCCTGTCCTGCCCCCATGTGCATGGAGTCCACGACAGCCTGGCGGTCGCTGCTCTGCGCCCTCTGGGCAGCCTGGTGTCCGGCCCCGGCTGGAGGTGCAGCCGCATGGCCTTTGCTGCGTTGGTGTCCCATTTCCCCTCTTCAAGCCTGCACCCTCTTGGAAGCGGCTTTGCTCATGTCGCCAGATCCCTCCAGGTGGAGGGGCTTCCCCTTGACCAGCCGTCCACCTACCCCAGGAAGGACCCGAGTGGCTTCCCTGCTCCCTCGTTGCCATTTAAACTTCACTTTGCATTTCTTTTGCTTTGCTTTGTCTGGGGCTCTCTGGTGGGGCCTGCCTGGGGGAGGAGGGTCCCATCTGAGGTGACCTCTTCTTTTTTTTAAGATAAGCCTTCTGGGCAATAGAAAGGCAGGGGTTGCCCAGCCCTGGCGCACTGGGCGGGAGCTGCCCCAGCAGGGACCTGGAGCCCGCTGGGTGGGCTGTGCTGCTCCCTGGGGCGCAAACACTTTCCTGGCCTGGGGCACAGGGCAGAGGGGCTGCCTCTGAGGTGCTGCCCTGGGCAGGATGGCACTGGCGCAGCGTCCTCAGTCCTCAGAAGGGGTGCACAGCCTGAGGCTTCGTCCAGGGCATGGGAGTGGACAGTGGCTCCGGGGGAGCCTGTGAGCAGAGCACTCCGGCCTGCCCCGGCCACCTGGCTCCCTGCCCCACACCACCCCCAGCCACCGCATGCTCATGGGTGCACACACGCCAATGGGCATGCATAGACATGCGTGCACACACGCAGGCGGCTGGCCCTGTCCCCACACCTCTCCCCTCCCCTGCCCACAGCCCGGCCTCGAGGTCCTCTTGAGGCCAACACCGAAGGACGGGATGCCGACTGCCCTGTCTTGGACTTACATGTGCTATCATTTGTCGTACTCTGATTGGCTAGTTTTTGTTCGTTTTTACTGTATATTTATAGTAATAAAATCATGTGGCAATATCTTGTCTACTTCTATCTTCCATGCACAGTACCATGGGACCTCAGCCACGTCTTGGTCGGGAGGCAGGACAGCTGAGTGGCTAGTGGCAGCTCTGACTCCCTCACAGCAGTGCGAGTGCCATCATGTGTAAGACGTCAGGGACACACGGCTTCTGGGAGGGGTGAGGGCTGCACGAGGCGCGTGGTCATCATGCTGATTCTTGGGTTGTAGTCAAGGGGACCCTTAGGACTTGGCCCATCTCCTGAGCAGGTGGAGAAGGACCTTGGCCCCTGATGGGCAGGTCGCTGTGTGCCAGCAGAGGGCAAAATGGGAGCTTTCGTTCCAGTTGGTGGGACACGGCACGAATGATCTGCGTCTTCCGGGTTTGGCTACTGTCAGTCAGGGAGGGATGAGATGGAGTCACGTGGGCACTTAATTAACCCGTGGGGGGGGGCGGGGGGGCTTCTCTGAGGAGAAGCTGAGCCCTGAACCTGGAAGTGCGTCCCAGGCAGCTGGCCCAGCAAGTGCAGAGGCCCAGAGGCAGAAGTGAACCTAGTGTGTCCACTGAGTGGAAAGAAGCCAAAGTGGCTGGAACGTTGGAGTCAACAGGGGTAGGGTACAGACACCGCCAGATGTTGTGGGGGTGGTCAGAGTTTTATTCTGACAACAATCGGAGGTTTTTACGCATGGCTGTCAGGCGGGGGGAATGGAGTTGGGGAGGCAGGTTGGGCTGCCAGGATAGTGGAGCCCAGCCAGGGTCCTCTGTTTGGCCCAGAGAGTGGCCTCCCAGTGGGGAGAGGCTGGTGCCCCAGAGGGCCTGGCACAGCACCGCTTGCACCACTGCCAGCCGGCAGGGCCCCCTGGCTCCTTTGCAAACACGGTTTCACACTGCCTCCATGGGAGCCCTCTGACTCAGGTGGAACCACTGTTCTCGGCTGGCCAGTCCCTCCCCCAGGAAAGGCCCTGCAGCTGGCCGTGGGTGGATCTGGTGGGTAGAATAGCACTCAGGGTCAGGTGGGTTCTTGCATGGACTGCCCTGGACCTCCCTCCACCCTTCTCCAAACAGGCCTGCCTCCTTTATTAACGTCTGCTGTCGGGTGGGGGCTGGGCCCTGGGGCTTGCCTTTCCTTCATGCCCCCTGCTCCCCACGGGCCCTGGGCTCGGGTCAGACCCTGTGGCCTGGAGACAGGGTCCTGTCTGGATGGGCCCTTCCCCTCACTGACCTCTCCCCTTCAGACACCGTCACTTGCCCCAGAATCTGGCTGCCTCCTGTCCCCTGCCGCCTGCCCCCTGTCCCCTGCTGCCTGCGCCCTGGCCCCTGGCAGAGGGTCACAGCGGGAGAGAACCTCCCTCTTTAGAGGGTCCTTAGTCCCATGTCTCCTGACAGACCACCACCACGGACCGAACGTGTGAGTGTTTTTGGCGGATCCTGCCAGCTCTTGCCCACCCTCTGCCCGCTGTCCTTTCCTGCTCGGCCCCACTCAGGGCAGCCTTCCCTGAGCCACAGGGCTGCCCGCACCGCGTGGCTCCCCCAGGCTGTGCCGGGCACCCGTCCTGAGTGCGGGCGGTGGTTCCTTCACTCAGCAAACCCCCCACCGTGGGGAGGAAAGTGGAGCTTGGGCCAGCGGGTGAGTGAGGGGCACCATCGCAGGATTCCGGGGGCCCTGCCGCTCTGCCCGATGCTCCCAAGCTCCAGCGACTTCCTTCTGCAGCGCAAACGTGGGAAGGTAAGTACCTCAGGCGGAAGCCGGGAGGTTTTCCGTGGCGGACATCGGCAGGAGACAGGGTGGGAATGTAGGGCGGGATCCTGGCTCCGCCACAAACTGCAGAGTGCCCCCGGGCCAGCCCTGGTCCTCTGAGCCCAGGCTCCTCTTCGGTCAGTTGGGAAGACCCCGCTTCCTTCAGCAGTACCTGGCATTTGGCGCCCGTCTCGGAGGATCCTTGGGGCGCTGGGCGGGGAAGCGCCCAGCCCCGGGATTTCAGTCCCTGCCGCCCCAGCAGGCCGGCGCCCAGGGCGGAGCGTGGGCTGGGGCTGTCTGGGCAGCTCGCCCGGCCCTGCTCTCGTGCCCTCTGGCGTCAGGCCGACCAGCAGTGTCCTTGGGCTCGAGCGCGTGCAGGGGAGGGGGCGGCCTCTGGTCTCGGGCTCCGCGGAGCGCTCCCGGGGAGGCGGGAGGCGCACGGGCAGACGCCGGGCCGGGCGGGGGCCGCTCCCAAGGAGGAGCTGGGGGAAGGCCGGGATGGGCGCCGCCGCTCGCCGGGGCTCCCCCTGCCCTCGGGGCAGGCAGGTGCCAGGTACCCCGCCGAGGTCGCGCGCCGCCCGGGCGCTCGGCTGGCGCGCTGCAGCCTGCGCGCCGGGGACTTCGAGGCCGTGGGCGGGGCCGCCGCTCGGGGTGCGCGGCGATTGGATGGCGGCTGGGACGCGCGCCGCCGCTCCCTTTGCACACGCCCCTTCCACCTCTCAACGACGCCTCGGAGCGCCGCGATGGGCTCTGCCCCAGTGCGCGTCGGCGATTGGTGGAGGGGCGTGGCCCAGGGGCGCGGCTGCCCGCGGATTGGCCGGGCGCGGCGGGGGCGGACCCGCGCATGCACTTAAGGGGCGGTGCCAGGGGTGCGGGGGGCAGTGCCAAGATGTCGACGGCGGCGGTACCGGAGCTGAAGCAGATCAGCCGGGTGGAGGCGATGCGCCTGGGGCCGGGCTGGAGCCACTCGTGCCACGCCATGCTGTATGCCGCCAACCCCGGGCAGCTCTTCGGCCGCATCCCCATGCGCTTCTCGGTGCTGGTGAGGACGCGGGCGGGCGGCCGGCGGGGGGGGGGCGCCCCTCGGACCCACGCCCGTGACCGCGCTGCCTTGCAGATGCAGATGCGCTTCGACGGGCTGCTGGGCTTCCCCGGGGGCTTCGTGGACCGGCGCTTCTGGTCGCTGGAGGACGGCCTGAACCGGGTGCTGGGCCTGGGCCTGGGCTGCCTGCGCCTCACTGAGGCCGACTACCTGAGCTCGCACCTGACCGAGGGCCCGCACCGCGTTGTGGCGCACCTGTACGCGCGCCAGCTCACGCTGGAGCAGCTGCACGCCGTGGAGATCAGCGCGGTGCACTCGCGCGACCACGGCCTGGAGGTGGGGCCGCCGCCCGGGCCCCGCCCCCCGCCCCGGGGTTTGGCTCTGGCCCCGCGGAAGGCACCGATGGGTAACACGTCCCCCTGAGGGTCCCCTGGCCGGGCGGGTGGGGATCGCTGTCTCCAGCATCTGGGTGGGGAGAGGGGCCTGGGGAGGCGGGGCGGGGCTGGGCTCCCTCGGGGCTGTGTTCCATCTGCCTTGCTGCCTGCCATTGCCAATCCTGGGAGTGGGGAGTGGGATCGGTGGGGGGGCGGGGGGATGGGGCGGTGGCTGCCGGGGGAGGGGGGAAACTGAAAAGGGGACGGTAGGGCTGGGTTCGTGGACTCGGGGAAAGGGGGTTGGGATCTCATGGTTGCAGGGGTTTAAGGCTCTTGGAATCTGTGGGTTTCGTGGTCTGGAAGGGCCGGGAGTGCCACTTGGGGTGTTTGGGACTCACCAGGTGGCAGGGGGAGCATGAGGTGTGAATGGGGGCTTCCTGCCCGCGGATGGGGGGCTGAGACCTGATGTGCAGGGGGTGGGAAGCGCATGGGGTGGCCTTGAAACTTGCTTGGGGAGGAGAGGGGCTGCACTGCTCCAAGGGAGCTGGCTGGCTTCTGCCTCACCAGACCCTGCCAGCGTTCCCCATTGTGTCCTTGGCATCCTGGCTGCCTGTCCCCTGGCCTAGCAGCTCCCAGGCCCCTTCTGCCAGGGCTGCAGGATCAGCGCAGGGGCCTGGCCCCAGCCCTGGTCTCTTCTCCATGCAGGTGCTGGGGCTCGTGCGCGTCCCACTCTACACCCAGAAGGACCGAGTCGGCGGCTTCCCCAACTTCCTGAGCAATGCCTTCATCAGCACAGCCAAGTACCAGCTCCTCTTCGCTCTCAAGGTGCTCAACATGATGCCCGAGGAGAAGCTGGCTGAGGCCTTGGCTGCGGCCACTGAGAAGCAGAAGAAGGCCCTGGAGAAGCTTCTCCCGTCTTCCTCCTGAGGTTGCTCCTGTGTTGAGTGTCTGTCACCCTCCCACAGTTCTGTCTGTGCCCATGGGCTGAGCCTGGGCCCTGAAGTTGTGTGGGAATGTCTTTTAGCCTGTTTCTGTGTTTGCACCCCATTCTAACTATGTGGGGCGAGTGAGCATCTCGTTGTCCCCACTGCCCTGAGCAGTCACTCAGTGGGGGCCAGGCCAGCTGGGACCCTCTCAGGTTGGTCAGTGCACTGGGCCTGGCTCTCCAGGCTCAGGACATTCTCACCCACCTGGAGGCTCAAACCCTCCTCTGTCCAGCGTCATGGGCGGGCAGAGGCCCAGGTGTGGCCCGACTTCCTGGGTGGCTGGGTGCACACACACCTGGACCGTTACATTGGTTTGTTCTCATGGAGGACGCCTTGGTCTGGGTTGACTCACTGCTGCGACCTGCCCCCTGTGCCAGCCCCAGGGCCTAGAGAAGAGCCAGCCTGGGGTAGGATGTCCGGTTAATTCTGGTGGCTGTCAGCTGTGCTCAGTTAGGCTTTCTCTCCGTGGTGTGTGCCTGGGAGAGGCTTCAAAGCAGCTCTACCCGCTGGGGCTTGGCCCTGAGGAGAGTCAGGGCCGTGGGGCCCAGCTGTAGCTGGGGCGCAAGGAGAAAGGACAGTAAAGTCGCTCCTCGGCTGCTCTGTGTGTTCTTTGGTCCTGGCTGGAGGCCCAGGGCTCAGCGCAGGGGGCCTCCCCCGGACTTAAGGACAGGGCCAGACCCGAGAGCTTGGCGTCGTTCAGAGTGGAGCTGCCACAGGCCTCCTGTCCCGGGCGGGGGTGTCCTTCACCTCCTCGTGTTTGCTGTGGCACTGCTGGCCGTGGACCTTTCTGGGCCCTCAGCCTGGTCTGGGGCTTCTGGTCTGGGCCTGTCAATGTGAGCCCCTCTCCTGAGCCTGATGGCTCTGGCTGCCCCTGGGCTGCCTGCTGCTCATTCCTCTGCTTTGAAAGCCCTCCTTTCTCCCCCAGCACCGTCTGCAGGCACCTCCAGGGGACACTCTGGAAGCACTGGCCGAGTGTGCAGATGACAGCAGCAGAGCCACTGCAGACAGGAAGGTCACCACTGGCGGTCTCCTATGGCCATGTCTGGAAAGTCTCCCCAGCGCCCGCCTGGCCTGGTAAGGAGAGCGGCACCCCGCCCAGCTGGGCATCTGTTCGCCTTAGAGCCCGAGGGAGCGGCCGGCGCTGTGGGCACAGGCACTTGACTCTGTAAATAAAGTACCTGGACCTTGCTCCTCTCTCATTTCCGGGGACGTGCTCTGCTCTCCAGGTAGCTTCTGTAGAATCACGGGGGCGCTAAGCAAAGGTGGCCCTAGCTGCCAGGAACAATGGAGCACGGGGTCACTGAGGTGGCTCTGCTCTGCACAGTCTTCTTTTTTTAAATTATTTTTATTTTTTGTGTGTGAGGGAGATTGGCCCTGAGCTAAATTCTGTGCCAATCTTCCTCTATTTTATGTGGGATGCCCCTACAGCATGGCCTGACGACCAGTGCTAGGTCTGTGCCCAGGATCCGAACCTGTGAAGCCTGGGCCACCTAAGTGGAGCATGCGAACTTAACCACAATACCACTGGGCCGGCCCCCCAGGTGTTCTCTGTCCTGGCAGAAAGGGCCTGGACCCCAGTGGGTCACTGCGGCTGAGGGTCTTGGTGTGGCTTTTCCCCTTGCTGTGCTGCGCCAGCCAGTACTGTGTGTCCCCTGACCAGAACTGAGCCCCTCAACAGCTGATCTCAAATTTTATTCTCCAGCAAATGACATAAGCTGCCCAGATGCCCCAGTCCTCACCCCTCAGGGCAAACCTCAGTGTGGCACCTGCGGTGTCGGGGACACGCTCTCTCTCAAGGCCATGCCTGCTCTGGGCCTTACCACCAGGTGCTGAGCACGAGACCCTCAGCCTGCCTCCGTGGGGCCTCACTGCCTGGTGCCGACTACAGCCCCAACCTGCCTCTCTGCTGGCTGCTCCCGGGCCTGCTTCTCGGGCCCCAGCTGGGGCCTGGGCTGCTGCAGCCGCCCGCTCAGGCCCTCTGTCTTCCGGGTGCACAGGTTCAGGGTGGATCAATCACCCGACGTCAGGTTCTGAGGAGAGAAAGGAAGACTGAGGCGGGCACTCACTCAGCTGCCTGTGGACCTGCTCCCCGGCCCGGGCCCCGGGCCAGCAGACACTCACCGTCCCTGCGGCTACGGCTCCCGCCAGTTCTCTTTCCCGTTCAGCACTTGTAGCTTCTCCAGGCTCTGGGTCACGGAGCACAGCACTCGCCCTGGGACGGAGCAGACAGTGACTGCTCTGCAAGTCTGGGAGGGGCATGAGGAAGGGGGGCCCTGGGGAGCACTAGGAATGAATGACCTTGAGGGTCAGCGGGCTGTGGTGGGACTGCCCCACAGCAGCCAGGGGCTCTCCCTGTTCACCCGTCTGGCCCCTGGGAGGGGTGAGGGCCACTGGCTGCCCTCCCGGAGACTCACCCATCTCACAGACTCGATCCTCCAATGCTCCGGACAGCTCAGGGAGGCTCAGGGCCTGCAGGGCAGCCTGCCAGCCTTTGGAGTCTGTGGGGCAGAGGGCTGGGTGGGCCCGGGTCTGTGTGCTCACAGGCCCTGCCTCTTTGTCCTGATCCACTGTGACAGGGGACTCACCCAACTGTCAGTGCCTGTGTGACTCCCTTGTTACATAAAACGTGTTCTGTTCCCGCTTGTTGACCGAAGCACTCACTGCTGGCCAGGGCCCAGCCCCAGAAATGAAAGCGTGAGGGTCCCTGGCTTCCCGCGGGGCTGTGCCCTGGGCCTTCACCTCCTGCCACTGGGAGGGACAAGGAGGCAATGGGCAGAGCAGAGTGCCCTCACCCTGCAGTTTGGGATTGAGTGCAAGGAGGTGTCAGTGTGATAACCGTGCTGAGACAAGTGGTACCCCTGGCCTGGGGAGGCCTCCCTGCCCCCGTCTGCCTGGGCCGGGCTGGGCCGCTGCTTTCCTTACCCGCTGTGGGGAGGGCTGGGCCCAGGGTCGCCCTGCGGGGGGACTCATCCTGCCTCACTCGGGCTGACAGTTCAGCTTGACAGGCTCTGCCAGACACAAGACCAAGTGCTGGTGAGGGGAGAGGTGGCAACAGTGCCTTCTGCGGCCCCAGAGGGCAGGGGACCGCAGAGCCCCACTCCCTGAGTGTAAGGTGGGGCTCTGCCCTGGCCCCCAGCCCACCTCTGTGGGCGTGGCAAGCACACGCCACCCGCACAGATAGGCTCTCGGGGCCTGAGACCAGGGCGGAGGAAGACCTGCAGCGGGTGCAGCTTCTCCAGGCCCTGGCTGCTGCCTGGTCTGTCCTGCAGACGAAATGGGGGGTGGCACCCAGTGACCCCAGGAGGCCCTGGAAATGACCCCTTGGTTGAAGAACCTGGAGGAAACGGTGGCTCAGGGCCTGGCCCTGGCCTAGAAGCTGCTCAGACGCTCACTCACCGCAGCTGGTCCAGTACGAGGGCAGCATTGTGGGCGAGGGCCCAGGTCTCCTGCAGCTGGGCGTGGACGTCCTTGCGGGTGCTGTCCTGCTCCAGGAGGCAGCTCTCCACCACGGCCCGCAGCTCCTGCTCCTGCGACACCTGGCCCCGCATGGCCTCCACCTCCTCACAGCGCTGCAGCGGGACAGGGAGAGGTGGGCGGACATGCTGGGGACATGAGGCCATGGCTGCTCGGGCGGGGTCCCCCTCCGGTTCCATCTCTGCCATCCCGATTGTCACCCTCTCTCCCAGGGGGTACCTCTACGGTACCCCTTGGGTCTCTCCCGCTTTGAGTCCCTCCTGTGAGCTCTCTGGTGTCCACGCCAGCCGCTCATCCTCTGCCTCGCCCTGTCTCTCCTCACTGGTGTCCCTCTGACCTCCTGCTTAATGCCCCATCTTCCTGAGCCTCCTTCCTGCATGCCTGCCTGTGCGTCCCCCTTCTGCTTATGACTCTAATGCTTTCTGCCCTCAGTGTCCTATCGCCGCCCTGGCTGCTTCTCTCTGCTGATGCTGGGTATCTGTCCCCACCACTTGCTCTCCATGGCTGTGTCCTTCCCTACAGGTGTGTGTCTCCAGACACCTCTCGTCCCCTCCCTGGCTCTCCCCACTCACTTTGTGCAGCTGGATGGCGAGCTCTTGCATCTCGGCTTCAAGCCGGTCAGCATAGGCCAGCTCCAGGGCGTCACTAGGGGGGCGGGCACTGCTGTGCCAGCGGGCAATGGCAGAGGTCATCTTCCTCTTGGGCCCAAACAACCTGCAGGGGTGAATGAGAGAAGGACGTGGTTTGGCATCTGCCGTGTGCACAGAGGCTCCATGGACCACACTCCCATCAAAACTGTCCCCCTAGGGAAGATGCCAGCATGAAGGGGAAGAGCGGCCCCCAGGATCCTGGGGCAGAGAACAGCATCCCCGCCCCTGGCTGGCCTCCCCATTTCTTCCCCTCCGCTGCCTGGCTGCTGCTCTCATTGAACAGGGAGCTCGGGCTGGCAGGCTCCAGGTTGTGGACAACTGTCTGTCAGCTCACAAGCTCTCAAAAGTGAACGGACCCTGTGCCCTGAAGGCAGCAGGGTCAGGCAGGCCAGCTTGGGGGCCTCAGGAGGCACAGGGCCCAGCTGTGTGCATCTAGGCCGGGAGGAGCGGCTGTACAAACTGAGGACAGTTCACGGCACGAGGGGAAGCTGACTTCTAGGGGGGCAGCTCTTTCCACACAAATGCCAGGAAGGTGCGACCTGTGCTCGTCCTGGCTCGCCTGGCTAAAGTGACGGGGTGAGGCCACAGACGGCTCCCCGTGACTCACGTGATGCCGATTTCCTTCAGGTCGCTCTCGGTGAGGGTGAGAAAGATGCGGAGGTCCACGTCCTGCTCCTCGAACACCTGCAGATACTTCAGACACCCGATCTGCTCCAGCAGCGTGGCGAGGTCCTAGGGGCAAAGGAGCCAGGACGGGTCAGGGGACAGGTGGGGCACAGAGACACGGGGACAAGGAAAGGCATGCGATGCAGTGCAGAGCCACTTCTGCAAGCATGCAGTCGAGAGGTCACGTCCCCGTGCTGAGCCCAGCAGATTCCCCAGGTGCAGCAGTGGCACAGACTGGACTGCGGATGGAGAACCCAGCTGCCACCCGTTGCAGCCCAAAGGACAGCGGCAGTATTTCTTGTAGGCAGGTCCGCCAGCAACACCTCGGCGCTCCCAGTCTCTGTTAACTGGGACTGTCTCGACGGCTCCTGCCCCTTCAAAGACTAGTTTTTGCTGGCTGTGGCATTCCTGGTTGAGTCTTTTTCTTGCATGACTTTGGACATGGCATCTGAATGTCTTCGGTCTCCAGTCTCTGACAATGAATGGGCTGTTCATCTTACTGAGTCCCTGGTTGGGGAGGAGTCACCTCTCCTGCTCCCTTCAGGACTCTGTTTCTTGACAGCTCATGATATGATGAATCCAGGTGTGCGTCTGAGTTTAACCTAGAGTTCACTTAGCTTCCTGGATGTGCAGATCCATGTTTTTATCAAATTTGGGAAGGTCTGACTATTTTTAAAGCACTCTGCTCTTCTCCCCCCCTCTCCTGGAACAGCATTCTGTGTACACGGGCACATGCCCGACGGGGCCTCACAGGCCCCTGCGCACGCCTCTCCCTCTTCCCTCCACTGCTCAGAACTGCCGCCGCGTCCCCAGTGCAGGGATCATTTCAGTCACCGGACTTTTCGACTCCAGAATTTCTCTTTGGTTCCTTTTTATTTCTCTCACTATCGATAGCCTCCATTTAGACGTGGTTTCCTTGAACTGCTGGAACGTATCTGTAAGAGCCGATGTAAAGACTTCGTCTAGGGAGGCCAGTGTCTGGGCTTCCTCGGGGCAGCTTCTGTTGATTCCTTTTTTTTTTTTTTTTTAAAGATTTTATTTTTTCCTTTTTGTCCCCAAAGCCCCCCAGTACATAGTTGTATATTCTTCGTTGTGGGTTCTTCTAGTTGTGGCATGTGCGACGCTGCCTCAGCGTGGTCTGATGAGCAGTGCCATGTCCGCGCCCAGGATTCGAACTAACGAAACACTGGGCCGCCTGCTGCGGAGCGCGCGAACTTAACCACTCGGCCACGGGGCCAGCCCCTGATTGCTTTTTTACAGTATACAAGTCATACTTCGTTTCTGGGCGCATCTCGTCTTTTTTGTTGAAAACTGGACATTTTAATGGGGCAGCTCTGGAGATCCGGTTCTCCTCCCTCTGCGGTTGGTTGTTGCTGCTTGTTGAAGCTGTTGTTTGTTTAGTGGCTTTTCTAACAATTCTGTCAAGTCTGTATTCTTCCCCACACGTGGCCACTGAAGTGTCTACTCAGTCCCCAGTGGTCAGCTAAGGACTGGAGCGGTTCCCTTCACCACCTGGAGCCAGCAGGCCTCGCCGTCCTCCCTGCGGAGCCCTCACGCCGGCTGGGGCACACCTTGCACGCTCTGCCAGGCCGATGGCACTCCTGCTTCGCCTTGACCTCCTGCTTGCTCAGTCTCAAGGTCATCGAGAGGTCTTCTCTCTGAGCATACACTCTGCCTGGAGCCTGTGTGTGGCCCCCTAGAGCCCCAGGAACATGTCAGAGCTTTGCACAGCTCCTCTGGACGTCTCACTGCCCGGCTTTTCCTTTGAAGTCTGTGGGTAATCTTGTCGCCCCAGCTGTTCCCTAGCACCTCAGGCAGCCGTCCAGTTAACAGACGAGCCTGCCCAGGGAGAGGCCTTGGTACTGGGTGGTCACGCTCCCGGTCAAGTCAAATAGGTCTTGTAAGTGTGGTCTTCTAGGGCACCATCAGACAGGCTCCATAATGCCGACTCTGAGAATGGAACTTTGAAAGAGCTCCAGCTCTGTTCTGCCCCCTCCGGTGGCTGTCACAAGCCACCCTGGCACTGGAGAGCGGGGGACGGGACCAGGGCACATTGCAACGCTACAAAGGTCACGGTTCTTACTGAGGTTCAGCCATTTCTCTTGAATAAACGTTCTCCAGGTTGCTGCAAGCCTTTAGTTAACTCACATAGTTCTGGAAAAACTGATTCTGACCACTTTTGCCAGTTTTTTCGTTGCCTTTAATGGATGAGCAAATTTTCCAAGGTTGTTACTCTGCCATTTCCTTAACCTAGTTTCTCAAACAGCCTTCAGACCCCACGACCCCTGCCACCAAAGGCTCTAATCAACATGCTTAAGGAGCCACAGCGGCAGCTGCTCCCCGAGCCTGGGCCGCAGGCCTGGAGAGAGCCCCTGGAGGGCTGCAAGGAGAAGCTGGCACAGGCACAGGCTTTCAATGGACAGCAGAGCTGTGCCTAACAAAGAAACAACGAATCCTCACTCGGTCTCTCTTCTTTGTGCCACTTCTGCCCGCAGAGGCAGGAGCTCTCAATTGACACCTGAGACAGCTGAGTGCTGTGGCTCCTGTGACCCTAAGGAGCTGCTTAGCCGGAGCAGCCTGGGCCGAGGAGGGCGGCAGCAGCGGTTGCTGCGTCACACTGTGCCACTGTCTTTGCCCCTGTGCGTCTGGTTTCTCTCCTCCCCAGGCTCAGGGGGGGCTGAACGGAGTACAGAAGTGAGTATGGAAACCAGTGGAGAGAGACCCCTCCTGTGGAAAGGGCCACACACAAACCCTGCAGCTGGCCCCTCTGACCACTGGGAACCCTTGCAGGCCGAGCAGCTTTACAGGCCACTGGGGGAAAAATCGCCACCACTCTCCTCTCAGCAGTACCGGGCCCTCACAAGCCTACTGTAAACGCCTCACGAGGCACAGAAAGCGCCGTCTCTAACCACTGGTTTCACAAACGGCCTTACCTGGGGTCCTGAGTAGGGGGGCTGCTCCGCCTGGGGCACAGATCCTGGGGAACAGGCAGCCGCGGGGCTGGGATGCCACTGGCTGTCACTGTTGCTGTGCCGATTCTTGGCCTTCACGTAGCTTTTAGTTTGCTTGCGAACCGAGCTTTTCCGCACGTGGTCCGAGTCCTGTGGCGAGAGGAGTGTGTGTAAAGTGACACTGACGGCTCACGGTGAGTGTGGCTGCATCCAGGCCCTGCCCACCGCCCACGGCTCCAGCTGCGCACTCTGGATCAGAGCCACTTCCCTGGGTGGCGGGGCGGGGGGGCGGTGGTTAGGATCTGAAACCCTTTGTGAACCCCCCACCTGCCACACGGAGGCTTCCTTGGTGACTCCCCCCATGGTCTGTGCCACCTACACCCAGGTGGTGGCCCTAGAGGGTGGGCCCAGACCTCATAAGTCCGAGCACAGCACAGACACACATAAAATACTCGTTACCAGATGCAGCCATCTCAGTGAACTAGCAGACACCCCCATGACTGAGGAAGGGGAGTGAGACAGGAGGTCAGGATCGGAGGAGAAGCAGACCTCGTTGCTCTCCAGAGAGGCCTCGCTGCTCACTCCCGGGGCCCTCGCCAGACCCTCGCTGCTGCTGCTGCTGCGCACGGCCCCGAGGTGGGCACAGAAGGCGTGCTCTTCTGCAGTGGAGAAGACAAGGACGTGACTGCAGGTCTGGCCCGGGGTGACTCCCCTGAGCCCTGCACCCGAGTGGTCTCATCGCCAGCACTCATCAGCTCCTTCCACAGTCACGTGTGCTCTGCGTCATGCTGCCCACCTGCCCAAGCCCAACCCCAACCCCCTGCACACACAGGCAGCGTGTGCGTCTTTCCGCTTCACGAATCAATCCAGGCATCCAGAACAGAGCTCGGCACAGAGGGCACTCGGTGACCAGCTGCTGAATGAATGACACCAACACTATGACACAGACGCTTCCTGTCTGTTCTGAATGACTCCCGCAGACCCCGCCTGGAGAGACGCTGGGCCGGAAGCTTCTCCTCACCTGGCCCCATGCCTGATTCTCTGCCTCTCCTCGAGAGAGCCAGGGCCCTCGTTCTCGACTGGACAGCTCGTCAGCACCAAGCCCCGAAGGTTGGGGTTGTGGGGCACCCAGGAATTCCTACACCTGACTGCGCCCCTGGCCGAGCAGTGCAGGGGGAGGGGGGTGGGCGCACGTACCCCGGCTGCTGCTGCTGCTGCTCTCCACGTCCCGGTCGTTGATGGGGGAGGTGACATCCCTGTAGCAAAGGCCCCCCTCTTCCAGGGGGTTCTCTTCACTGCTGTTGAAGGTGACATAGCCCCGGGGAGGCACCTGCTCTGTGGACAGAATGGGGCGCGTGAACCCACAGGAACACGAAAGGGAGACGAGTCCTCCTACCAGATGCAGCCGCCACCTCAGGGGAACCTCGCGTGAGGGAAGGCCCCGCTGCAGGCAGGCAACTCGCACCCTCCTGGCCATCACCTCATCTACTATGTTAGGTGCTGACTGCGGGTGAGGAGACAGGCTCCGAGGGGATCGGAGACCAGTGTGTGTCCCACAGCAAGTGCACGCTGGAGCCAGGGCCGGCACAGAGTTGAGCCCGGTGCCCTCTCCACACCATGCTGTTTCTTTGCCAAATGCAAAGAGTAGGGAACGGCAAGCTGTATTTACAGACTCCTGAGCCACAGGAAAGCAACAGTGCTGGATGTTCCTTTTAGCTGGAAACGTGATCTCAGACACGGCAGCCTTCATTGCCCCGAGCCTTCCCAACATGGCACCGAGGGGGCTGCTCACAGGTCCGTGTGCCCTGGCCGGAAAGAGACCTGGCTGAGCAGGAAGGGAGGAGGCCTGGGGTAAAAGTTAACAGCAGTCACATCAGATTACGTAACCTCTGAATGGATCTGCCCGCAGGAAAACAAGGAGGAAAGGCAGAACTCAAACCAGAGTTTAATTCCAATTTTGCCCCTGCCCCTCCCCACAGAAAGTACATTTATTTGCAGCAAACAGACTGGCTGGTGGGGCCATGGATAGCTTATTCTCTTCTTTATACCTTTCCGAAGGTATTGAGCTTTTTTACAATCAGCACATGCCATTCATCATTCAAAATGTTTTTTAAGTGTTGGCAAAGCGAATATATGCACCTATATAAAACTTGAACATCACAACGTTTAAGAGGAAAAAACAAACGCTCCTGAAATGCTGCAACTGAGAGACAACTCCTTCACTACGCTGGAGAGCGTCCTTCCAGCCTTCTCTGTGCGTGCATAAAAAGAGCTATGTACAGGGGCTGGCCCCGTGGCCCAGTGGTTAAGTTTGCGCGCTCCACTGCAGGCGGCCCAGTGTTTCGTTAGTTCGAATCCTGGGTGCGGACATGGCACTGCTCATCAGACCACGCTGAGGCAGCGTCCCACATGCCACAACTAGAAGGATCCACAACGAAGAATATACAACTATGTACTGGGGGGCTTTGGAGAGAAAAAGGAAAAAATAAAAAAAATCTAAAAAAAAATAAAAAAAAGAACTATGTACAGGGGCCGGCCCAGTGGTGCAGTGGTTACGTTCGCACACTGCTTTAGTGGCCAGGGTTCGAGAGTTCAGATCCCGGGTGTGGACCTGCACACCACTTGTTGGGCCCTGCTGTGGTGGTGTCCCACATGCAAAGTAGAGGAAGATTGGCACGGATGTTAGCTCAGCAACAATCCTTCTCAAGCAAAATAAGATTAGCAATGTTAGCTCAGGGCCAATCTTCCTCACAAAAAATAAAAAATTACAAAAAGTTTAAAAAAAGAATGCTGTACAAATGGGCCTCGGCCGCAGATTATTTTGGTAACGTGAAAGAATTCCATTTTAGAAAAGCACTTATTGTATGGCTACACAGATTAATTGTACACCCTACCCCGAGGCAAGACCTGTCCTTCCTATGCCCCCACCTGTCAGGGTGGGACAGGTAGTATTGACTCCTCAGGGGAAATATACTCTGCCACTCAAAAAAGAGTCAAACTCAGCCAAAAGTCCCAGAGCTGTGCGCTTTACAGCATGCCAGACAGGCTCCGAGGTGCGCCTCACCCTGTGGCAGGAGCTAGAGGAGGGCCTCCCCAGGGGCCCAGTCAGCCCGCTGCTCCAAGGACACAGGAGAAGGCGGGCCTGGAGGTCCCAGCCCAGGACTCCTTCCAGGGCTCTTGGATGGGAATCAAGTTACTCACACACTCTCGATGCAACACGGTCTCCTCTGACTGGGAAAGTCGGTCTCCTCCCAGCCCAGACCTAAGAGGGACAGGTGCTCCCGGGTAACAGTGGCCCATCTACCCAGCCTGCTACACTGGCAGCCTCGGCCTGGCCACTGATGGGTGACAGACGTCAGAGGAAGGCGCAACTCATACTAAGCTTGGTCAGGCCCGAGCAGGAGAGTGAGCATCAAACCCGACTCACCCCAGGACCGTCGCCCCCCGCACTGCCCAAGAGCACTGCACTCGACACTCGGGAGTCGACAGTTAGAGGATAAACTCAGCAGATCTGGGCACTCGGAGTCTAGGATGCTAGCCCACCAAGCGTTCCACCCAACAGTCCTCAGGAGGGTTTGAGCATCAAATCCATCACCTGGAGGACAGAGCAAGAGTGGGGTCATCCCCCAGCCTGCCCCAGAGGGACATCCAACGCCGGGCCGGCAAATGCAGTACGATGTTCTGCCCAGGTGACTCAGAGGGAGGAGGAAGTGGGACCCCATCACACCTTCCCTGCACCAGCTGACCCACCCATCTGATGAGTGAAACCTGAGCTTAGCTACATTTCTGCTGCTAGAAAAAAAGTGCTACTTGTAATTTTAACCAATCTAAAGGACAATCAAAGGATGACCCAAAGCCCAAGAGCTAGCTGGTGACTAACGTGTTTCCATCACTGTGACCAACTCTGAATCCTAGAGCTGTTGCTTCCGCCCAGTGGCCCACACTTCAGGAGCCTGAGAGTTGTTCGTTCTCGTCAAGACAGAATCTTGGAACACCCGTCAAAGAGGCATCAGGAAATGGGGCGCGCTCACCGTAGCCAGGCCGCCGGGCCGTGCCCCCCAGGCCGACAGCTGTGATCCTGGCCAGGGCTCGCGGCCCCTCGTGGATGCTCAGGCCCTTCTTCCGACAGGGCCTCTGTCGCTGAGGAACAGGGAAGGATTCGTCCGAAGAACTGAGATCTTCGTACTTTTCTGTGGGTTAGACACCAAAAGTAAGACACTTTGTTCAGTGATGGACTAACTGACAAATCCTCATAGTAAACTGGAAGAAAATACTCGTAACTGGTTTTCTTAAATTAAGAAGAAAAGTGTGTTTCCCGGGACTTCACTTGTAAGAAATGCCATAATGGGGCAGACCACTGCTCAGACGAGCCGTGGGGACATGTAGGGGCAGCAAGCTTGCTAGGCATGAGGCTGAGCTGAAAAAGTTCATTGTGAAGGAGGAGTCTAATTCTTTTTCCGCTCTTTGGGTTTGCAGAATTTTTTATAACATGCGTGTATTATGTTTATAATCAAAAATAAATTTTGTTCTAAATTGAAGTGATAAGATCCATCTCTTCGTAAACGTATGGCAACATCAGTTACAACTTCTCAGCAGTTTTATATTCTCAACCTGGACAACGTCTTGGGAAACAAGCGCCACACGATGGCTGTGTGTGTGCTGTTTTAGGAAGGATTTCAAAGGACCACCCGCCTGGGCCTCAGAGCTCAGCATGCTCACAGCAGTTACAGTTGTATAGCTTTCATGGTTTCCATATTTCATCGCACCTAGAAGGCAAAATTCAGGGATTTATTGGTATAAAGCTCCCAGCTGATAAGATCTCATTTTGGAGTGGGGACCCTGGGGTGGAGATATGCGGAGAAGTCCTTCACTCCACTGCGCTCATGTGTGCTGGTTTATCACAAAACAGCCCTGAGGCCAGGAAGGGAGCTGGGCTGAGCCAGGCCCTGGAAAGGGAGCGGCCCACTCAGATGTGAACTGACAGCTCAACTCAGCAACTGCCTGGCGAGCGAGGCAGTTGCTGGCCCAGGTTCCAAAGGCTTTGACCATTCTCCCCACCACCCCGGCCTTCACCTCACTCCCATCTGCTCTAGGATCGAGGCCACCAGGAGACCATGGTCCCATCCTAGCAGAAGATGAAGGCATCATAAAAGATAAACATACAAGGGAGGGGAAACCAAGGAAAAGGCGGCTCCATGAAGCTGAGCCTCCGACATGTCCTCTCACGCCTGCCCGAGTCGGCAAGGACGACAGACAGAACCACACGAATCCCACGCCATCAACGTAGCCCGGACGCAGAGAGCCCGCAGACTGCAAAGTTCCCCGCCCCTGGGAGGAGGAGACAAACCCCGTTTCCAGCAGAGAAGACTGCCTCCTTGCTCGCCCCATTCTCTGTGGGGAGCAAAACAAGTCTAGAAAAAAGCCACACAGACGTGAGAAGAGGGGAAGGAAGTGCCAACGTCACCCTCAGAAAGACAGAGTCCATTCAACAGGCAAAAAGACTGGAAGAGAATCGGAGTGGAGCGGAGCATGAGCACAAGGAAGTGACTTAAGAATGTGCCAGGGACCTGAGGGAGCAGTCTTAGCACAGCCACACTTCCAGAGAGGCACCTTTTGGGAACTGGGCAGTGAAGAAAAAAGCAAGCAGGGGATGTTCAGGATCTGGCAAGACAAAAATCCATCAGAGGACACACGATGGTTGGCCTAATTACATCCCCCTCCAAAAAAAAAGCCACCCAGTAAGGTGACTCTCCTTGCGACACTATGGGGAGGGAGTTCCTGAACCAGGACTCACACATGGGCCAGGCCACTATGTCCTGTCTGTGAGAAAGCACAAGTGAGCTTCATCCACATACAACCACAGGGAGGACTCAGAAAGGAGATCATGCACTTCAGCAGATGAAAAGCGCCCCCCCCGACCAAAACCAACAAGGGGCAGGCAGAAGAGAGCTCTAAGACAACACACTGGACTGACACAGCCTTCAACAGCATCTGGGGGTCGGAACAGCAGCCTGAATCAGAAACTCAAAAGCTGAGAACAAACATGCACACGCACACGGAATCGTGAGAAAAGAAAATGGAACTCAGGAAAGAAAGAGGAAAAAAAAGTCAAAGTACAAATGAAGACTAAATTACAAGGCACCCGAGGAAGAAGAGATCCGAACAGAGACTTAACCAGAAGCACTGAAGAAAAGTAAGAACCACCAAAGACGGAACGGGCGGAGAGAGAAGTAAAAGGGCCAGAGAGAAATGGCACAGACAGAAGGCAGGCAGAACGAAGAAAGACAAGGGGAAGGAACCACCGAAACAGACGACACTTACAAAAAGAGAGAGAAAAAAACTATTTTGCAGACCTCTATGTAAATAAGTTTGCAATCCTGGATGAAATGATTTCCTAGGAAAATACAGTTTACCAAAATTGACCCCAGTGAAATTAGAAAGCTTCAGCCGACCAATTTCTACAGAAGAAATTGAAAAACTTATCAAGGGACCATCCCCCAAAGAAAGACCAGGCCCAGATGGTGTCACACGAGAATCCCAGCAAACGTTCAAAGACCATGGGGTACCAATGCTGCACAAATTGTTCCAGAGCACAAAAAGGGAAGGAAAACTTTCGAATTCTTTTTATGAAGCAAGTGTAATACTGGGACCTATACCTGAAGACAGAACAGAAGAATTACAGACCGATATCATTTATGAAGGATTAGACACACCAAAACACTAAATACCAGCAAACAGAATCCAACACCATGTTAAGAAAAGAATACACTAAGTGGGATTTATGCCAAAGATATGAAGTTGGTTCATTATTAGGAAATTCATTAATATAATATACCATATTAACAGATCTAAGGAAAAAATTCACAATCATCTCTATAGATGTTGAAAAAGTCTTTGACAAAATCCAACACTTATTCCTGTAAAAAAAACACTCAAGAATATAGGAAACGACAGATACTTTCTTAACATGATAAAATACATGCACACATTACTCTTAAAGCCAGCGTCTTACTTATGTGGCATTTCCAATAAGGTCAGGACCAGGCGAATGTTCACCATCTGCATTATATTCACATCGTACTGGAAGTATGAGTTAATGCAGCTAATGAAAGAAATCAGAGGTATAAAACTCAGAAAGAAGCAGTAAATCTATCTCTAGTTGCAGATTATATGGTAGTATACCGGGAAAAGCCTAGAGAATCGGTCAACAAAACTAACTCCAACAATGAAAGAATGCCGTAAGGCAGCAGAATGTGACGTTGGTATGCAGACATCAATAGCTCTCCTATTCACAGACAACAAGCAGGTAGATATAATGGTACTGAAACCCCATTTACAACAGCAACAAAGAAAATCATTTAGGAATAAATGTACATTATGTACAAAACGTATACGAGGAAAAATTTAAAACTTGAAAAAAGGACATCCGTTGTTGTCAGACAGGACTACTCAACAACATAAAGGGGTAGTTAATTTATCAATCTGCCGCAATCTCAATCTCAACACTGTTTTTAAGGCGCTAGACAAGTTCAGACAGAAAAATAAACAAGCAATAGCTAGGAAAACACTGAAAAAGGCAAGTGATGAGGGAGACTAGCCCGACTAGACAGTAAAGCACATCACAAAAAGCCTCTCTAATTGAAACAGCGTGGGTCTCGAGCGTGAACAGAATAGGAAGTCCAGAAACAGCCAAGCACAAATGGGTACTTCGTATGTATGAGAAAGACAGGTTCTCAGATCACGAGGTCAAAGGTGGACTTTTGAATAAATGATGCTAGGACAACTGGGGAGCCATCTGAAAAAACATACCTCACACCATACATGAAAATAAAGTGTAAATGGATCAGAGAGCCAAATGTAAAACATGAAACCATATAAGTACTGGGAGAAAACACTGGCGAATTCCTGTGCAACCAGGGCACGGGGAAGATTTTTGGTGACTCAAAATCCAGAGGCAATAAAAGATTGATGAAAATGACTGTGTAAAATAAAACATTTTGCATGGCAACAAACACCATAAGCAAAGTCAAGAAGAAAACCCGGCAGCAAACCCTCGTGAGGCTGCCCTGCCTCCCCCGTGGGCGCCACCCGCCCTGCACCCCAGGCACATCTTCACCTGGCAGGTGCCACTCACACTCTCACTGGTCTCCCTCCCGTTAGACAAGTGGGCCTCAACCTTGACTGCACAGTGGAGTCACCGGGGAGCCGGAGAAGGTGCCTGGCAAGGCTGCGGGACCCAGATCTCAGGGCGGCAGTGGGAGCCAGGGGAGCAGGGGTCTTCTTTCTCCCATGAGATTCGCACAGAGGGCAGAGGCAGGTACCTGGGCTCCGATAGAGACTCTTGGGCAGAGAAGGCGAGTGAGCGTCTATCAACCCCACAATCTTCATGTGTCCATACTGCTTGGCCAGCATCCGGGCTGTGGCTCCACTGTGGTCTCTCGTATCCACCTGGACTCCCTGTGAAAGTTGGGGAAACAAGAGATGTTAGGAACCTCCGCTGCAAAGCACCCTCACCTCCCTGGACGGACCCTGCTGGACCCTGGACGAGAAGAGGAAGTTGCACCTGCTCCTTAGCACCACCATGAAAAGGTCTGCGGCCCGGGTTCACCCCACATCTGCGCGAGAAAGAGGCGAGAGCCTGTGTGGCCTCCCTCTCTTCTCAATGACAGGACTAAGTGGGGCAGGGCTGGGGGGCCTGGTGGCTCATCCAAAGGAGCAGTAATGCGGCCCCTGACGGCTGTGCCTCTGCAGGTTCACTCCTTCCATTTGCAGCCCCAGGGGCAGGCAGATACTTAATGGACAGAGGCAGCCCTGCGCTCAGGGTGCGGGAGAGCCCAGCCTTCACCCTTTGCACCTGGGCACCAGAGACGACAGATTCACCAGAGAAGCAGCCTTTAAAAGTCACAGTCAGAATGAGCTCCGCCCTCCTGAGACAGAGCGTGCTAACTCGCATCCATAGCCCTACAAAGCACTTAGTCTTCAGGACGGTAATTCCACTTCTTCGACTCTGTCCTAAGGAAACAGCCCCAAACACAGAGAAAGCATTAAGGCACAAAGCTGTTCAGCACGACATATTTGCAATAAGGAAAACCTGGAGACAACTTAAATGCTCAGGGTGGAGAGTCAGCTATGTGACTGCCGTAAATGCTGGTATTTACAAACAGTTGGTATAAGCACATTTAAAAAAACGACCATGATACAAAACCGTATATAACTGCAGTGAAACAAGACAAAACAAGAAAGTGAATAGAAAGCAATACCGGAAGGAAATATGCCCAAACGGTTAATATTATTTTTAAGCAGTAAGATAACAGGCAATTTCCCCCTCTTCCTAATCTTCTATATTTTCTAAATTTACTACTATGAGCATGCTTACTTTTGAAACGGGAAAAGCCCACTAAGCTTTCCATTATTAAAAGCTTAGCCATGCAATCTCGTAGCTGAGGGTGGGTGACTGGAGCGCAGTGCTCTGGAAGCAAATCAGGAGGAAGTGGAAACAGTAAAAGTGCACAGACCCTTTGACTCAGTAGTTCCACCTCTAGGAATTTAACCTCAGGAAATAACTAAGGGCATACACAAACATTTGGGATCCTCCTGCAGCATTTAGCATAGTGAGAACCGGAAAGAACCTAAAACAGGGCCTTAGTGAAGTAACTGCAAACACATCTATAGAGTGGAACAATGCCACCGTCGACACGACAGGTCCAGATGTCTGCAGCAACCCGGACAGGCGTGCACAAGACATGGATAGAGAAGACATGCGTAGAACAAAACATTCTGTCTAATGGGATTCCACTTTGACTTAAAATACATCTCTCTTAAAAACTAGAAGGACACTCGACACTGTTAACCTGTGCTCTCTCTGGGTGATGGGATTATGAGTGGGTTTTGCTTTCTTTTTGCTTAATTCTACTTTCTAATCCTTTTATTGCAAGTATATATCACTTGTATAATAATTACATAGTACTCTTTCCCCCTATTTTGAAAAGCTATGATCAACGGACAGTCTTGGTTGAGCCCAGTTCAGAAGGGGGCTATCACACTTCCCTCTGGTAGGAAAAATCCACATTTTTACAAGAGCCTAACTGAGCTTTACTTTCTACAATCCCCCACTGTCCAGGGCTCTGGTTAGAAACCAGCTACGGAACCTTCAGCCTTAAAAGAAGTTTCTGGGGGGAGAGGGAGGGGGATCGGATGAAGGTGGTCAAAGGCACAAAGTTCAGTTATGGGATAAATAAGTCCTGGGGTGTAATGTGCACCCTGGTGACTACAGCCCCACTGCTGTGTGACACATATGCAGGCTAACAGGGTAAGTCCTAAGAGTTCTCCTCACAAGGAAAATTTATATATATGTGCATCTCTGAGATGATGGATGTTAAGTAAACTTGTGATAATCATCTCACAATACATGTAAGTCAAATCATTCTGCTCCACGCCCTAAACTTACAGATGTGTATGTCAAATATATCTCAATAAAACTTGGGGGAGAAAAAGATAATTTCTTGTTTCAGTTTGCCAGAAGGGACCCAGAGGTTTCAACCAGAACAAACAATATCATCTTCACTATAGGGTTTTAACTAATATCTGTTTTTAAGCCTGGAAGATTTCAACTTCAGACTATACTAAAGGGGGAAAAAAGCAGTAATACCATTCTTAGTGAGTAAGAAATGAGGAAGAAAGCAGAACTGAGAACAAGAAGGTTCCTGAGGTAAGGAAAGAAAACATTAGAATTTCTATTTATTTATCCTTTAAAATTTTTCCCATTTTTCTTCCTATTTTACTTTGTACGTAATTTATTATTAGAAAGTACATGATCAAAACTCATTTTAACAGACAGGAAAGTGGGATGAGAAAGCTGAGAGGCCGCAGAGCAGGCTCCCGGCGGGCATACTCCTCACGCAGAGAGCCAGGTCTCCACCCTCAGCTCTCTCCCGGGAGAGGCCCGCCACGCCCAGTCCTCCTGCCCCGGCTGAGCCGCCCGCCCGGGGCTGGCCCTGAGGGAGGAAGGGAAACAAGGCGCTGGGGAAGCAGCTGCACCTTCTCTCCCCTGGCAGAGCCCGGGTGCCCGACCACTCGTCCACCTCCAAGGAGGGAGCCTGGCTCTGGAGCGGCAGGGCAGGAAGAGCGGGTGGGCCCTCTGGCTCCCTGCAGTCTAACCATGACTGAGTAGGAGGACATCGGCGGGGAATGAGGGATAGCCACCCAGGGCTGCTGGACGGCCTCCCCAGCAGCGGAACAACCTAGCCCATCACCACACACTCCGAGCCGTGCCCACCGGCTGCTCAGCCAGAAACTGACCAACACCTTCGATTCCTGATTGGTGCCCTGGAGAACTCACTCTTGATTTCCTGAGTTTGATAATTGTATGTGAGTACAAAAGAGAAAATTCTAGTTTTGAAATATACACGAAAGTATTTAGGGAGATAAGGGCATTACGGCAACAACTTACTTACAAATGGTTCCCAAAAAGACAATATGTATATAGAGAAAATGACAAAGAAAATGAGGTGAAATGTTAACATTTGGAGAATTTAGTTAAGGTATGCAAATTCTTTTACTATTTTGTGACATTTCTTTGAGTCTGAAATTACTTCAAAATTTAAAAATTTTGCCAAAAGAAATCCAACACAATTTGTTTTCACTGAATATGAGTTGCCACACACAATCTCAGACCTAGCTGGGGAGGCCAGGCACCAAACGAGGGCATAATCTGCATGCAGATAAACGATCTAAAGCCTCCGATTTTTCAACGTTTTCTGTTTAAAGAACTGTGAGAGTAACTGTCCCTTAGATCTCTAGTTCTACCTTATTTAAGAGCAGACTCTGGGGGGCCGGCCCGGTGGCATAATGGTTAAGTTCATGCGCTCCCCTTCGAGGGCCCAGGGTCTGTGGATCTGGATTGGGCGTGGACCTGCACTGCTCATCAAGCCATGCTGTGGCAGTGTCCCATATACAAAATAGAGGAAGACTGGCACACAAGTTAGTTCAGGGTCAATCTTCCTCACCAAAAACAATTTTTAAATAAAAATAAAATCAGACTCTAAACTCAGAAGCAGAGGTTATGCTTTTCACCGTTCTGGGCTCCTACCCATCTATTCTTTTTTTTTCTTTTTTCTTCTTCTTCTCCCCAAAGCACCCCAGTACGTAGTTGTATATTCTAGTTGTAGGTCCTTCTAGTTGTGCTCTGTGGCACCTGCCTCAGCATGGCCTGATGAGCAGTGCTATGTCCACACCCAGGATCCGAACCAGTGAAACCCTGGGCCACCGAAGTGGAGCGTGAAAACTTCACCACTCGGCCATGGGGCCAGCCCCAACCAATCTATTCTTGACTCTATGCTATGTCTTAAGAATGCCTTGTATGTGTGGGTGGAATTACCTTCAAAGAATAATTATTTGCAGAAAAGGAAGCCCAAATGGCTAATAAATGTATGAAAAGATGCTCAACCTCACCAGAAATCAGGGAAGGGCAAAAATGAACAGGAGACAGCTCCGTGAAACCACATACCAAGTGTTACTGAGGGTGCAGGAGATAAGAGCTACCAAATCCGACTAGAGGACTGTCAGGGGGACAGCTGTGGAGGAAGCTATTTATCCGATCTATGAACACTGGGTGGGGAAGATGCACCCATCCTTCACACTAGCAATTCTACTTTGAAGAACACATCCTGATCCAAAGAAATCCCTTCCAATGTGCTCAAGAAGACAGATAAAAATGCCAAGTGCAGCGCTGTTAGGAATAGCAGAGTGGACACAACTTAAACATCCCCTGAAGAAGGAATGGATAAACGTAATATATTCATATAGCCCATAAAGACAGAACTGTTAAAATGAGTGAACCACATCTACACATAACAACACTCTGCTGAATGACACATAGAGTTGGGTATGTTATTTACATAAATCTTTAAAATATATAAAATAAGTCTGTGTATTGCATAAGGACACAACGTATGTGATGAAAGTATAAAATCAGGGACAGGAGAGGTGCGGATCAACATCTGGATAGAGGCTACCTCTGGATCATGTGGGTTAGCTGTATGAGTACTGTCTTCTGTACTTTTCTGTATGTTTCAGGTACTTCAGAATTTAAGATTCTGAATTCTTGCTGCTGTGGAAAGAGTGTAAGTTGGTACAACTGGTTCTTTGGATGGCAATTTGGCAACAACCATGTTAAAACTGCACTTACGCTCCACCCAGAACTGCTACCTTCAGTGCTGAACCGTAGAGATGTGGTCGCACATGTGTCCAGAGATACGCGTGCACAGATATTCTCCACCGCACTGTGCGAAGAGGCAGACGGTTGGCAACGACCTAATTCTATCTTAGAGCACTGTTACAGAAACTCTGATTCATCCCGACAAGGGAGTCCCGTGCCGCCACAAGGAGAGAGAGAGAAGAGAGCTTTATATATGCTGATAGAGAACCATCGCCAGGATAGACAGTTCGGTTTAAACAAAGCAAGCACGCTGGAGAACAGCCATGGGGAGGGCGACCAGGAGGCGGGAGGCAGGCACCTGTATGGACCTGCTGTCTCATCCGCATTTTTACCACATAAATGTACTGTCCCCAAATTCCTTTTTAATAAGAGACAGCATGTTAACATTTTATTATTCTAAAGTTCCCACGAATAAGTACGAAAAAACAACTATCCAAGAGAAAATTGGCCCCCAAACATAAAGAGACAGTTCATAAAAGAAATACAAATGGCCAATGAACATATTTTTAAATGTTCAACCTCACTAGTAAGTACAAACCAAAGCAAGATGCCACTTTTCTCCCCTGAGATTGGCAAAAAAATTAAGACAGGTAACATCCAGGGCTGGAGAGGACATGAGGAAATGGGGCCCTTCATAGATTCCTGGTGCGAAGGACGACAGGGACAACCTTTTCAGTAGGACTTTGTTAGAATTTAGTAAATATTTTCCCCCACTGGATTTCTTTAACAACCTCATTAAGATATAATACACATAGCATGCAATTCACCCACTGACAGTGTACCATTCAATGGGGGGCAACCATTACTGTGTGGTAACACGATCAATTTTACAACAATTTCATCACCCTAAAAGGAAATCCTATACCCCTCAACCATCACCCTCTCCCCAATCTTCCCACCCCCCCCAGTCCTAGGCAACCACTAATCTACTTTCTGTCTCCACGGATTTGCTTATTCTGGACATTTCATATAAAAGGAATCACATAATACATGGTCCTGTGACTGGCTTCTTTCACTCAGCATAATGTTTGCAAGGTTCCTCCGTGTTGTAGCACGTGTCAGTACTTCATTCCTTTTCATGGCCAATTAATATTCCAATGGATATACCACATTTTATTTTTCCATTTAACATTTGGGTCGGACATCTGTGTGTTTCCACCTTTTGGCTATTATGAATAACAATGCTATGGACATTTGCACCTAAGTTTTTACAAGAACTTGTTTTCAATTCTCTTTCATATATACCTAGGTCATACGGTAACTCTACATTTAACGGTATGAGGAACTGCCAGACTGTTTTCCAAAGATGCAGCATCACTTTACCTTCCTGCCAGCAGTGTATGAGGGCTGCAATTTCTCCACATCCTCACCACCTCGTTATCTCTGTCTAGAGATAACTACTGTCTAGATAAAACTACTACTGTCCTAGTAGTTCTTTGTTGTTTCTTTCTTTTTTTTGAGGAAGATTAGCCCTGAGCTAACATCTGCTGCCAATCCTCCTCTTTTTGCTGAGGAAGACTGGCCCTGAGCTAACATCTGTGCCCATCTTCCTCTACTTTATATGTGGGACGCCTACCACAGCATGGCTTGCCAAGCGGTGCCATGTCTGCACCTGGGATCTGAACCTGGGAACCCCAGGCCGCCGAAGCGGAACATGCACTTAACTGCTGTGCCACCGAGCTGACCCCAGGTCCTACTAGTTTTGATTTGCATTTCCTTGATGACCAACGACGTCAAGCATTTTTCACGTGCTTACTGGCCATCTGTATATCTTCTTAGGAAAAATGTTTCTTTACATCCTTTGCCAATCTTTTCATTGTCTTTGTATTTGGACCTATTAAATTTAAAATGTGAGCACCAGCAATCCCTCTTGTGGAAGCAGTGTGTACAGAAATAACTGCATGTGCCCTAAAGCCGTATGCACACAGACATCTCCTGGAACACTGTTTACAACTGCAACATGCTGGAAACCTAAATATCTAATAAGAAATCGACTAAATTAATTACGGCACGCATTATACATGGCATACTGTACAAGGATAACGTGTCTATGGCATACTAAGTGCTTTTTTAAAAGCTGCAGGGCAAATACACAGTAGAATCCCACTTTGTTCAAAATAAGCAGTGTGTCTACAGACGTCTACAGACACAACTTTCTAAGCAGAGGAAAAGTCCTGGTGTCTCTCTATCAAACCAAGTCAGCATCTTGGGGAGGAACAGGAAGTGGCTGAGAAGGGAGAAGGATCTTTGCCTTCTTACTCTATATAATTTTTTTTAAGTAATGGGATGATGAGTGCTACTTACTTTTCAAAATATATTTTCCATACTTTTCAAATAATAGTATTTTCAAAAGTATCACAGGAATAGGTGTCTATTTTCATTCACCACTGTACTCCTAACGCCTAAGCACCCCTCAGCACTTGGCATCAACAGACACTCAATGAAAATGTGTTGAATAAGCAGATAAAGAGCAGTTACTTCCGTGTATCAGAAGACTGTTACAGTTTACACTTTAGCGACGATTCCTCACTTACTGTGACTGCACTGCAAGCTAACAAACAGAGTCACTTACATGATTCAGAAAATACTGCACGATTATCTCATGGCCAGCGGCTGCTGCTTCCATCAAAGGAGTAAATCCATATATTGGCTCCCTGCAAGAGAGAGGCCACAGTCGTCTGAGTTCAGCTCCTCCAGGAACCTCCCCAAGCTCCAGGACTAGTCATCTACCCTGGCCTCCTCCGCCTGGTACCTGATGCTTATTCTTTGTGCTGGGCTACGGTTAACTCAGCGCTGTCCTCAGAGTGCTCCTGGTACCTGATGCTTATTCTTTGTGCTGGGCTACGGTTAACTCAGCGCTGTCCTCAGAGTGCTCCTAACCCTCACTTCTCTCACACTGGTCCAGAAGACAGGAACCAAGCTGAGTACCAGGTGTCACCCACCCTAAGACACACCAGCCTCACATTTTAACATTTCTGAAGTCAGAACGTGTCTTAAAATCAATAGGCGAGTTGTACTTTACGAGCAGCCTTTTTTTCCTTCTCAGTGGCATGAAAGGCTATGGTGTGTATGGTGTCATACCACAGATGACATCAGCCAGGGGGCGTGCACAGTGCCAGTTGGATGCTGTGTTGGGACTTGCTGTGTTGAAGGAGCTTATCATCATGACACGCTTTAGACAATAATACCCCTTCCAGCTTATAAAACTCATGATTGTTTTCAAAGCATCACCTCACCTGATACATACAAAAGGCAAGAAGGAGAAAGGAATTAGCATCGAGTGCATGTCAGTTAAATGCCATTCACTGTACTAGGCCCCTGGCATATGACAGAACATATGATTCTTCTCACAACTCTACGACATAAGTAATGCTGCCTCCAGTTTTCAGATAAAGAAAACGAGGCTCAGAGAGCTTACAGTGCCACACTTAGTGTCACCTGACAGATGGATGAAAAAGCCAGGATCCTAGGCGGGACCGTCCCTTCTGCCCCTTTGTCTTGACCCTCCCAAACCGAGGCAGGGGCTGCCTGCACTCTGGCCTGTAGCTGCCTCTACAGTTGTCCTCCTCAGAGGCAGATGTGACCACGCCCACTCCCAGGGCCACTTAAGACCTGGCAATCACCTCACGTTGGCATTCGCTCCACTGTCCAAGAGGAACTTGACCATCTGTTGGTGCCCAGCGCTGGTGCAGTGGAAGAGGGCAGTCCAGCCCTGAATGTCCTTCATTTCTAGCTCAGCACCTTGCTTCAAGAGAACACAGAATGCTCATTACGGCCTCGTCTACTCTGCGCGGGGCGGGCACCCTCCAGGCCGTCATGCTGAAAGAATCGAAGTGATTACACAAGCACGCGCACAGACACCAGGGCTGCAGCAGTTCACGTCTCTGTCAGAGCGGCCGAGAGCCCCTCTGGGTTCTGGGCCTGAGCCCCCTCGTAGCTCACCTGGAGGAGAAAGTAGGCGATGCTCTCGTTGCCACAGCTGGAAGCCAGCATCAGTGGAGTCTGCCCTTCCGGGGTCGGCACATTCACACTCACCCCCGCCTCGAGCAGCAGGTGCACGATGGTATCGTGTCCAATGTAGGAGGCATACATCAGCGGGGTCCAGCCACCACCGTTCTTCTTATTCAAATCTAACTCTCTCCTAAACAAACGCAAGATATGCTAGACATGCCCAGCCGCTCACATGGGGAGGTTACCAAAGCCGGCGGCGAGGCCAGGCCAAGAGAAAGAGCAGGAAGTGCTGCTAGGAGGCAGGAGTTATCCGCCACCCTGGCCATCACTGGGGGCGACGGGAGGCAGGCGGGGAAATGGTCATGTTGGCCTCTGCAAAGTCCTTAGCGTCTGTCTCCCTCCTCCGATTTCACGTTCTCCTCTGCCCCCTCCTCCTATCCCAAGGCCAGCAATTCTCTTCTTTCCCACCACCAGCTAGACGGATGGTTCTCAACCAGGGGGGATTTCGCCCCCCAGGAGACATTTGGCAAAGTCTGGAGACATGTTTGGTTGTCACAACTAGACAGGAAAAAGCTACTGGCATCTAGTGGGTGGAAGCCAAGGATGCTGCTAAACATCCTACAGCACACAGGACAGCCCCTACCACAAAGAATGGTTTGGCCCTGACTGTCAGTAGTGCCAAGGTCAAGAAACCTTGACCTGGAGCCTTGACTACCTTCCACCAACAGACCAGAGTCTGCTGGTGCAGTGCTGGGTGGGGAGGAAAGAGGAAGAGACTCAGACAATGGACAAGACACACTGCAACTGACTTTTCCTTTGTCACCTCACCCTACGGAAACATTCTTGGAAAATCTGTGACCAGAGAATCCTGTCTTTCTGATGTCCATTAAAATTCTGGAAAAGTGTTTCCCATAGGAAAAAAATGTTGGCCTCCCAACCTGGAGTTTGGGGTTGGAGTGTGGAAATAACATCCACTTCCAGGCACACCCTGCAAAGTTCATGCCCCCACAGCCTTTCCTCCTCCACAATCCCTGCCTCCAGCGGAGGGAACTGACAGTCGGTCCACACGGTTTGTGCCTCTTGCAGGTAGACACACATTAAGCTACACCACACAACGATTCTCCGTTCACTAGCATCTTCTACTGACTCTGGCGCTTGCATGACCATGCAGCCATTCTGGAAGGTCCTGATCCCAGGGATGCAGTGGCATTCCCACTGGCTGGGAGAGCCATGTGGAGACCGGTTCAGCCTTACTACACAGCTTTCACTGACAGAGCACTCAGTTCCTAACATGGAGATTCCTAGCATGGAGAGGGAGGAGCCTGACCCTGGGCAGAGTGGCTCAGAGGCTCTCGCACCCTTCCTTCAGACCAATCCTCCCTTCTCACGCCTCCAGCTCCCGTTGGGTCCCCAGTGTGTGCTTACTGTGAGCAAGCCTCAGTCTCAGCTAGCATCACAATCCCAATCAGAACACAAACGCTTCCCTCTTCTCCTCCATGGAGCCACTCTGGACTGTGCACTGGAACAGCACACCCAAAGGCTGAGAACGCCAAAGGAGCACAGTTATGACCAGGGCCTTGACCCTGCGAGGGGGATGTGCTGCCTGGGTACCCAGCTACACATTCCTAAGGCCACCTGGGACAGCAGTAGGATGGATCATCCTTTAACACAGTGTCTTGTACTTGACTGGCCAGGCATGTGTAAGTGACGCTATGACTTGGGAACCAGAAATCTGGGGCTTCAGTAAGGCTTTGGTTTGGCTCCCCGGGAACCAGAAAAGGCCCATGTAGACATACTGTTTCTCCAAGTTATCAACGAGAGATGGAAACAGTGAGCACAAAGTGTGGCAGACCTAAGGGGATGGAAACAAGGAGACAGAGCCTTTTCCAAAAATTACTTTAAGTATCATATCGTACTACAAACAAGATGTAGCCAAGGGCCACTGCCATGGTATTGGGACTTCACATATGTATAAGATCAGTAAAAACAGCTTGTGGGCAGCTGGTCCAGGAGGCAATCGTCCAGAGGGGGAGATGAACCCCACAGCCGCCACCTGCTCTATGGCAAAAGCTAGAGGGGTGAGGAGTGCACGGGGATAAAAAATAAACCCCCTGGGGAAAGAAAACCACAGGGCATCACTTTCTATCCTTATTTTTGTTTTGTTTGAGCATTTCTGCAGTTAATGAAAACCATAAAATTCTCTAGTTAAAGTAAGCCTGAAATGTTCCTAAGCCTATGAAAAAAGTTTAAGCCATCTTTTTTCTCCTAGAAATAAAAACTGCCTTCCTTACTAGTGTCCAGTACAAATCATTACTGACAACTGTCCGAGTGAGGCCGGAGTTAATCTATGCCACGTGTATTAATGGCTACGACTGCACAAGGCTGTGTTAGCTTACGATCTTTCTCCATGGCGTCTGGAGCCACTGAGCTGGTACTCAATGGAGGACAAGGAACACTTCCCAGGATCCCTTACCGCTGCACACATTCCTTCACCACTTCATACTGGCCGATGGAAGCAGCGGTGTGAAGATCCAAGGGGACAGCCAGCTCCTCCCGGCTGACCTGCGCACCCAGCCCGTGCCACATGGACAAGCTGCGGTTCAGGAGTTCCGGCTCACTGGCTTCATCACTGAGCTCCGACATCGCTGTGGAGGGAGGCCCAGGGGTTAGGTCTTTCCTTCTGGTTGTTCCAGGGAATCAAACAGGTTGCTTACCCTCCTCCCCGCAGTAGGTGGCTATGTCATTGCCCTCTGAGACTGCTGCCCAATGTGGTCAACTCCTGGGACTGTCCTAGACAACTTTCTTTCATTAAATGTCGTATGGTTGTGAGCTTCTCACCAGCCAGAAAGAGGAGCATATACGGTGAGTCATAAACTGCAGTGTGTGTTCCCAGGCCCAGACTCTAGAAAGGGAATTCTCCATGAACTCAAGGAGCCTGGCAACCTCCTGGATGGGCAGTAGGGAAATGCTATTTGGGTCAGTGGGTCAAGTCAGCTCTCATGTGTGCTGAGAAAGAACCCTAGCCTTGGAGTTAAATCAAAATTTATTTCTGCTACTAAGCCTCTCAAATCCCCAGTTCCTCACTGTCCAGTGGGGACACGCTGTCTCAAAGGGCTGCTGTTACAAACCCAGGGAAAAATGGCTACACAAACAGTGGCACGTGCATACAATGGAATGCTACTCAGCAATAAGCAGAAGGGACCAAAAAGTGACACACGCCACACTCCAATCTCAAGTGCACCATGCTAAACGGAAGAAGCCAGACTCAAAAGGCTACCTGCTGTATGATTCCATTTACATGACCTTCTAGGAAAGATAAAACTAAAGGGTTGAAGGACAGATCAGTGGTCCAAGGGGTGAGGGGTGCAGGGGCCACAGAGGCACAGCAAGAGGGTGATGGACCTGTTTCATATCTTGACTAGTGTATATATGATTCTATGCACTTATTAAAACTCATAGACCTGACCACCAAAATGAGTGAATTTTACCGTATGTAAATTTTAAAAACAAATTTTGAAAAAAATGGAAAGAAAACCTCAGGACAGAAACTAGGACATGACTGGTGCTCAGCAAATGTTAATCAACTAGAAATCTACCTACGCATCCCTTGAAAGTGAGAGAAAGAAAGAGGGAATGTGACAGGCTGGTAAATTTGTGGGGTGACACTTGTCCTGAGCTGGGACAACACCAGGCTGGAGAGTGACTACGCGAGTCCTCTATTCTGGAAATCCTAAGTAATCAAGACCAAGTCATCAGCTTCCTAGCAGAACCCTTAAGACCCTGGATGGGAAAGAACAAGGAAGTAAGCATAGAAAAGGGAGAGGAGGAGAAAACAAAGGCCACATCCGTTCAGATGGCCTACAGGTACCACAGTGGTTCACAGGTGCCCTTAGGACCTGAGTCTCTACTAAGGGATGCTTCCAAGTCCCAGGTGACAGCCAACATGGCCAAACAACAAACAAACCACCAATTCGGGGGACAAAGACTTTGCAGGCCCCTGGTGAGAGTACGTGCACCCCTGCTAGGGCCTGCAGGTAACAAAGTTCAGAGCGAAGCCTGCTTTCTGGAACCACCGCCTTTCCCACCGGCAGGGCCTGAGCTCAACCAGCTCTCTCACTTCACAGGTGGGAACCCCAAGCTGAGCAGTCCCGGCCCACAGAACCTGGATAAGAATCCAAATGAGCTGAGCATCCTTCAGGGCTCCTGTCAATACACCCCTCCAGCCTTCTGCGTGTGCCTCTTCTCCTCCCAACGCTTCCTCCGGGGTGGGGCCCACGGTCCCCTCCTTCCACCGGACGCTCACACGTCTCACACCGCAGAGCGCTCAAGGAGCCTACGGAGGGAGAACCCGGACGCCAAGGAACCATAAAGCTCCTGTCATTTCCTTTGTCACCTTGCCACACGCCAAACGCTCCGCAGTGACAGGGTGTTCGTTACGAATAAAACGATTACATACATCCGTCTATTTGCATACTTGGAGAAAATGTCTTGGACATATCGCTTCCAGTACTTATCTCCTGGAAGTGGCACTGGGAAGGCGACCCTTTAATTTTCACTCCACCTTTCGGTTCTGTCCATTTTGTAAAATGGCAAATATCTGTTATTTTAAGAATATAATATTTTAACTAATAAATAAAAATGACGTTGGGAGTCGACCGTCACGCCCACAAGGAGGCGGTCTGTGAAAGCCCCGGCGGGAGCCTCCCAACCTCGTCCCCAAGCCCTGGGGAGGGTCCCCGGGAACTAGCCGAGCACCGACAGCACTCACGTGCCCCGGCGCCTCCTCCCAGCAACCCCACGCGGCACATGGCTCCGTCGTCCCCGCTCCGCGGCGGCAGAGCGGAAGCCCGGACTCACAGACGCACGCGCGCCAGCTGCAGGGCTGCACGCCCGCGCCGGGCGCGCAGGCAGACAGCAGGTGCCGGCACCAGGCGGGGCCGCGCCGCCGCGGAGCCTACCTGCGCTGGGCCTCGGGCCTCGGGCCCCGGGCCGCTAGCCGCCGCGCTCTCTCCGCCCGGCCCGCCCTCGGCCGCGCCGGCCGCTGTCCCAGAGCCCGGACCCCACGGCTCCGCGCGCGCCCCGGAAGTGGTTACGGGAGGCGCGGAGCACGCCGGGACGCTCGCGGGTCCCCGGGGCAGCTCCCGGCGCTGCGGAATTCGTCCGTCCCGCACCCGGACCTTCCGGTCCGCTCGCCCAGCTCGGTGTGTGACGCCCGCGGCAGCCAATGAACAGAGAGCGTCGCCCCGCCCCGCCCCTCCACTGGCCAGGGGAACCAATCCTGTGCAAGAGAGGCAGGACGCGCCAAGTCCCGAACGAGGAGTCGGGGGGTGGGGAACGCGGTTGAGTCCAGCAACGTAAGACTCTGCCCAGGGGGGATTCCGAAGGCGGTGACAGCCTCAGTAACAGCACCGCAGCCCAAGGGGGCGAAGACGACCGGAGGGACACCCTGGAGACTGTTTATAGCCCTGTCAGGACCGCGCGGGGAGGGGAGACAGAGGCGGAGGCCGGAGGTGAGTGGCCTCGGGCCTGCCGCGGCTGCAGAGATAAATGTCGGGAGTTGGATGGGACGGGAGGAAACGGCCTGGGGTGGGTGGGAGGACGGGCGAGGGGTTATCCTGTTTCCGAGCTTTAGAATTTAAAAGTCTGACCTGGGAGGCCGTTGGCGTCTAGTTGTCATAACAACCGGCCGCCCCGTGGCAGGAGGGGCCGGGGGCGGGGATTGGGGCGGGGCTAACGGGCTGCAGCCAAGAAACGGACGTGGAGGTAGAGCCAGGATTCGGAGTTAACCCGCGTCTGCCAGTTGAGCCAGCACCAACTTGACGTTCAGGACTCTTCGCGATCTGTTCCGTTTTCCCCGCATATTCCGGCAACTGACACCGTCTTCCCCAACTTGTGGGTCAGTTTTCACTCCTCTGAGCCACCGTACATCTTCTTCCCGCAGCCTGTAATACCTGTCACTCCCCTATTGCCTTGTCCACCTGTAGAACTTAGTCTCTGATAGCCCCCTTCACCTTGGTGATCCTGTTGCCCTGTGATCTGCCCTGCAGCCAGAGAACAGCCCGTGATGCATGTATCGGATGCATTCCCCCTATCCTGCTGTTCCCTATTCAGGGTGCACCAAGCTCCTGTCCCCGCTCCTGTAAGCACAGAAGCAGGCACTGCCGTCTCTGCTGTGGGGGCGCCGACCAGAGTGACAGCCACCAGGGCTGGGGCAGAAGTTCTCTTCCCGTTTGATAGGCACAGCTGCCTCTCAGGCTGCAAGGATTTCCCAGACGCTGGCTCTGAAGTTTACCATCATCCCACATTCCTAAAGCCCCTGGGACCCTTGAGGGACCGGGCCATCTACTTCTAGACTCTGGGATGCAAAAAGGGGGCTAGGTCAGTGCCTGGGTGTAGGGGTTAATGTGAGTGGTGACTCCAAAAAAAATTCCCCTGGGGACACCAAAATGTCTCTAGTCTATTGCTTTGTCGGGAGGAAGTAAAGGGTAGTGGGGCTTGGAATCCCCTCTAACTTTGATACAAATTCTGTCTTTGCCATTTGCTAACTACAAAACTTCTCTGAGCCCAGAAAACGTAGGTAATAATAGTATCTATGTTATATGGCTTGTATATGTATAGTTTACATATATCTATCATATGCATGTATCGTTCTGTATATCATATACATACATCACTATATATCAATACATATATCTGTATTATGTATTATCATCTAATATTATTATATACATCATATGCATATATCTGCAGGCTCCACACTGCACTACACACACACACACACACAGACGATGCATACACAGTGTGGCTGGCACTCAGTAACAGGAACCTGCAGAACAAGAAGGAATATAGGGTGGAAGGTCTGTGAGTCGGTTTGCATCCATCCCCCACGGGGTGGCAGATGCTTTGAAAAGGCATCCCCGGAGCTCCTGACCCTTGGCCCCTGGACCCTCTCACCTCACCGTGTGTCCTCTGCAGGGCTCCTTGGACGATGGCACACTGAGAAGCATCCCGAGCCCGGGCCTCCATGGCATCCCAAGACAAAGATGTGGGGCCCTCGCTGCCCTCTCCCTGGGCCTCCCAGATGGGGCCCTGGGATGCCATGCTCGAGGCTGTCAGGGACCAGCTCCCGTCGCTGGACTCGGATTCCTCCTTGGTGAGTGAGCGCCTTCTTCTCACGTCTTCCTGGGCCCCAACTGCCCTTGCTCCCCATGGCAACCATGGTGCTGACCCAAGGCCAGCTTCACAGCTTGTCAGCCTCTGCTTCCACATGATCTCTGTTTGTGTTCTCTGAATACATTCACTGGTGCTTAGCATCCTCCCGAGCCATATCAGCGGTCCCAAACCACAACTGGAGAATTCCTCCAGGGGCTTATCACAATTCACTGAAATGGCAGCCGCTCTCAGTCGTGGTCCTGGCCATATCCTGGCCCAACCGGGAGTGGAGAACAGCACCGCTGCAGGTAGAAAGAGCAGGGGCTTTAGCATCAGGCAGACCTGGGTCCCCTCCTCACTTGGGTGCTAACTTACCATGTAACCTGGGGGTGGTTGCCACACCTGGGTCAGCCTCGGTTTCCTCACTACAAAATATAGATAATTATCACTGGTACAAATTTCAGATTCTGTCTGTAAAGTGCCTGGCCTAGAGCACATGCTCAGTTAACATCAGCGTTAACAAAATCACCTATTTCCTGGTCCGTGTCTTGTCCTGGCAAACCCCCCAGGTTGCTCCATGGAGGACGATAATGATAAACAGAGAGCTGCATCATAGAAGAGGCTCCACTTTCCCCATGGATCAAACCCCAGCTTTGATTGCAAGTTGTTGTGAGGATTAAATAATCTACATAAGAGCACAGTGCTTGGCTCTTGTACATTGGTAAATGTACAATGCATAGTAGTTTTGTTTATTGGTCACATGCATTCATTCAACAAACACTCACGGAGCCTACTCAGCCTCTTCAAGAACCAGGAGCCCTTTGTAACATTAGACACTGTGGCAGACCCTGCCTCACCATGATGGTAATTGTGTTTCTAGTTTCTACCAACTAAGGGACTACGGGGTGACAAAAGTGACTCTGAATTCAGGCTTAAGTGAGCGGTACCAGCTTCTCCACATAGTGGAAATTAGGTGTGTGCACACGTGTAAGATGCAACAGCAAGTGTACTGACAGTGCAAGGTGGGAGTTGCACTAGCAGGAGCTCTCAGCAGCCAGTACCAAACACATGGGCTGGAGCCAGGCGTTTAGAGAAAGGGCAAGGTTTTAGAAGTAACGTGCCAGATTTGGGTCCTACCTAGACCACCTGCAAAGATGAAAGCGACAGAGCTTCCTGGACCTCAGGGGTCTTCCAGTGCAGGTGAGGCTGATAGGGAGTAGATAATGCAACCCCAGTGCCTTTTCACATCTTCAGTCCCATTTGCTCTTATCTTCAGACTGTCCCTGTAAAGTGGGCTGGCAACTATAAATGCCCCCCACCCCGCCTTAGAGGCAACAAACCAAGGCTCCTGTCACTAAGTGGCGGCTCAAGGTCACGGTGGAGGGAGGGCTGGACTCTGCTTTTTCTGCTGCCACGTGGCTGCCCTGTGCATTGAGCCCCGGCATTAACTGAGTACCTGCTGTGTGTGGCAGGGACGTGCAGAACCGGGGGCCCCGGATCTCACCTTCACCCCGTGGTGCTGCTGAGCCCGTTTCTAGAGCATCGGCAGGAACCAGGGGCAGGAACCAGTGGCAGGGCAAGGCCCTTTGCTGGAGAACTGATCTCCCAGACCCCGAGTCAGCTCCTGAGCAGCAGGGCTGGACGGGGCGAGAGTAGGCGAACCCTGAGGCCCTCCTGGGGCCGTGTCATCCAGAAGCCCTCTTGTTTCTCCACAGTCGGACTGCGGGGAAGAAGAGCTGTTCATCTTCCAGCGAAATCAAACGGCCCTGATTCCAGACTTCTCAGAGGAGCTGGCAGAAGCCCCTGCCGGGGCCTCGGTCATAACAGCCGACGGGTCTCCTCCTGAGGTCTGTGGGACGCAGGCTCTGGGGATCCACAAAGCCGGGGCCCTGCGGGCAGCAGGGGGTGCGCGTGTGGGTGTCCATGCCTCTCACCGGACTCTAGCAGCAATATGGGTCATAGAGGTTAAAGTCCCTGGTCTGGCATCTGCACACAGGCCTTTCTCCAGGGGCAACTCAAGGTGTTCAGACAGGAGGCATGTCCCTGCCTCACGCACATCGCTCTCCCAGGGCCCAGCACACTCAGGGCCAGGGAGGGGAACTTATTTTCTCCGATTTTGCCCCTGCTCTTCCTCTTGACCCCCAGCCGCACATGCACACGTGCACACATATTCACACACATATTCACACACACCTCTGCTGGCCTCTTCCCTACCATGGCCCCCTGAACTGTCTGACTATTGTCACGATTTGCCATCAGTGCCTCTCCCTTAACCCAGGTGGCTTCAGCACTTCCTGGCTTCTCACAAAAGCCTGCACTCCCTAAACACTCATTGATTTAACAAGGGCAACAGTGGGATTCAGAGGTAAGAAGGTGGGGAGATGAGATGAACACAGGAAACAATTAGAAAACGCCAGAGCACACTCTGTAATTAAGTACAGTCATGCGCCGCGGAACGACGATATTTCAGTCAATGATGGACTGAACAAAAGCCCGGGGTCCCAGAAGACCATAGGCTCAGTACCATAGAGCCTCGGTGTGTAGTAGGTTTAAGTATGCTCTGTGAGGTTCGCACAACAACAAAATCGCCCAACAATGCATTTCCTAGAACATATCCCTGTTTTAAGTGACACATGACTGTATTGTGGTTGTAGTCATCGCCAAATGTAGAGTGAATTTTCCATCTTCTTGTCTCCCCATTGCCCAGGGTCCCAGGCAAGACCAAGAACTCTATCAAAAATTAATGGCTTAATGATAAAATTAATTACTGCCTTTATAAACAGAACCCATCAGTGCGCTTCCATTGCTGGGCGGGTCCCCAACCGTCAGGCCTGTTCAGCTCTTCTCAATGTGCAAAGGCTCCAGGAGCCAGGCCTGGCTCCCTCCATGCACTTCCCCCGGCTCAGCTGCACCCAGCAATACACTAGCCCTCACTCATTAACCAGGGCATGGGGCATGCTGTCAAAGACAAACACGGCCAGACATTGCTTAAAGCGGTGGAGGCAGATTTTGTCGGAACTACTGACCGCAGGGACAGAGCTGAGCTCCGTGATTTGTGCAGAGGTCACGGCGTTTTAAAGGGAGAATGAGGGCGGGGGAGAGCCGGGCTCGGTAGTCAGAGGAGTGAAACATCACAAGGAGCCCGTCAGCGTAGATGCGACTAGGCCAGATGTCTGCTGGTGGCAGTTATGGAAGTCAGGAGGCTGTCCTTCGGGGAGAAGGGACACAGAGGGCCTGTCCCTCCCGACGAGTGCATTTCAGAAGAATGGCTCTCAGCTGGGTCACAGGTGCTCTGTTGTAACAGACTCATGTTCACAATTATGCCTCCTTCTCAGTAAATGCTCTGAGAAAGGGAGGTCAGGGCCTATCCTCAGGTGTTGGCTGGAACAAACAGTGGATTCTCCTGGCAGCAGTGCTGAGCTTCCTGTCCCCGGCCGGCATTTAATGGGGGGCTGGGGCCATCCCAGCCTCACGCTCCCAGAAGCCATGCTGGAGCTCGGTCAGGTCTCAAGGTGCACGTTCAGATGAGTGGTTCATCGAGTTCTGCAGTCCTCAGTGTGAGCACTGACACAGGGCCATCTTACAGAGCCAGGGTGCGTCCCCTACCCATCACCAGGACACAAATCACCCACTCCCTCAGCCACGCCTAGAAGTACATCTGAAGGAACCCCAAATAGGAGAAATTCCCAGGGCTGCCAAGACCCTGGTTAGTTCCAGTGGAATGATGTCCACAGGGCTTTATTTTGTTTTCTTCATGTCTGCCATTACCTTGGCAACTCTTCTGGAGGATTTTTTTTTTTTAAATCTGGAATAGGAAAGTCTGTACCAACTCACTGGGGTTGAGGCCATGGGCTTGCTCTGGAGTCAGAGCGCCTGGGTTTCATCTCGTCCACCTGCTAATAGCTGTGTGGCCTATTCACAGTGGCCAAAAGGTGGAAACAACCCACGTATCCATCAACAAACAAACTGTGGTCTAGCCATACAACAGAATATTGCTGGAATCCATAAAAGCGAATGAAGTACTGACACATGCTGCAACGTAGATGAACCCTGAAAACGCTAAGCTAAGAGAAAAGGCACAAGAGGACAAATATTGTATGGTTCCCCTCTATGAAACATCTAGCATAAGCAAGTTCATAGAGGCAGAAAGTAGATTAGTGGTTCCCAGGGTGGCTCAGAGTCTCTGGGCTGATGGAAGAGCTTTGCAAATAGATAGTGGTGATGGCTGCACAACATTGTGAATGTACTTATTGCCACTCAAGTGAACACTTAAAAATGGTTAAAATGGCAAGTTTTATGTTATAGACATATTTTACTACAATTTGAAAGAATTCCCTGACGTATGTTTTCGAGGCTGTTCACCAGGACACCTGTTTTCTCGATAGCCAGTTGCGGTGCCTGTGGGATTCGCCGTCGAACCCTGGACTGAATGGGATGCGAGGACAAAGGATTCGGCCTCTCTAGGAGGAAGGGACCCTGGCGGGCCTTTGGAGAGCCATGGCCAGAGCAGCTCTCTCCTTAGGATGTCCCAGGAGACCCCCAAGTGGCAGGAAGGCGAACCTGGGCGCATGTCCTTCAACACCAAAGGGTCCCAGAGTCCTCACTGGGGGCCGCAGGGAGAAGCCACCTTCTCCCCACGGGAAGGAGACCTGAAGACAGAGCCCCCAGGCACTGCCTCCCGAGCCCTCAAGGGCTCAGACCCCGCAGACCACAGAGCCCTCCGAAGGGAGAGAAGGAAGATGATCGAGAGAGACATTCTCCACAAAGTCACCTGGGATGCCCAGAGCCCAGCCTGCAGTGACCAAGGTCAAGTGAAGGAGACGCCCTGTGGAGCTGCAGCATCAGGTCCAAGACCAGAGGTGCCACCAGAGCGGCCCCGGGAAGGACCGTCACTGCTCTCCCTCCAGGTAGGGACCCCCTGCCCTGTGCTTCCTTGGGGCGGGCCCTGCACGGTGGCTCCCAGCTGGCCCTCCACAGGCCAACTTGAGGCCGGCCCACTACACCCGTCTTTGTCTATTTGAGCTGCTATAACGAAATCCCGTAGAGTGGGGGCTGAGACAACAGAAAGTCATTTCTCACAGTTCTGGAGCCGGCAGTCCAAGAGCACGGTGCCAGCACGTTCAGTGTCTGGGGAGGGCCTGCCGTCCTCTCGCTGTGTCCTCATTTGGTGGAAGGACTTAGGGGGCTCTTTGAAGCCCCCTTTTTTATAATGGCACTCGTTCCATTCATGGGGGCTCTCCCCTCATAACCTGATCACCTCCCAAGGGCCCCACCTCCTAATACCATCACATTGGGGTTAGGATTTCAGCCCGTGAATTTTAGAGGGACACAGCCGTTCAGTCTATAGCGACGACCTTAGGCCCGTGCTCCCAGGTCCACCGGCAGTGGGTGCGTCGTCCTGGCAGACAGAGCATCCTCAGATGGAGTTAACCAGGATGAGGAAGAGCAAGGAGGCTCAGCCTTCTTAACAAAAAAGAATGCTAATCCCAATCCTGTTTATGAAGACATACAACCACATATACGATAGAGAACAGACTCTGTCAAAGCATAATTCTCAAACGTCAAAGCCCTCATTCTCACACAGATAATGAGCACCTGTTAACCTTGTACTTGGTTCATTCAAGGTGGAACCCGCAGGATGACCAAGCCAGTTTAAAGAGATTGTGAGAAACTAGGATTTTGTAAGACACCAGGCAAAAAGAAATGAATGCTGAGATAAAATTGGTCAACGTCCTACAGGGCAACAGAACTGTTACCTTTGGGATTATCCTCTCTACTAGATGGAAAAGAAAACCATCGCAAACGTCTTAGTTTTACAAAGTTGTAAAACAGGTGGGCCCTGGTCAACTGTGCAGACCGAGTCACCTTCCCCTAGAGAGGCGGGCTTGTTAGAAAATGCTCCAGCATAGCATTGAAAAGTCATGCAATTCTCTTTTTCCCCTGATTTACAAATGTCGGATAACTTTCTTTTCTGTTTGGTGAGGAAGATTGGCCCTGAGCTAACATCTGTTGCCAATCTTCCTCTACTTTTTATGTGGGATGCCGCCACTGCGTGGCTTGATAGGTGGTGTATAGGTCAGGGCCAGTGATCCAAACCTGGTTCGCCAAAGCAGAGCACACGAACTTAACCACTATGCCACCAGCCGGCCCCTGGATCACTTTCTTAACAACTTAGAGAAAACTGGCCTCGGGTGTACACAGAGGTCATTTTCTCCAATTCCATTCTGACGAGTCCCATTCTTTCCTTTCTGCTCGCCCCTAAACGCCTTTATTTTCACTCACCTCTCGGGCTGCCAGGAGCGACAAGGTCACACATAAGAAACGTTAATTCCTGATTAATGTCCTCCCCCCTCCCCCACAGCACTCTCTTCCAAGTCCTCCAGTGCACCTGCCTGGAACAATCTATTTCTTAAAAGAGCAAAACGCCTTAACCTCCCAACATTTTAAACCTGTTTGAACCTAAAAAGATTTAGGATGACACTGGGTTTCCTCCAGGTCAATGTCTTTGCACAAGAAACAAAAGCATTGCCCAAAACACGCGTGGGAAGGAAGTGGCGAGAACAGCAGTTCATTCTGCAGCCCACACAGGGTGGGTGAGCAAGCCCGTGCGCAAACGTGGGTGTGCACCTCGGCCCGATTTCTACCCCACGACATCCCACGACAGCCTCCCTTGGTCACGGTGGCTGTGAAATCAGGCACTTGTGCCTCTGGGACCCCGCGGCAGCCACGTAATCAGTGTTGTAATTATTTCAGCAATTTGAAGAGTGGGACTTGGATCATATCCTTCAGAGTCTGGCAGGACGAGAAGACGACCGGGGAGACGGCGCCCCTGGAGCCGCCTGGTGGGCAGCTGACCGCCTCCAGGGCCGAGGTCTGACCTTCAACGCCAGGGCCCAAGTGCATCCCCACAAGCAGCTTCTTCCAGGGCCTCTCAATAAAATAGGGCTTGGGCTGGGCACCATCAGCCCCGCAGCCCACCATGTCCTCTCCACAGCTTGACCCTCACCGTCCTGAACACTCTGGTGCCAGTCCTTGAAAGACTTCATTCATTCATTTACTCATTCACTTCTTCATCCACTCACTCCATTCGTTCATTCATTCATTATATATGTGACTGCCTGCTATGTGCCAAGCATGGCCTGGGTCCTGGGGATACAAGAGGCGGCCCTTCAGACACAGTCCCTGCCCTCACCCTTTCCTCCTCCCTACCTTCTCTTTCTTTCTGGGAGCAAAGTCAGCCTGCCTTTTATGTCCCTTCAGCCAGTTCCTAAGCACAGTCCTGCTTCCACTCACCTCCCCATTCACAAAAGAAAGTCAGCGATGTGATTACTGTCATTGTATTTGTGGCCTTGCTCTGGGCAGTTTTGTAAAGAAAATGACAGCTCCCATCCCTTTGTGGCCACTCTGGCCCATGAAGGTGAGTGGGGGCAGGTCTGAGGCAAAGATGCGAGGAGCAGCTGAGTTCCGGCCTCCAGTTCCAGAGCAAAGGCTCCTCTGTGGCCCACAGCCCCTGGTGCTGTTTAAAGCAAGGTTTTGTTTGTAATTTAACCCCTTATAGCAGGATGCGGAGAAACCCACCCTCCTGTGAGGTGGGGTGGGGGTGGGGGCTAGAACTGCTATCCCCTTTTTGGAAGGTAGTATGGCAGAATCTGTTCTCTGTTTTAAAGGCACATAAGCCTTTGATCAGGCTGGTCCACTTCTGAAGTCTCCTGAACACACTCGCCCTGGTGGGGAAAGATGTGTGCTCAGGGATGTTGGTTGCAGCGTTGCTCTAATTGTGAAAAGCTGGAAAGAACCCATCTTCAGTGTTCAGTAGTTCGTCCAGCTAAACTGGTCATCACAGAGCGCTCTGCAGCTCAGTGAGGGCAATCTACACATGCATTCGCGTGGAAAGACGTAACACATTCAGTGAAAACAATCCATAGAGGATGATCCCATTGCTGTTAAAAAAAAAAAAGAACACACAGAATGTGGATGATGGTTCCTGCTGACAAGTGGGACTCGGGGGTGGGGGAGCTGCATACATGGTTAGGAAGAAGTCACTGCTGCATCACGAGGCTCGGACACGACTCCCTGCTCCTGAAGGCACAGCTCCGCCGGCCCTGCTGAGCTGGAGGGGTTTCCTTAGAGAGGGCCCTGAGTAGAGGAGGGGTCGGGGGGGCCTCCAGCTGGCCCCATCACTTCTCCACAAGCCAGAGGTATGTCCCCACGAGGGGTCCCGAGGCTTAGCCCACTGTAAGCCAAACAGGGGCCAGGTCCCCACTAAGCAGCCTCCCCTCTCCCGTCAGACCATGCTGTGCCGAGCGCCCAGGAGAGGCTCATGGAACAGCTTGCCCTGCTGTGCACCACGCAGTCCAGAGCCTCTTCCTCTGCCAGGAAGGTGCCCGCTGACACACCCCAGGACACCGGGCAGCAGGAGGCTGGAAGCAGGTGGGACTTCCGTTCTCTCTAGAACTGGCCCACGGCCATGCAGTATTCATTAGGCCTATCGTTGGGGGGGGGGGGGGGGTCACTTGATGTGTATGTCTCATTTCGTCTCAAGAACCTGATCAGGTGGGTGCAATTTAGAGGGGAAACTGAGCCTCAGAGAGGTTGACTTGCCCAGGCCGTATGTGGCAGAGCTGGGAGTCAAGCCTCAAAGCACCTGCTCTTCCCCCCAACCTATGGGAGCCCTCCCTTCACCATCCACAAGGCCTCCCTGGGAGCAGGATGGCCACCAGGGATGGAGCCAGCCCTGGGCATCCAACCCCAGCCAGGCCAATCAGAGCCTTTCCCTGAGGAGGGTTGTTCTGAAGAGTCAAAGAGCAAATGCGTTTATCCGGCCCACCTCAGTGCCCCACGTACAGTGGGGGCTCAGTCGGTGGCAGCCATGACCCGGCACAGGTCACACCATCATCACCAAGACGGACTCAGCACTCCCTGCTCTTCTCATCTCAGATGTGCTTCCACGGAGCTGGGCTCCCAGGCTGAGGTGGGCCCGACACTGGCAGCAGGCACGCGGCTAAGGAGCACAGCGGAGCCTCCCACCATCTTCATGGATCTTCGGCCCAAGGAGCCATCAGACCAGGGGTCATCGGAAAGGTACACGGAGCAGTGACAGCCCTACAGTAGACCTGCTGCTTCGTAGGTACCACGCTGGCCTTGGGAGGAACAGGGACTTCCACAGGCACTGCCCACTTGAGAAGTGCTTTCAGCAGAACGAGCCTGGCCAACAATCCCCCTGCTCCCATCGGCATGCTCCCTGCACAGGAAGGGAGGAAGCGGGGGCAGAGGGCCATCTTTCTAGGCCAGGGCACATTGCCTTGGGGTACCTACATCCCTCCGCCACTTGGCAGGAAGCCCAGTGGCCCTTTGGTTTTGGCTGGCCTGCCTGTCCTCCTGCCTTGGGTCACCAAGGAGGCCTGGGCACTCCAAGTCCCTAGTGGGAGCCGGGGTGGACTGGGGGACATCCAGCGATCCCCCATTTCCTGCCCCCAGCCCATTTCCTGCCCCCAGCTCCAGCTCCAGCTCCTCTGACAGCGAGGAGGAGGGGGAAGAGGAGACAGCAGTTCGGAGAGAGCAGCAGGGCCCCTCGGGGCTGAGGTAACCACAAGGGGGCTCCCGCTACCTGGGGATCCCCGACCTCTGCCTCTGCAGCAGGCTCTCGCGGCATTGTAACAGTTGTGCCTTGAGCTCTGTGTCTCGCACCCAAAGGGCCAGCACACGAGGGTGTGGGACCGTCCAGGAGGTGGGGAGGGTAGTGTGTGGGAGCCCACCTGGGGCCCAGCAGCCTCTCAGCCTGGCCTGATGTCCTCCTGACCATCACCAAGGACACCTTAGCTTCCTCTCAAGGGATCAGTACATTTTCTTCCTGAAAAATAGTTCCCCCAATTGATTTTGCCACCTGCTAGTGATGGCCCTGGAAATGAAGAGAGAGTGTAGGGATGGGCCACAGTGATAGTTGTTAGCCAGGGTGAATTAAGAAGTGAAAGGTCAAGTTCAGAGAAGGCTCAGGTCTCCGCCATGGGGAGGCCCACACTGCAGTCCTGGCGAATTAGAAGGATATGCTGTGGCGGCATCTAAAATTTGGGGGATTGCAAAGCCTGCAGATCCTGCTCTTTGGGAATGTCAGAGTCTAATGCAACTTTCCCCCTAATGTGCGACATGATTAGCCATCACAGGAAGAAGAGGGAAGGCAAATTTGGGTTGAAGTGTCCCACAGGCTCCCTCGCAGAGCCTTTAACATGCTGACATGCCGCGTGACTCGCCCAGGGCAGGGAGGCTGCAGGCCTAATTGTCTTGCCAACCGGGAACATGCTCCAGAAGCACTCTGGCTTTTCTGTCTGTGTCCTGGCTCAGTGGCGAAGTGTTGGGAGGTGTGGCCTCCACTTGGTGTGACTGAGGTTGCTTCTCATGTCACAGGGACTGTACCGGGAAAAGTCAGCTTCTCCAGCAGCTCAGGGCATTTCGGAAGGGGACTGCTCAGCCCGAGTTGCCTGCCAGCAAGGGTCCCTGCAGCCAGAAGGCCCAGGCCCCTGAAGACTCGGCTGGATCCAGAACTGGGAGGAAGCAACACGGAACACTCCAGGCTGAGAGGCAGAGGGCCCAGGCCAGACCCCCTGGAAGAAGTCCCAGGGCCCTGGGGGACCCTCTTGGGCCAGGGACAGCCCGAGAGACCCTGGTGCCTCCTCTGGGCCAAGTGTAGATGCCTCTGGTAACAGATCGGAGGAGGTCAGCAGGATGATTTGACATTCCCTCAACAGACCTGGGCCCCCAGGGCTCCCTTCGCCCCGCCACCCCCGTTTCTATTAGCATGTGCTTTTGTAGCACAGGGACCCTGACTGGGGATCCAGCCCCCTGTTAGAATTCCATCAGAACACGTTCATGCATTCAGAACAAAGATACCAGTACAAACTTGTACACACAGCATGAGACAACTTGCGGGACCCGATCCTCTGAAAGGGCCTGGAAGGAAACACCATGAGACAACGGTTTGTCCCCATAGTCGGACTATGAGGCTTCTTCACCCTTTTCCATTTCTGCATATTTTTCCTCTTTAACGTGCGTCTATTATTTCCATAATACAAGGTCTTTTTTTAAAGCTATAAAACTTAAGTAAAACATATTTAGAGAATTTCAGGGTTAAAAGGGTGTCGAAAGAGAATTTAGCCTGATTTTCAGGGTCCCTGGATGCTTGCTACTTTGTATTCCTAAATTAACACCGCCTCCCTCCCCCCCCCCCCCCCCCGCCCCAGCCGCAACGGACTTTTCAATAAAGACATAAAGATTGAAATTTGATTTCTCTTTTTTCTTTAACCAAGACACAAAGGCACATATATGTTCTAAGGTCCTTCCAAACTAAAGGTGGAGTTGACCTTTAACTACAGATAGAATACTGAATGTTCTAGAACACCTGAAACTGTCCCCGTGGAACAGAGCAGTGCCCTCCCTTGTGCACGGCCAGCAAGAGCTGGGGGGCCACAGGAAGTGCTCCTGTCTCCCTCGCCCTGTTCCTTTGCAAGCATTATCCCCCGAGCCGCCGTCTTCACAGAGGCCTTTCCTAACTGCTGTTCTCAGCCCTGTGCTCCCAACAGGCTGAAGCTCTCATCTGTGGCACCTCAGTGCGTTTCCAAGGTCCACGTCTCAGAGTCGCAGCCCCTCCCTGCTGCCTGCCCCACGGGAAGAGCAGAGAAATTATCTCGGGTCCTCCCACGCTAGAGGCTCAGGCAGTCCAGCAGGGTCCTTGGCATTTGGGTACAAGTTCCAGCGTTCACCTGGGGTCACAGCTGGCTGCCGTGAGCTGAGGGTGGGCAAGGGTCCCTTCCCATCCAGCCCTGTACCAGGCAAGCCAGGCCCTGCCGGACCTCAGCCGGCCAAGATCCGGGCCACAGACCGTGATCTGGCCACGGGGGCCCCACCAGCTGCCCCCACTCCCAACGAGGGGAGTTTTCCTTAGAAGCCAGATGCGAGGTGGGCTTCCACCAAGGCCACAGGAGGCCCAGGGAGACCTTCCTGCAGGGAATGTGGCCAGGCTGTTGTCACGTGGGCTCCCCAGGCCCTCTCTCACTTGCAGAGGCCCTCACCCTGAGCTCCGGGGAACACACAGTGTAGACAGGGTGGCCTAAACGTGGCACACCTCTGCTGGTGCCATGAGCCCTGCCATCAAAAGCAAAGGCCATTTTCTTTTCTTTAACTCCATTTCCCTCATCTCTACCTCTTTTAATGCCACCAATAAGTTCATTTAGGAAGTTTCACAAACAGTGATAGAAAATAAACTTTATACCAAGTTCAACTGTGTGAATGACTGTCAAGGCAAGCCAGGAGGATGAGGCAGTGGGGGTTCTGGCCTGGGTTGAAAGTTGGTTCCACCACCTGGACAAGGTGCGTAAAGCTCTCAGGGCCTCAGTTTCCCCATCTATAAGAATGTCACGGACCAGGCACTTGATGGCCCCAGCTGTCAGGCTGGGAAGAGGGCAGCCACCTCCAGCACCAGCCCGGACGTGAGCAAAGTGAGCCCACGTCGGGGAAGCGAGTGGTTGCAACGCTGGCCCTGCTGGATCTGGCTGGGTCCTGCGTGCCCGAGAGCTGCATCCGTAAGCTGGCCTAGAGGGTAAACACCATCCTCACACCGGCGGCCCCTTCTCCAGGACCGAGCACACGGGGCCAGAAGGGCTGAGTTTTACTAGGGGAACAGAGACAAGAGCAGGTCACGGACCCCGGAAGCTGGGTTGTGTGGAAAGGTGAAAATACATACAGCAATTGGGTGACAAAACAGAAAGGAGCATCACAGCTGGCAAGAGGGCCAGAGCCACCCAGACATGAGGAACGGCCACACTTCTGGATGGAATGTTCTGGAACCCAGTGGTTTCAGCAACCGTCCCAACTCCAGTGATGACTGAACTGAACAAGGGCTCTATACTGCTCCCCTCAGCCACTCGGGAGACCATGGATGTGAACACATCAGAGGGAAATGTCCGCCTCAGAAAGACACAGGGAGAAGGCCATGTGACAAGAGAGGGAGAAATAGGACTGATGCCGCCACAAACCAAGGACCCCTAAGGCCTGCTGGCACCACCAAGTGGGGCAACCAAGGCCAGCCTGCATCCTGGAACACAGCCAATTGGGCCAGAGCAGAGGCAGCGAGCACTGGACCCCACCCCGGGGAGGCCAGCCCAAGCACCCGGCTTCCTACAAGCTGGGCGAGGGCAGGAGACGGGATCTTGGGGACGCGTTCCCACACCAGGCAGCTATCCTACAGAACAGAAGTGGATCTGCAAAGGGGACTCCAACTCACCCCATTTCCTTGCTGACCCCGCTGGAATACTGGAAAAGCTCCCAGAGGCTACATTTTGAAAGTGTGGCGAGATTGGAGGGGAAGGCTGGGGTACGTTATGCTAGAAGCAACCACAGGCTTTGCGGCTTCCTCCAAGTGGGCTGGAGAGCGTCCCCTCCAAATTCATGTCCACAGACTCTCAGAATGGGACCGCTGGGGAAACAGGGTCTTTGCAGATGTGATTAGTTAATATGAGGTCATTCTGGAGTCGGGGGTCTTACCCAGTGGCTGTGTACTTGCAAGAGGAGAGGACAGAGAGGGAGATGGCCATGTGACGACAAGCGGAGACAGAGTGATGCTGCCACAAGCCAATGAACACCAGGGCCCGCTGGCACCACCAGAAGCCCGGAGAGAGGGGGGGACAGACTCTCCCTCAGAGCCTCCGGAAGGAACCAGCACTGCAGACACCTTGATCTTGGACTTGTGGCCTCCTGACCCATGAGAGAATAAATTCCTGGTGTTGCAAGCCACTCAGTTTGTGGTCGTTTATACGGTCACCCCGGGACCCTAATACACCTGCTCTGTGCCCAGGACTCCAGCTGCCTCCCTCGGCCTGGGCACGTGAAATGCCCACTGCCGCGTCCTCGTGCAGGGCCCAGGGAGCACATGGAGTCAGTGCATAGATGCCTGAAGATCAGAGTTGCTGGTCCCAGGATAGAAACGACTGGCAGCTTTATGAACTTCTGTGCATGGCGGTCAGGCTTTGGTCCTGGGGGGCTGCCTGGAGCCGCGCGGGTCCATGTGCTGGCTGAACCATGCCGTGTGGCTCTGCTGGAATGCCACCCGCTGGAGCTTCCCCCTGCCCGTGCCCTGGTGGAAGCCTTGGCCGCAGGCTGGGAATGGGCAGGGCTTCTCGCAGTGTGGTACCTTGGGTGTGTGCTGCAGTGGGCGCAGGTGCGAAGCCCTTCCCGCACACGAGGTCCTGGTAGGGCCGCTCCGCGGGGGTGTGTGCTGGGGCTTGGTTGGGGGAGGTGTTTCAGTAAAGCGTTTGCCACATTTGTGGCATGGGGATGGCTTCTCAAACCCTCGGGGCCTCCCTCTTTGCAGGGGCCGCTCAGGCCTGGTCATGCCCCTGACCCGGGAGCAGGGGCCTAGGACCTCTGCACAGCACCGACAGCAGTCAGTCCCACTGCATTCTCATCAGCATGTCCTCCGGGGAGTCCTCTCCATCTGCAAATTGCATCCGAGCCCCAAGAAAGAGAGAGAGAGAGAGAGAGACAGAGAGAGAGAGACAGAGAGACAGAGAGAGAGAGACAGACAGAGACAGAGAGAGAGAGACAGAGAGAGAGACAGAGAGAGAGAGAGACAGAGAGAGAGAGAGAGAGAGAGAGAGAGAGAGAGAGAGAGAGAGAGAGAGAGAGAGAGAGAGAGAGAGAGGGAGAGAGAGAGAGAGAGAGCTCTGAGGGCTTCCTGGGAGAGGGGAAGAGGGAAGGGGAGCTTCTGATAAGAAAGCAGGGAACGCTGGGCGGGACATCCCAGCTGAGGAGAATGATGTGGAGCGATGCTCTCTCTTCAGACGCCCCTTCCAAACACTAAGCAGAGAAGTGTCAGCTGGAGCCTGATGTGAGGCACTGAAACCATGGCCAGACACCATTGTAAACACAGCAAGTCGGGGAATCCTCACAACGGCCACAGGAGGTGGGGGCTGTTATAGGCGCATCTTACAGATGAGAAAACTGAGGCACAGGGAGTGAAGGAACTTACCCAGAGTCACCCAGCGGGTAAGTTAAGAGCCCCAGCAGTCCAGCTCTGGAGTCAGGGCTCATAACCTCTAGGCCAGGGGGTCTCGCTTGGGGGCAGTGGTGTCCCTGAGGGGACACCTGGCAATGCCTGGAGACATTTTTGGCTGTCACCCCTGGGGAGGGGGGTGTTGCAACTGGCATCTAGCAGGTGGAGGCCACCAGGGGAGCTGGCGAACCCTCGACAGTGCACAGGACGGCCCCACAGCAGAGAATGACCAGCCCCAATGAGCCCAGAGCCAAGGGCAGGACGCTGCTCTAGGCTGTGTTGGCTGAGGCACGGCCAGGAGCCCTGGAGTCCCAGCCCCTCGGCCCCTCCATTGTACACTCGGGGGCAGCCCCTGAGGGCCCTTCACGATGCAAGCTCAAGAGCCACCACCGTGGTAACACAAGCACCTAGCCAAGGAGCCTGGACTGCACCCAGGCTCTGCCCCTTCCAGGCTCGTGACTCGGGGCAGCGCTCTGCTTCCTCGTCTATGGCACGAGGCAAATCCCACCTCAGGACCTTGTGGCATGAGGTACGCTGGGGCGCCAGGGGCCCAGGGAGGGCACACACAGACCCGATGAGGGAAGGGCCCACGCTGACCTGGGGGCCTCACAATGACCCATCGGGGAGGGACAGAACCTTTCCTCACCCTGGGAAATGTCCCCCTCCAGGATGCTGGCCCCCTCCAGGCCTCCAGGTGGGCCCAACTTGCTCTCCCCTCACACTTCCAGAAGGCCAAACGTGGGCCTGAGCTTACACTTACTGGGCCTCCATTTCCATGTACATGTGTACAACTGAGATGCTGATGGAGCCACTCTCTGGCCTGCTGTGAGGACTGTTAAAGAGGAACTGAGTCTGGCAGTCCCTCAAAAGGTTACAGAGTCACCACACGACCCAGCAACTCCACCCCTGCGTGCAGATCCGGGTGACGCCTGGGGGCTTTCTGACCCCACTGCTCGGCCTGGGCTCCCTGCCCTCGCTTCTTGCGGGCACTAGCTTCACCTCCGCATCCGCGTGCCACGCCCTGTCCCAGCCTGCTTTGGTGTGACTCTCTCCTTCCCCACTGAGGGGTTCTGCTGGAGACGCAAACCTTTCTTACTCGTCTCTCTCCTCTGCCTGTCTTTATGCAGTGGTCAGCAAACTTAGGCCCTCCTATCTTTACAAAGGAAGTTTTCATGGGACACAGCCACACCCACGTATTTTCCACTGTCTGTGGCTGCTTTTGTGCCATGACGGCAGACCTGACTAGTCACAACTGGGCCCATATAGCCATAAAACTGGAAATATTTACTATCTGGTCTTTTAGTCTGCTGACCCTTGCTCTAAGCCCTTGATTGACTTCACAAACACAACCAGCAAGGTGTGAACCTGTACGAGTGCAGAGAATCTGACCGGGGCCTCCCACTTCTTTCTTGCTGCCCTCCCCACCCTGAGCCAGCACTGCCAGAACCCTCCCAGCTGCAGGGCAGCAGGAGCTGGGTCCCTCGGGCCTTCCCCTCACCTCGCTGGGCTATTAGACAGGGCCTGGGAGGGGGGAGTCCTGCTCAGGGGGAAAGAGAAACCAGGATGCGGGTGTGGACCGAGTGAAAGAAGAGGGGGAAGTGTTTTGCTTCTGGGCAGACTACTGTTTCCTCCAAGGGAAGGGAAATGAGGAAACAGGCCCTGAGGCTTTCCCTGGCTGTAGGAGGGAAACCCTGATGCCCCGAGGGGTCCAGAGTTTCCTCACAATGGAGATTAAGTGGCCAAGAGCCACAATGCACAGCGGGAGACACACGGAACAGAGAGCAGAGAGCCATGGTCCAGCAGCATGCGCACAGGAAATCAGTCTCCTCCTCATACGGGCAGTAGGAAGGTGTCACCTTCATTCATGCCACGGGTACTTAGTTTGGAAAGAATGAGGATGGAAAGCAAAGTCTGTGATGGTTAATTTTCTGTGCCAACTTGGCCAGGCTGCGATGCCGCTGTTTGGTCAAACACCAGTCTAGATGTTGCTGTGGAGGTTACTTTGCAAACATAATTAACATCTACAATCAGTTGATCATAAGGAGAGGAGGTCACCCTCCATACTGTGGGTGGGCCACTTCTAATCAGTTGAAGGCCTTAAGAGCAAATCCTGAAGTTCCCAGAGAAGGAATTCTGTTTCAAGACATAAAAAGCCTGCCTGAATTCCAGCCTGCAGGTCTGCCCTACAAATTTTGGACTTGCTGGCCTCCACAATCGTGTGAGCCAATTCCTTAAAATCTCTTGCACTCACGCACACACATCCTATTGTTTCTCTCTCTGGAGAACCCCAACAGGTACAAAGCAGCATCTCAATTCCTTTAGAAAACATTTCAGGGCCCGAGTGGGTATGAGGAGCGGCAGGACAAGCTGAGCGGGAAAAGCAGAAGTGACAGTGTTGGGCAGGGAGCCGGGCGGGGGTGAGGAGAGGAGAGGCCGTGGGTGGCCGGGGCTGTGCCGGGAGCAGCCGTGCCCATGCGGGCTGAGGGTGGCACAGAGGGTGAAGTGAAACCACCAAGCGTGCGGGTGAAGAAGCGAAAGATGAAGGCAGCCAGGACAGCTCTGGGCATCTGCCTGGGATACGGGTGAGGGGCCACTGACGGGACACCAGCGGCCCTGGCTCTGCAGGCTGCACACAGCTGGCTGCCAAGTAGACTCCTCCCCAGGGCCCCCCCGCCCACTGAACCCACCCCTGGGAGCAGGGCCCCTGAGGGCCTGTTCTTAACATGCTCCCCAGGGATTTGTCAGGCCAACGTCTGAGAACTGCTGGACTGGCTCCTGCAGGCAGTGGGGAGCCAGGAAAGGTGCTGAGTGGGACGGTGGGATGGCTGGGGCCTCAGGTCCCGGAGGCCAACACGTGCCTGTCGGGGAGATGCCGGGCCAGCCACAGCCAGCCCAAGGGCAGGAGCCACCCTGAGACTGGCCTGCATCAGGCACGTCACGGTCTCTGAGGGACAGTGACCAGCAATTCCTCCCACCCCTGCATGTTACCCTCACTCTCTGGCAGCCCCTCCCAGCTGCAGTCCTGCTGAGCCAGGTCCAGGCACCCCCATTCTTGCTGGGACAGGTACACAGCCACGTCCTCCAGGGTCACTGGCACCTGGCAGAACACAGGCCACTCATTCCCACGCCACTGCTCCTTCAGGCTGGGCCGAGTCTCGATGGCGGGTCCCACTCACCTCCCCACTTCTCCCCCTGCCCCCACCTCCCCTCCACCTGGGCTCGGCTCACACACGGCTGGATGCTGCTCTTCGGGAGATGCCATCACCACGGCTGTCCCACTGCTCAGGGCTGGAGACAGATTGACTGTGCGGAGCAGCTGGACCCACGGTGCCTTCAGCCACTGGGGCTCACACTCCACGGGGACACGAGTTAACACGCCCAGCTCAAGGCAGCCCTGGGACCCCAATGGGGTGACTGGGGGGTTTCAGGATGCCTCCAGGCCTGTGGTTCCCTAATCTAGCACCACACTGACCTGGGGAACGAGATTAAAACCCAAGCAAATAATGTCGGGAAGAGGCAAATCCAAGACAGAGAGCAGACAGGTGGCGCCCAGGGGCTGCGGGTGGGGAACGGGGAGGCACCGCTGATGGGTCCAGGGTCTTCTGGGGAGGGAAGGAAAGTGCTCTAAAGTCGACTGTGGTGATGACAGCACTGCTCTGTAAACATACGAAGCACTGTAAACTTTAAAGGAGTGAATTGTACGGCACGTGAACCACATCTCAATAGAGCTGTTCAAACAAACCAGCAAACAAAACTCTGGCTCCAGGCCAGGGCTGGGGGAGGAATCTATTTTCTCCCAGGGTCCCAAGAGATTCTAATGCCCAGCAGGGTTGGAAGCTATTGCTCTGACTCACCGTTGGACCCGGAATCCTCCAGGATACACCTAATTCTCTGGTGGCATCCGAGAGAAGGCAAGGCTTCCCAGGAGGCGAAGGTTGGGGTAAAGGAGTCTTTTCAGGGGGAAGCACCTCTGACAACCCCAGACCTGGGAGAGAAGTGTCACTGTAACAAGAGCGTGGTACGCATGGGGATGCTGAGGACCTGGTACACCTGCTCACTGGGGGCCAGGCTGAAAGGAAGGACGTAGCCAATGCTGCCGTCTCCTCTCACCGGGAAGGCACTGGGCCTGGGAAAGAGCACAGAGCCGTAGGGAAGCCCACACAGGCCACCCTTGCACATGGCAGGTCCAGCTGCTTCCCACCCACACTCAGCTCCCCTCCTGGAACCCGTCCATCCCACGTTCCCACAGGCCCCGACCTCCTGCCACGCTCCTTTCCCTTTGCTCCCTCCCCTGCAAGGCTTCTCTTTCCTCGAGGGAGCAGCTACTCGCCTCTCTTTGACCAGAGCTGGGGGCCTCTCTTTGGTCTGTGGCTCAGCTGGGCTGAGGGCTGCTCACTGGAGCGCCAAGCCCCTTCAGCCAAGGACAGCTCCTCTGGCTGAGCCTCCGCCTGGCATGTCAAGGACTGTTCCCCTGTCCCATGGGGCAGTGCGTCATCAGGGGGCACCTCTGGACCCTGCATGCAGACGGAGATCTGCCCACCAGCTCCCAGAAGGTCAGGAGGAAACCTACAGTCTCCCCAGCCCCTCTGTCTCAGGCACCTCGTGGCCACCCTCCTGTTCCCGGGCTCTGCCTGGCTGTGCCTCCCACTGGGCTGCCTCATTGTGTCTGACTGCCCCCGCGGCCCGCCACCAGCTCCCGGGGAGAAGGGATGTGAGCAGGGAAGAGGTCAGGCTCCCAACCTGGACAAAGGGAGGTCGGCTCTCCTCCTGAGGGAGCCTCCACGGCCTCTCCCCGTCACACTGCACTGGGGTCACTGTCACACTTGCTGCTCCCGACAGACCCTGGGCTGGAAGGGCCCCGAATCAGGTCTCATTTCAGAAGCTCACGTAACTGCCTTTGCTACATTTCTTGAAATCATACACAGGCCCTCTGGGATCATCTATTTCCTAATTCCGGAGAAGGTGAGTCGGATGAACTTGGGTCTCAGAGTTTACTGAGCTTTGCAACAGAACTCGGGACAAGAGACGGCCCAGGGAATGCGAAAGCAGCACCGAGGACCCCGGTCTCAGGCCCAACCTTCAACAATAGCAGGATCTGCTTACTGCACTCAACAGTGTGGTCAAGTTTGGGGGATATGTCTGTCCTGTTGGATGCAGAAGAATAGCAGCGTGTGGCCAGTGGCACCGCCACAGGGAGAAAGGTGACCTGTCAGCATTTGCCGAATATCTAACCTGGAGGAACTGATCCAATCTAAACACAACGGGTTTGTAAGAGACTTCCACTCCCCAAATTTGGTTAGGAGTTGCAGCAGGCTCTAGTGGCGGTGTTTCTAGAACTTTCTGTGATGATGGAAGTGTCCTATATCTGCGTTGTCCAGCACAGCAGCCACTAGTCATGTGTGACTTAGGAATTACGTTTTAAATTTTAAAAGCCACACATGGCTGGCAGCTACTATACTGGATGGCGTGGCTCTAGAAAGATTGGAAACATCTGGGGGCTCTAACCAGGGCACCCACCAGCCCTTGGTCTTTCCTCCCTGTTTTGGGATCTCTTCAACTCCCAAGGCCCTGCCATGGAAGGTCTCCAGGCTTCCTTCCATCAAAACCTGTGTCTGGCCTATACTGGGATGGTGTTAACAAACCAATCCATGCAGCTTAGAAAGGGCTGCTTAGCGGGGCTATATGTGGTTAATCAGCGGGTGCACACCCACTGGCCAAGGTTGACAAACACTGAGAAGCAGTTGCCTTCTTCAGTTCACAGTGTCCAGGCAGCCCCAGGTCCTCCTGACGACCAAGGCTGGCCGTGGCTCCAGAACCTGAGGAATTTCCAAATGCAGCCCTCAGCAGAAGGGCCCTGAGGACTTGGGGCCCGGTTTCCTCACCTCTGGGCCAAGATGCCCCCCACCTCACCCAGTGCCTCTGTTTCCTGGGCTCCCGCTGCAGCCCTTCCATGAGGACTGCTGCCTACCTACTGCTCTCTGGCGGCCGCTCCCGCACCCGGGCCTGGATATCCCGCGGCAGCACCGTCAGCCACTGCTCCAGCACCAGCAGCTCCAGGATCTGCTCCTTGGTGCCCAGCTCAGGCCAAGGCCAGGGGCAGCTCCCGGAGGTGGCTCAGGGCCTCCAGAGATCTGGCCACCTCCTGGTAGCAGAAGAGCCGAAAAAGCTGGTGGAAGGTCTCCAGTCCAGAGAGGGCTCCTCTTCCCAGCAGAAGTCCTCTTCCACCTTCAGGATCAAGATCTTGTCCTGCCCCAAGGGAAGGAGGGGCTGGAGACCAGGGGTGTCGCCATTGTTCCCAGTGGGCCTTGTTCCTTCTTGGCCTCAGGGGGTCAAATCTGTCTCTCCCTATACCTCTGGCCAGACACTGGGAAAGATGGTTTTCAGGGTTCTGTGGAGAGATGAGAAAATCATTTGAGGCGCAGCCCTGGGGCTGGATAAGCATCAGATCCACAAGCCCCTGCCCTGGTCCCAGGGCCAACTCATCAGCAAAAGGAAACTGTTAAAGTGGATCAACCCATCCTAGCTCCTAACCCCATGCCAAATCCCCGGGCGATTACTTAACTTCTCTGGGCCTCAGTTCCTCCACTGAAAGCAGAGGTAGTGATATCACCTGCACACAGGCGGCTGGGAGACTAAAGGGGATGTTCGGACAGGGTTGAGCGAAGCGCCTGGAACACGGTCAGGGCCGTAGAAACGCTGAATTGTCGTTATTAGTTAGACCTCTTGGGAGGGGAGCCCTTTGGAAATATGATCAGAACCAGGGCCCACTCTGCCCAGGAGAACGCAGATGCGGTCCCAAACCGATCCCCGCTCCGCTCGGCGGCCCCGCCGGGCACCCTCGGGTGGATGGTCAGCCGGGCCCCTCCAACGCCAGAGTTCTGGGAGGGCTGGGACTCCCGGGCCGGGCTGCTTTCTCGTCTCGCCCCGTAAGGTGCAGGGTGAGCGGAGGCCGGGGCCGAGCACGACCCGCGCTCTGTCGCGGCCCCGGGATGGAAGCTGGAGCCGGGCCCCCGCGCCCACGTCCACATCAGGGCAGCCCTGCAGCCGTGGGGGGCTCTGGGCGCGTCCGGGCCGGCGGGCCGGGCCGGGAGCGGGACCGCGGGGGCAGTGGGCTCAGCGGGCTGGCTGGTCCCGGAAGCCGGTCCCCAGACAGCTGACCCTAAGCTGCAGGACGCAAGCCACTGACCGAACCCCCTGTCTGGCTTGCGAACGCGGCCGCCCCCGCCCTTGCGCCATTGGCCGAGCCGGCTGTCAAGAAAGAGAACGAGTCCGCAGAGACGGGTCTATGAGAGGCATTGTGGGTAACGTAGTCCTCGCACCGCGGATTGAGCTGACTGTCAGGCGTAGGAACGAGGCCACTGGGCCGGCCCGCGAGATGCATCTTGGGCAACGTGGTCCTCAAACCCCTGGCTGAATCGCTGTTAGAGCGTGGGAACCTGGCGGCGAAGGTGGGCCCGCGGGAGGCATTGTGGGTAACGTAGTCTTCGCACCTTCCGTGAGCATGCGCGAGCGCCTGCCTGTAGGTTCCGCAGCTTCTGGTCCGTTCTCCCCAGTTCTCTTCCATCTGCCCTCCCCTGGCCTGAGAAAGTGCAAGGTGGAGGGGACCTTGGAAATTTACTTTTTTACTTACATAGTGCTTTGAATGTGCCAGGCTCTGGTCTAGGCGCTTTGCAGTTATTAACTCAGTTCATCTTTGAAACAACACTGGGAGGTAGGCACTATCATCCCTATTTTATAGATAAGGAAACCAGGCACAGAGAGGTTTAGTGATCTACCCAAGGTCACACACACCTTGTAACGGGGTAAAGTCGGAAGCCAGGCGTTTGTCCTAGTCCAACCCCTTAATTTTAGAGACTAGGAAATGAAGACCAAAAAGTTACTTGCTTGGGGCATCTTGGTTATCAAGTGCTTCACTGTTTGTTAATTTAATCAACAAATATTGGGCTCCGCTTTGAGCCAAGCAGGCACCCTGAAGAGGAGGTGAACTAGACAGACCCTCCCTAGGGTCTTAGTGGAGCCTGAGGGAGGGTTGGGTGCCTGGTGGGTAAGCGGGTAAATGGTCACGGGGAGAGTTATGTGCCCCATAAACATGGTCACTCCTGAGTCCTTCAGCTCTGGCATCCCCAGACCTAGAGCTTTACCCCACCCTGCCCCTGGCTTCTTTCTTTTCTTCCACTCCCACACTCCATTCTCTCTCACATTTCATTTTTTCCCTCCATCCAATAGCCAGTTTTTATGTGAGCACACCAGGCAGAGCAAGACACTGGGCTGCGCGCCACTGATTGCTGGAGACCGCCCCTCGCGGGGCAGGAGGCATCTTTAAGGGCACATGCCCAGGACGCCACAGCCTTGCGGGAGAGCTGAAGAAAGGCAGGACCATGTATGCCTCAGTTTCTCCTTACAACATGGCTGCTGGGCAGCCTCTTGGAGTAAGCCGAGACCAAGGTGCGGAGCTGCTTGGAGGGCTGTGCTCAAGTCCAGCACAAGAGGCCTGCCACCCCGTTTGCTTCAGGAGGAGGGTGTGGAAAGGGATAATTTGAAGAAGTCACAGAGGGCTGTGAAGCAGGGGCGGAAGAAGGGAGAACAGACAAAAGTAGGAGAGGAGAAGGGAGGGGAAGAGGAAAAATCGATGGAGAATCTGGGGGAAATCAGCAGATTCTGTAGGACTGGACGACACGATCTGGCTGCAGGACACACTGGGCTCCGTCTAGAGGACAGACAGGGGTGGGGACACCAGCATTTCCAAAGCTGCTGCCCCACACCTTCCCGTTCCTAACGGCCTCCTGGATAGCTGAGAGGCCCTGGCATCCTCTCCGTGGAGCCTGACGTACAGAGGTTAGCAAGTCTACGTAGTGACCGAGGCCTGGCTACTGTAGTTCTGGCCCTCTCCTGTCCAGGAAGTTCTCAGTGGCTACAAACAACAGGGATTTAAAGAGCAAGTTTCTACTTTGCCCAGGGTTTCGGTCTTAACTCTATTTGGGCAGGACACAAACGTGCAGTCCTTAACAAAGGTAAACCAGGATGAATTTGGGCCTCCATCGACAGGCACCCAAACCAGCGTTCCAAATCTTCGCTCCACCGCTTATTAACTGGGTAAGTCTCACTCTCCTCATCCCGCAAAATGGGGACGGTCACAGCTCCAACATCGGAGAGCTGACAGACGCGACTGGATGAGATTATGTTTGTAAAGCGCCTGTGACAAGGTTCAGCATGTAACAGATGCTCCATAAACATCAGCGCTAGCTTCCTGACTTGCGACCACACTGGGGTGAAGTCTGCGGGTCTCAATTTGTGGATCTTGGGTCCCTGGGGTCCTGGTGTGCCAGGAAGAGGTCCGCAGATCCATTAAGGCCCCACGCATTGTTTATAGTCTGAATGAAAAGTATTTATAGTTATACACACATATCACTACTTATGTTTATCCTTATCCATGTAGCTTGTTTTCATAGTGTTTATGGGGTCAACACAACAGCTTGAGTTAAAATGCCAGCCTCACACTCATAGAAGTTTGCAAATAACTGAAGACAAAGGGGAAGGGCGTCTTCAGACTGATGGTAGTTCTCTTAGCACATCCTAGGCGGAGATCCAGCCCACATTTGCTCTTACTGTTTAATTACAGCTGGGAAAAATTGGTCTGCAATCAAGCACGCCACAAATTTGAGTCATCTTTGGTAGCCGATTCCCAACGTCCAAACGACCAAGAACCAACAATTCAGTACAAGTCAAAGAGTTTCATGATTCGACTAAATTATGTAGGAGAGTCATCAGAGAGCTAGGGGTCCCCAAACTGATACATAAGGGGTGTTTTATTACACTTTTTCTGAGCCTCCATGAGTGAATAGTAAAAGCTAATGTTTTTAGGCACTTCCTAAGTGCACCAGATTGTGTTTTTACTGCGCTACTTAAATCCTCACAATGTCTCTCTCATCTAGTTATCCTTACGACCCAGGTCTTGGATGAGTAAACTGAGCCTCAGAGAGGGGCAGAGCCCCGCCCAAGGCCACACAGCTAGGAAACTGGAAGAGCCAAGACAAACTCAGGCAGGCCCGCCCCAGAGCCTGCTGCCCTGGCCACTCCCGTGAAGGCACCTGCGAACCCCTGCCAGGTCATCGGAGCCCTGCCTCGGAGTGGATGTCCGAGCCGGTTCTCGGAAGACTGGTCCCGTCCCAAGATTCTCCTGTGAGATTCTCCTCTGGTTTTCCAGACCCCGCAGGCAGACCTGCTTGGCACATGGTAAGTATCTGCTGAATGACTGAAGGGAGGGAATTTGTTCTTCAGACACTGAACTCTGGGGTCTGACCTCGTCAAAGACTTGATTCTGACCATAATGTAAGTGGGGATAAACAGTACCTACGGCCCAGGGGATACTCCCCAGGCTTAGCGGGTACAGTACATTAAAATACTTCACTCAAGGGTGAAACACAGAGGCGCTCAGTAAACAGTAGCTGTCCTGCTGTCATTTTTGTGAACGGAAGGGCTGAGGGATGAGAGCCCTCCCTTGCTGTGTGGGGCTGTGCAATCTCTCCTTGGAGACCGGCTGTGTTTTGGTTCATGAGAGGAAACATAATTCACAGGGAGGCAGGAGATGCTGCTGTTTACACCTTGAGCCACCCAGCATTTGAAACTTGATCTGTCTTTTCCCTGCGGCCAAGAAGCCAAAGGAGAAGCTGATGGATAAAGACTGCCTTGCAAAGCAGACAGTGGATTTCTTGGAGGCGGAGAGCTGCCTCCAGGAGGAAGGCCTCCGGAGAAAGGCTGAATTGTGGAGGACCGGCGGGGGGGGGGGGGGGTGGCTGGGGCAGGGTCCAAGAACCACAGGCATGCTGGGAAATCCTTACCTGTGGGGATGACGTGTGCTAAACTCTCCTGCTTGCGGTCGGCCCAGACATTGCTCAGAATCGGGTGAAGATTCACACATTCCTCTTGGGAAAAACACCCAGGGTCTTAGTCAGCTCGGGCTGCCTAACAAAATGCCACAGACTGGGGGCTTAACCGACAGACACTTATTTCTCACACTTCTGGAGGCTGAAGTCCAAGATCAAGGTGCTGGCATACTCGGTTCCTCCTGGTGAGAGCTCTCTTCCTGGCTCGAAGACGGTCACCTTCTGTGTCCTCATCCAGTGGAAGGAGGGCGTGATCTCTCTCCTCCCCTTCCTGGTAAGGCCACTGCCCCTATCGGGTCAGGGCCCCACCTTCATCACCTCATTTAGCCTTAATTACCTCCGACAGACCCTCTCTCCAGATACGGTCACAGTGGGGGTTGGGGCTTCAACGTGACTATGGGGCTACGCAGTTCAGTCCACAGCACACAGCCAGACCCACAAACACCACCAGTCCCTTGAACGGCCCAAGGTTCTCCTCAGATCACCACCCACTCCAGACCTGGGGTCACCGGCTCAAACACCCACAAGAGCCAGGGAGGAAGGCAAGACTCGGCTTTTGATGCAGACGCACTTTGCACACAAAACATTCTGGAGTATTCTTGCTTTCTGCAAAGACACGTGCTTTCTCTCATTTCTCTTAAAACACGTGTCCCTCTTGGTCTTTCTTTTCATTACCGTGTATGAGAGTGACACGAGAGTGGAGAACTTCTCTCTACTACCAGAAGCATAGCAGTGCCGGCTTGAGGACTGATGGCTGCTGATGCAAGGCCTCAGGCTCAGGGATGCAGGCAGAGTGGGGGATGCCAGCCCCATGCCGCCAGCCAGGCTGACTGTTCCCGAGAAGCCGGATATCTTGGTGGTTAGGTGAAAAATCCCACTTTTGAAAGTAGACACAAAAGGGTTTTAAATCCTGTGTGAGATAAACAAAACATATCAACACGTTTCTGGGCTGTGCCTGGCACACACAAACAAGGATGTACACAGACATATAAAATGATGCAGGTGGCGACAGTGCCATGAAGAAAAATACAGCAGGGTGAGCGGAGAGTGGGGCAGTTGCTCTTTTAGGTGGAGAATATTTAGACAAAGGACCATCCATTCACCTGGCCCCACCTGAAGAAGGGAAGCCAGCTTCTCTGTGGCTTCAATACTTTTTTCATAGGGTTTCTTAAAAGGACAGGAGGCCACAGCTAAGGGAAAAGAAATAGTCAGAGGTAAAATATCCAGCGTCCTCCCCAAAATCTGCTGTGGGCTGAAGCCAACCATGCAGAGGAGAGCCAGCCTGTGAGAGAGACAGGGACAGAGAAAGAAAGTGCGAGAGGTACACTTGACCAGTGGACTTCTTTCTCAACCACTGCTAAAGAAAGAATTGTTCATGCCGCTTGTTAAAGAATAGTAAGGAAGACTTTGTCCAGGACCGTAGAGATGGGTGTGCGGACCCCTGCGCCGGGGATTTGCAGTGGAGGAGAGAGATCAAGATCCACTCCGAATATAAGGAGGAAAAGTCGGAAGTTATAGCCAAGGAGCAGGGCGGTGGTGGGGTGTGGATGGAAAATGAGTAAGAGCAAACCTCAGGTGTAAGAGGAGATGCTGGCTAAAGCCACCTAGTAGGATTCTTGC